AGCATTCCTTGACTTTCATTCTCAATTTCAAACACTGAAACATCAAATGTTAAAAACTTGTAGAATGTAAATATTTGCTTCAATCTTTGACTTGGGTTGTTGGTGCTGAGAAGTATTCACACATGCTATGTTATTGAATTGGACCAGGTTTAGTCATTAATACATTTTGCACTTAGTATGTGATTTCAGACATGCTATTGCTATTCATTCTATACATTGAAACAGCAGCTGTGTCATGGTGTGTGTGAAAGAACTCAATGATACCTTCACTACAATGGAGTATGGAATTTCTGCCTTTGAGCAGACAGATATGTCGACCAGTTTCCAAGCAAAGCTTTTTTCATTGTGACTGGTATTATAAACTATTTAGAATATTTCAGAGCTGCTATGTTTTCTGTTCAGAGAATCAGTGTTTGTCTTCACAGAATAATCAGCAATGAGACGAGGTATGCCACCAGGGCCTCGACCACGTCACATGGGACCGCGCCTACCTCCACATGGAATGCCAAGAATGATGGGGCCTAGAGGACCAGGCCCAAGACCCATGGGACCCAGGCCTATGGGGCCCCGCCCATATGGGCCATGTCCTCCAGGGATGGGACCAAGGCCTATGATGAGACCCCCACTTAAACCTGCCATTGCCAAGCTTGGTGGAAAACCACCTGCATCCAAGCATGAAGGTAAAGTGAAAATTCAAAACTTACTTGATAATCGATATCTCTAAAGGGAGGAAGATTTATGATTCCTTTTGTGAAATATTTTTTTGATGTAGAGATTTGTTTTGATGCTTGTATTGTGTTATGTAGGTCAAGTATGTGCGTTTGCACAGAGTGGACACCAGTTGGTGTTCACAGTGAAGGGCATTAATTCTATTGCGATGAAACATGGTTGATTTCATCAATTATGTTAAAATAAGTCTCTGTTAATTATGAAACTGGCAATTTAGTGTGCTTTGAAATGTTTGCACATACGGTGGTTCACAAGTGTTACAGTGATTTGAATCTGGATATTTGTAGTATTTGAATTTTCAACCCTTTCCTTTGAAGCCAATCATATTGGTTGTCCAGATTCCTATCCTAGTGACCTTCTGATCTCACGTTATGACCTTGACCCAGTTTGTTGGCGAGTGACATGCTGGTGTCAGTGATCAATGCTGGAATAATAATGTAACAAGACTCACTTTGAAAACATGAACATGCATCCCTTCGAGGAATATCAAATGACTTTCTTGTATAATAAAGGAACCTTTACATTTCGGACTAAAAGATTTTGTAAATGATAAAAATAGTTTTGCAAGGCACAGCCAAACCAGGTTTAGAAGTCTGAAATGAATGTTAGTGTCAAATTCAGGACAAGGAATTTCAATGGGATGTCATATTTTGTACATAGTCTTGATACTTGTTACACAGTTTCGGAACTGACCCGAGTGTGGCCATTAATCCCTATAGTCTTATCTGCACTGTAATGCTGCTATGTCGCACCTTCTTTATGATGCATTTCACCTAGTCTTGCAGGGAAAGACAACCTCAATAACCGGTCTTGTTTATTTCTTTATAGAAGTATTTTTGGTATCAGTGGACTATTAACCCTACAAGAGTAGTATTCAATAAGGACGCGCAAATACCATGATGGACGATGAGTTTGGTGTCGTTTCACAGACGATTACCATTTCGGGATATTTTAAGTCAGGTATTGGTATATCATGGAATGTGCTTAGCTTTAATCCAGTAACTTGTAAATACAACATGCATAAAAACTAGATAACATGGTTTCATCGATCAGTTGTGCCCAATATTTGTTTAGGAAATGAACTTGGGGTATTGGTGTAGCTATGTAAATTTTCACATTTCCTCCGGTAGTGGTAATGGAACAACTGACTCAACTGATTTCTGTGCTGTAGCATTAAAGCATTGTTAGAATCAATAAATCACTAGATTGGGTATCAGAAATAACACATTATGCATTGTTCAAATGCAATGCTCTTTCATGATTGGCTTTCGCTTTTTTGTAACATTTTTGGATTTCAAATCATATCTCTCAGCGTGATTACTTTAATCTATTAGATGAATAAATACTTATAAATATGAGATTAAAAAAAATAAATACATCTTTGAAAAATGTGGAGGATATTTTGCTATGTTTTTCTCTCCCAGGTTCACGTTTAGTAACAATGGATTCAATGGGTAAGATTGCTCCTCGTAAATGTTCAGCTCCTTTGCTGTATATATTCCTATAGAGAGCCGTGGATGTTCACCTTGTATCAGACCCAAGTAACAGCAGTGCCTGAATATCAGTCATAACTTGTCCCTTTGTATGTTAAAGGTATTGAACTGGATGCACCAACATAAGGTAAAGTATAGTTATTTGTATGGTGCAAACTGTGTGTGCCATTTATATTCTATAGCTGTGCATTTATTACTAAGGACTGGATGGACTCTCCATGTCTCTACCACAGTAAATGCTTCCTACATGGGCCACTGGCCTTGTCCTCCCCTGATATATCATACAGACAGTCTAATTACTACTAATACCAATTTCTAGTTCTTGCACTTCGATGCAATATCAAATAAATATGCCCTTTAGCTCAGTGTCGAAAATAACATGAGTTGATGAAAAAGATGAAATATCTGATAAGTGGAACTGTGTCACTGTTCCGTCAACATAAAGAGTAAAGAAAACCCTTTGAATCACAGAAATGACGTCGTGTAATAAAGTTATACTATGGTAACGGTATAACAAGTGTGCAAGAACAATCGTTAGGTGGTCATTTGTTTAGGCCGTATTTGTTGTGTATGGTGGTCACAATTGCCGACAATGTTACCCATTTTAAGCATATTGGTAGCGTACAATGATGCTTGCATGGGTTTGGGGTCGATATATTACATGATGCATGCATGCTGTGTTTCCTTAATAAAGATTAGAAAGACTTCAACATTGTTGACAAACTGGGTCACATGCTGTTCTTATATCATATTACAAATGCAGAAAGAGTTATTGATGTGATGTATGATTCATTTTGAACTATTTTCAGGATTCGATTTCACAAATGATTAAGTTTCAAATGCTAATGGCATGAGAAATGAATTTGTTATTTTTTATTTTGTTGACGTTATCAGCAACTTTTTCTGCAGTTTAACATGTTTGTGTTTCATGTTAGGCTTGACAATCAAGCAATTAGCACAATAGTTTGCCAGTTTCATTCTTACAGATCTGTATCTTCATGAAATGTGGGTTTCTTACAAAATGTGAAATGTGTTGTATGTTCAGTTGTTTAGAATCCATTGGTAATCATATTCATATCTGCTGATGGAGCAACATACTTTTTTGTGTTCGAATGTGTGTATGTTACCCATTTAATTTAGTTTTGTGCCATATGCTCATGAAGCGTAGCAGAGCTGGTGCTGAGAATTTTGATGAAGTGTGTAAAGCTTCATGAGAATCAATATCTCTTTATGAGGTTGATGTGAAACTTCCACAGAACATAATTTTAAAGTATTCAGACAAATACGAAGATTAAATGAGTTGGTGCACCATGTTTCTCTAAAGGAAATCAATTGAATTATCTTTTATGGGAATGTGTTGTATCATTCTGTCTTTAGTGTGGCTTTATCAGTACCCTTAGTATTTTCAACATCAGACTGGATTTATAAAAAAACCGAGAGTCTGAAACCCAACTTATTTAATGTTTAATATTAATTTGTGAAATGTGTTAGCACAGTCAGGTGTCTGTATTGTGACAAGACTGGTTGAAGATGTGTTTTATCACATTGTTTAAAACCTACATGCTGTCCATTCTTTCAGAAATTGTCAATAATAGCATTTCTTTGAGGTAAGCACTATTATGGGTTGAGTTGAAGTTACATTTGGGGGAATTAATTTATTCCTTGGTGTGTAATATCAGCTTGAGTTATACACATTCCAAATAGATTGGCCATCAACTCGAGTATGCACTAACTCAGTTGCTTTAAGAAAACTGTTAAAAGATTAATATTAAAAGATTACTGATAAAGGATTACCAAGTATTTTTATTATATATGTTTAAGGAAATAATAACCAACATCTGTGGATTGAGTAATGACTTAAGACAGACTCAGTGTCTCTCTGAGTACAGATACTCTAAAACTCTTATCATAAGCTTTTCTTCTAGTTCATCTAAAATGCACCCCATAACTAAATGTTTAGATATTTAAATAATTAAGCTTTCATATCTGTGGTTTGTCATGTTGTGCTGATAGTTGCATGTGTGTTAACAATTTAGATCACAGAGTCAGTTGTTAGATTGGATTTGGCTATAATTGTTAATTGTTGAAAACCACTTTGAATTCATTCACTTTCCTCTTTCCTCTGTATAGTCCAGCTAAAACGTTTTAGTAATCACAAAAGTCTAATCTAAAGTGGAAAGGTGTATGTCTAACGAATGGATGGACCTTCCAGAAGCCTCTAGGAGACATGCTGTATTATAACCATGACGACTGTACATTAGTGGAACTGAGAAATTGACTCAGCCTTTTTCTTCCAATTTTGTAGAGTTATGGAAATTCACAGCATAAGATTTGAAAACATGCTGTACATCTGTATGTTAGTCACATGAAACTATGTTAGTAAAGTTTTAAACAAGCAACCATGGATATAAGTTCTCTTTGGATAGAACCGTCTCTTACTTCATAATTTCTAATATTAATACTAGACCAGAATTGATACTAAAACCTTTCAAAGACTAAAAGTCAATTTCAAACACCCAAAACAATCTGGAAATTTCTGTTGCTGCTCTTCCCCTAGAGTTTATGCCGTTCTTAAAATTACTTTGAAGTTTCTATTGTGTATGTGGAACCCTCTGACCATATGGATAGTGGGATATGAAGCAACATATAGGTTTGTGTTTACTGGAAGCCTTCCGATGACGCATCTTTGCTTATATCCTCTTCTGAACCAGGTTGAACGTTTGTACATCTGTCAGCTGATCTGCAGTCCCTAACACCAGGTTTTGGCCTTGTTTATCTTTGTTTATGTTGGAGACAGATTGTTAACCCTCTCTCTATCAGTCCGTATGTCCATATCTCATACGTACCTACGTATGCTGCTCGCTCGCTAGCTATCTCGCCACTAACCTGCGCCACCAAGTGCAGACACGGCACAGCTTTATGTGTATTGCCATGCTCAGTCCAGCATTGTACACAAACACACAATGACAAGCATCCCGTATCAGTTTTCAAATATTTGTTCAGTTGATTTGGAGTAAGATTTTAAATCCTATCTGAGTGTTTAGCATGTTCAGAAGTATTCACTTAGACCTTATCAAGTTAAATCTAGGTCATTAATGTGTATTGATATTTTTCTAAAGACTTTTGGCAAAAATTGTACATGATTACATGAGGATCTTGTCACTCATTTTGATTTCAATACAGATAGAAGTAGATTCTAGTTTGTTGGGGAAAAAACATTTCCTGTGCAGCAAACAAGTAATTTTGCTTATACTTTTGGCATAGTTCCAATGAAATGGTCAGAAATACACTTTCAAAACTGAAATATTCACTAAGTCATGCCAGGAGATGTGAAAATAGGAGGTTGTATAATTAAGTAAGCTTATCAAACTTTCAGCAACTGTATTTCGATACCCAATGTTATTTCTGAAAGACATCTCAAGCAGTGCAACTGGGGATTTCGAAGCTCATGTGACCGAACTTACTACTAACTGCCACTGTATGTAACCTGGGACCGTGGGGTTGCCTTGTTGTTATCGGGTTAACTCGTCACTACAATGTCCTGGTTCAATTCTCCACTTCGATTCAATGTATGAAGCCAATTTCTGGTGTTCCCCATCATGATATTGAGGTTTCTGAAGTTGGAGTAAAACCAAACTCACTCACCCACACACATACATCAATTGTAAAGTTCAAACATCTTTTTGAAAGTGACAAGATCACTTGTAACAAGGTACTTTATCCATCTGACCTGCTGCGTGACCTGTTAGAGTGCTATGCTGGGCTGAGAGTGGAACGTCCTCACAGGAGTTCTGCGCAGTGTCCAGAATGTAGTGGAATAGTCAATATGAATGCATATATCCATTGTGTGTAACTTCATGGCTGTTTACAGTTTGCAACAACATGCAATATCCCATCAATCAAACCGATTGTGGTGATGATTCTGAAATATTATGTATTCACTTATTTTGTTATTTTCTTATCCTGTCATGAAGTCCTGCTTTTTGTATTATTGGTCCCTCCCACACAGTGCATTTATCTACACGATGTAACCTGGTCACTTTGTTTCACTGTTAATGTTGTCGGCATTAATTCATTCCTAGATTTGTATGAGAGGCTGTGATACTAACAAGTTTCTTGCATGATAGTTTATTATAGTCTACTAAAAATACAAGATAGATATTTTCACTTCATCATGTTTGCTGAAGGGATGTATAAAGTATTGTCTCAATATACATGTCACAGTAAGAAATTTGTTGAAATTTGCATTTGATAAAAATGCAATGTGTTAAAAAAAATTTCATTATGAAATATGTATTCTCATACCATTCACCAAAAAAATCCTTAAGGTTATGGATAAACAGTAGAATTTCCTGTATCATTATCTTTAGTCATATGTAAACGCTTTTAATATGCAGTCATAGACTCATAATGCTAGTCCACAAACACGTAGCACATATGTGAAGTGCAGAGCTTAATGTTGCATGTAAATAGATAGGGTATATCATATATTTTCCGTTAGTTAATATTACATTGTTGATATTTACATGATCAAAGATATGAAAAAAACTTTTGATTGCTCATAATTAGATGCTATTCAGTGGCATCACATGGAATTATAATTGGTTTTATATGTGTTGTGGAAATGCCAACAAGTCTTGAAGACATTTCATTCTGAACACGACAGTATGACGCATGTAGTTTGTTTAGTTCCAGTTTTGTTTCCCCTTTGCATCAGCACAAATTAGTGATACTTTAAATCATGTGTTCCTACACACCATTTTTTTCTCTTATGAATTTTGAATTTGAAGTTTTCCCAACATTTGTTTTGATTATTTGATAACAATAACACCAGCTGTTACTTCAGTATGATGCTAAATTCATAGAAACCAAATGAATTGGATTGTGATCAATAAATTAAGGAGTGTTTTCCCTATTTGTGTATCAATAAAGGAGACTCTGTTCACAACTTTTTATGAGTTACCAGAAAATGTATGTACATGTATTTTCTTTTTTCATCCAAATACCATTAACCCTTGCAAAGATATCATCTCCTTTCAGCTCTGGTGAGGTGATTTGGAGATGTTTATGTTTTGTTTTGTGTGTTCCTATTTTGCTTATTTTGATTCATCCAGGCTCTACTTTTTGTTTGTTTGCATGTCATCATAATCATCGTACCATGGCGGTATCATTGTCATTGTGTATCATACCATAATCATTCATATGTCTGTTTTACAATTTACTGGTGTTACCTGTGGTAATAAAATTGAACTTTATATTTGCATGTCATACATTTTAAAGACAATATATGACAACATTTTGGAAATATCTTCGTCTTTGAATAATCATGTTTCCAGCATGGTGTAGTATAAGATTGTTTGTAAAACAGACATGACATCATGGCCTAAATCTCATCTTTTTTGCAGTTGATTTATTTTATGCACAATTATACATCGTGGAAATACATCTTTCAGTGGTCATTCTCCACCCTAAGGGTTTGAGTGAAAGCTTGTTTTGTTGAATTATTCACACTAGTGCAGTTTCCTCCTCCTCCTCTCCTGTCTAATATTCCCACCTACATCAACAGTGACATGAGGTCATATATATATATACTTTCATGTGGCACACTAGCCTAGGTGCTTGTTTGCATGACATAGTGTTGTCGGGTATGTAGATGGTTTCAAGTAGCTATTCTTGCTGTGTAGATGTCATCTACCAAAGATAAAAGTGAATGTTCTGAAACAAAATCACACCGTTACTAATTATATTCACTCTCAGTAAATCAGATTCTTTGTGGATAAAATAATGTTTTTGCTTTTACAAGCACTCTTCAGTCGCAATTGATTGTTGTTGCTGTGAGAGTTATGCAAAATTATTTGAACTTTTTTGGGTGTACTTTTCTCCCATTGAACAATATTTTCCACAAGTGTTTACACTTGAAAACCTTATCCTCCTTTGTTTTGATTTAATACTTACATACTAACACTTTTCATCTTGTATCTGTTATAGATATGCCTTGGTATTAAATATTATTGGTATAGTTTGTTTGATGTTGGTTGTAGTAGCCGTCTCTTATGAAAAAATATTGAAAAATATACAAGGATATTAGTCTATGATTATTCTAGATTAGTTATTTTTTCTCACTTTTATTATAAAGTTACTGAAAAGTATAACAGTTTATTGTTCATATTGGTGGAATGTGAAGTACGTTATAGGTGTGATAATGATGGCACAGACAAGAGATACTCACAACTTGATCTATAGATTCTGTTAAATGTCAAGTAACAATATATTTTGTTTTTCATGATCAAGACTTTACTTGAAATTTTTAAATATGCAGCACTGCGCGTAAGAGAAAAATGGTAGAGACATTGAAAGATAAAGTATGAAATTGTTTATCTGGACATCATGTTTGATGCACTGCAAGGTTTATTGCAAACCACTTTACGTTCATTGATAACTCAACAAATACTTTCTGATATAGCAATGTCCATCAACATGACTAAAGCGTGGCTTATAACTAACGCCCAAGCAACGAAAACAAACCAGGATTAATTCAGGGTAGTGGTGGAATTGTCAACTTGAATAACTCTGCATGAAAGTTCGAATTATGATGGCAATATTTGGCATGAATGTATTACAAAACTTAACACACTGTCTTACTCTGAAAGGGTTAAATGTTTTATTCTGGCAAAGTTTTGAATTCATGAAGATTATCGATAACCTGTATGCATGATATGTAACTAAATCATAAAGAAAACCACTTTGGGGTTTCAAATATAGAAATTGTGCATGCATAAAAGTGTTTGGTTATATGTTTTGTCAAATGTGCTGCTTATTTAATTCACCTTTGCACTGTGAATTTATGAGTGGGATTAAACATGGTATTGATGTTTGCAATGGTTGGCATTTATCATGCTTGGTACAGATTCATATCCTTCTATTGGCTAACCCTGTACATAGCAAGTGTATTAACATTGACACAGCTTACTGTATGATAGTAAACTCTGCCATCACCTGCATGGTTTCCTTCAGTTAATGTTGTCATAGTTGGTCATGTTTATCGAACAGGTGTAAACGTTTTCATGGTAAATTTTCTAGCATACTAACTGAGAAGCTATGACTGTTAATCTTGTTGAAGATGAGTTTTCAAATCCCGAAGGAATTAATGCTCATCGCCATCTGAAGATGTTTGAGTAGTGAGGCGTAAGTCAATTATGATGACATTATTGTTAACTAGAACAAGTGATGAAGTTTGGTAAAACGTATTGAATTGATACATAACCTCTGTAAGAGGTCTGTTTTATGGATTGGAGATATAGAATACTTTCATCTGTAAAAGAAAAGGAAAGTGTTTGTTTTCAACCTCTTGTCTTGTGAAGGTAACCTGCTTTCTTGCTGTAACGAAGTTCTGATGGTGTAGTTGCCATATACCCATCTCTAGGTTGTCACTGCACACTGTACCCCGTCAGTATGACATTCACACAATATTCACTCAATACCTCCTGTTCCGCTATGGTTTTGCCATATACTGATTTTGTGGTGAATGGGATTCTTTCTTTTATAGTATCAAGACTATTTCATTTTGAGAAATATTGTTTATTCTTGCAATGATCTAAATAATAAGTCGCTAAACCAATTGTACAGTAAATACTGGGCTTTGGGTGTTAAAATGTCAGTCGTAAATTTAAACCAGTTACATATTGTTTTAGCATTTCAACTTTGTTGATAAACAAGGATTGTCAAAATAATTTTGGAATGTAATGCTTTCAGCTTTTGCATTTACTATGTCTTTAAGTGGTAGACTATTGTATGAATAAGACGTGTCAGCTCCTCATCTGTTGTATGTATGTTGTTGGCTTGAGTACTGCGCCAAAAGTATTGGTATTCTCATATTCATTGAACTTAATCTTCTCATGAAGTTTACTGCAAAATAATCTTTGTTTTCACTTTAAATCAGTTACTCTAATCATGTCAATGTATTTGCTCTAGATATATCAAAACAAATTCTTATTTAGATCTATAGCAGTGTCCTTTGATGGGATTATTACCTGAAGAACATGCATGATATCTGTAATAATTTCTTCTATGAAGAGTACTCATTTGACAGGATCATTACGACTTAACGGGTGGATTTCAGCACCTGCAGTAGAAACGACATTAGATATTAGAAAGCTGTATGATCACAATAACATGCAATTTGTTAATGGAAATAATGTTATCACCTCTTAATGTTGTTAACAGAATATAATCTAAAACGATTTGCCCTGAAAAAAACCCAGTGGTTGCTTTGAAGGTTGAATTCTATTGGGTATGACTGGATTGCTGTGGGTGTCTTTAAGGATAGTTGAAAGGGTGTTGCCCTGTCCAGTGCATGTTCTGCTTTCCTTCAAGTGATGATGGTTTACTTACAGCGTTTCACCACCTTTCAGATCAGACGAGACCTATGTGAGTTAGCTTGGAAATACCTACCTCCGAGTTTATATACATATCACTGACCTCTTGTAGAGCAGGTTCTCTGAAGCCACTGCCGACTAGCTCTCTGGCATGTTTTACATGAACACAGCACTACGCCCAGCTCCCATGCACTGTCACCAGAAGTATTTGTAATGCAGATGAATAGCACGATATTGTGGATCTTGTAGAGATGGTTCCTTCTTTGGTTCCTTGAACTTGATTCTGAAATTAATGATTAATAAATGTGTCAATTTTATTTTTATTTGGCACAGACCTCATTTTTAAAGGATTTGTAGTTCTTCTTAAGAAAAAAACTTGTCACTTGTATGGGAAGAGACTAGTCAGCAACACTTCAGAGCGATCTGTGACAGCGTCCATTGTTCGTCTGTCTGCCTATGCATCCCTTATTTGTATAAAGGTGATACTGACAGTAGCGAGTGACCTTTGTTCACTTTGCATGACCTTGCCCTTCAAGCTGCATCAGAGCATTTGTTCTTCTGATGAATGTCTTGATTTCTTTCTACCTGCATCTGTCATTAACCTTACATCATCAGCTTGCCCCAGATACACAGGGATTTGACAGTGTTCGTGTCAGATCCTGTTTTGTCACACGTTTTGTATTCTCACCAAACACTTACATGGCAACAAATGTAGTATTTGTTGATGATATAGATCTGAAGTATGTTATTTGATTAATCTGTGGTGCGGTTACAATTTCTTTCTCTCCCTGTATGTTCCATGTTTGAAAAATAGAAGCCTGTGGCTTTTGGAAATTAAAAACAAAAATCAATTTGGACTTAATCAGACACAACAATGATCCTCAAGTTCCCATTGGGAACATTTTTTTTACAATGTCATAGCAAAAAGGAAATGAATGTTGGAGATTGAACTTTCAGTCTGAAAAAATCAATTTCCTTTCATCGTGAAGTAACATTTGGCTTTACACGTTTTACGTCCTGTCGGCCTTTTGATTAAGGATCTTCCTGGAACATACAGCCCCCTCTCCCACCTGATGTCCTACTGTACCTACTCTAACTGCATGTGTTGGCTTCTTTGCTTCCTCATCTGTGTGAGTAGATTGGGTTGTTTTTACAGAACATTGCTACTGGCGGTTTGTGAGTGTTTGACTGCTTTAGATAGTCTTGTGACCTACTAAATCGGGACAGCACCGTGAGGGACGGGAGATGAGGGGTGGGGCGGGTGTGGACAGGACAAGCATGTGCTCCTTCACTTGGCCTCTGCAGATGTGTGTCAGCCTGCCTGTACGTGTGTGGTGGCTGTCAGATAGGTATGGTACATCTCGGGGTCAAACTTCCCCCACCAGGTTTAGATGGATGGCAAGCTTACTTCCTTTACAATGTTTCAGATTGTAAACCTGAGCTGCCTAAGGAAGCTGTTAAAAAGAGTGAAGATGAAGCTCTGCAGCCAGCCATTAAGAAACCAGAACAAGAGAACAAGGTAAGGGCCTCTTGAATAAAGAGGTGGAGGGGTAGCCGAAGGGTTAATGTGTTGACTTGTCATGATGGAGACCTGGGTTTGATTCTTAGTGTGTCATAACGTGACTTGACATAAATATTGCCACATGTGGTGCAAAACCCCAACTTTCCAAAAGTAAGGTAAAAGTATAACCCAACCCAATAGTTTTGGGAATTGGTTAAAATTTGTAAAGGCAATCAATGATTCATGAATGATCAGTGGTAAGTGAAATATTGTCCATTTGCGATAATCATTCTCAGTAACCTTTATGATGATGACCATATGACAGATGTTGCTGTACGGTGCAGTAGTAACACATTTACTTGGAACCATTGCAATAGCAGCAGGAATCCTTTGATGTTGGTTTGAATCCCAGATTTCACCTGATAATGATTCATGGTTTGTCAGCACCTTACCTGTGCTCATTGGTTTCACCAATGTAATAGTGTTTTAAGACCTTTAAGCTCACTTGCTTTGATACAACTGAAATACCGTATTTCCTATATTAGACACTTGGGCGTCTATTAATTTTGCTGATCCGGTGTACTTAAGAGGCATGCGTCTATCAGTGACTGTTGGAGGCCCTGTGTCTATTCTGGTTGGCAAATCACTAATCACTAATCACTAATCACATCTGAATCTCAAATTCCAAAGCCTTACAACGGGTACATTTGCAGGAAATGGACATTACATAAATAATTGTTACATGCCATAAGTTAATGTGATAGGCATAATCGATTTCATCAAATGATGTACCCAGAGTCTAATAGTGGCCCGGCTTCTATTTTTGTGACAGAGTATGACCTGGTGGCAATTAGAGGCAGGTGTGCATTGGATACCCATTGTCTAATACTAATAGAGGAAATACGGTACTGGTCAGAGCAGTGTTCAGTCACTCATCAAAATAAACCTGTATTATTGTGAAATAATTGAATAAAGATTTCATGATCAATTCCACAGTTGAATACTGAAACATTCAAAATTGATAGCATGAATTAACAGCCTTAAAAAGGTGTCCCAAGTTCTGTATGAACAATACTATAAAAATAGATATTCTTTAGAAATTGTGTGTCTTGTTTGAACACATACAGAAGATGTGATTGTACTTGATTGTACATTGACAAAGTTGGTTGTCTTGCAATGGACTATGGCACCATCTTTAATCCTTGACATGTTGCATGATAGGCTCCGGAAGTTACGGATGATGCTGGTGATGGCAATGCAGGTGCTGGTGATGCAAGAGCTGCTACAGACGCTACCCAAAAGGATGGGAAGGGAAGCACACCTGGAAAGACAGCAACACTTGCCAAGGTGAAGAAGGTGGCCCCCAAACCCCCGAAACTACGAACTGGGCCAGTAACTAGATCTGCTAAGGTGAGTTAGTGGTTTGGTCTCATGGACAATACATATGCCCACAATTCGCAGAATAATAACTGAATTTTGGTATAGGTTCCAATCATCCAAAATCTCGCAGTAGTGCATAATACTCCAAATTCGTTGAAATGACAAAATTGCTATTTTTTTATTGAATTTTTTTTATCTTCTTTCATCTTTGCATATTTTGGTATTGAAAAAACTGAAATGGATGGAAATCATTTATTTATTTTTATACTTTTGACATGTCTTAAATACTTTTGGCTTGAGTTTTGTAAAACTTAGAAAGGTATACAGTTTTCAGTTATAAAGTGCCCCTTACAATGAGGTAAGTCTATTTGAAATGTTCGATTTGTTACCTAGTTAAGAGACAATTATGGAGATGACCGACAAGTGTTAACAATTCTTTTCAGACTGAGATTACTTTATGAAATGACTGCTAACAAGCTTGTGAAAAATTCCCTTGATAATGAACATGAAAGGTTAAATGATAAATTATGCAAATATAGTAAGAATATGACCAATCTGTTCTCCTCCAAAGTGTCCAAAAAGAGATATTCATTTTGTTACAAAGAAATGGAATGGTAAAATGTGATAAGTGTTTATAACAGCACCATTACTATCAAACATAACCTTAAGGTGAATGTCACACATGAAATTATTGCCCAAAATGAAATGATCTAAATCTCTCCCCACATTAAATAGTTGTCAGCAGTCATACAGAGGTATATGAATGATGACCATCACAATATCGTATGACACACTTCTACTGTTATAGTGACTCCTGGTCATACAACATTTTATTTTCCTTTCCTTTCTTTCAGCGTAAGTCAGCCTGTCAAATGTAATGTTACGATTCAAACCTTGATTTCTATCAGTTTATGTAGTCTGTCTTTGTGTGTGTTCAGACAGTAATAGGGTATTCAATTTTACCCATCACATTTGATATTACATTCAGAGCCTAGTAACCATGGTAACCAGATATATTCCAGTATGACTCCTCATCTGCACTTGCAACGTTAATACATGATCATAATCAGTTTGTAAGCTAAATATCAATATTTCCTTATTCAAGAAGAAAGCAATCTTTCAGTATTTTCGCTGGTATTATGACTGCAGTTCACTTTCAATATGCATACTTTGGGGGATGTGCAACATTCACAGAACAGCATTTGCTCCGTATGAATCATTTTGGTCCTTATCGACATGTTAAAAACTTTCCTCAATATTCTGTATGGTAATACAAAATCTGTTTTCTTCTACACATATACTAGAATTATGATACTATGTTGTGTCATATTCGGTATTGGTAATGCATTTTGTAATTAATCAGAATTTTATGATTTTTTTGAATAATATTAACTTTTAACTTTATGTAATGGGACGTTAAGTTACCTGTTTCTTGAAGGAACCTTGGATGAAAAAACAGAACGAACAGTGGAAGATTTTGTGCATTCCCTAAAGTGTGTATATGTTTGGCTTATATTGGTATGCCTGGGTTTGCTATGTTGTATTGTTGGATTATGCCCATTCTAATGTGCACTCTAACTCGTAGTTAGCTCTCTCCCGTTCTATACTAGCGTAGTGTAGACTACACACTGATTTGCCCCACACAGGTTTCCCCATGGCACTTGTGTTACGAATATTGGCCATTTTCTACAGGGGTGGTCGCATGGGTCACTCACTTGTGACATGTCCGTGGCTGAGTGAATGTGTGCATCCACCGCAAGCTGTTTCATGTAGACAAGTTCTATATCATAACAATTGTAGGGATGTGGTTGCATGTTGTGTTATTATCGTTATATGGATTTGGAGAAAGTCCAAGAGCATTATGATTTTGACTGCTACTTTTCTAGTTTGAAATTTCACTGTACAAGACTAACAGTACAAGATCATCTTCTTGTAAACTCAATTGCATGAAAAAATCAATGTGTTGGGAATTTGTTTTTTAAGAAATTAGTAAGAGCAAATCATAGATCATGTTGATCTTATATTTAGCCCATCTGGTCCAGAGGCCAATTGAGCTATAAGTGTCATGTCCACCGTCTCCAGTCTTGTTAACATTTTTGGTTCTGTGGTAAGTTGACCTGATTTTGACAGATTTTCACTTAAAAACAGGACAGACACATGACAGTCAATATGACAGAAATATGTACGATATGAAGCCAATCCTGTTAGTAAGATAATTATTTTCTGAGTTGGTTCAATTTCAAATGACCATTGGTGAAGATGGTCTTTGTCATTGGTAGATCCTCATCAATTTTTTCAGCTGACTTGAATAAATAAGAGGTTCAGGGTCATATGATCAGTCAAATTGTGTATCAGGACAGGTTACTTTGCTTTGCTTTGCTATGAAAATCATGTGCCCAGCTGTGTTTTACAAATCTAGATGACACACTGCAAATCCATTCATTACCTTCAGCTTAATGCCTCTTATTGAAACGATGAATATTATCACACATTTAAATCAGTTGAGCATAAATCCAAAATTGATCCTGAAGTTGTCGGATGTGTTTGCTTGTTTTCCCCAAATGATGTGTATTGATGAACGTCTAGAAGTAGCCAGGTTTTTGTGGACATGAAAGATGGTTGACATGAAACATTAACATCAGTTCCATGATGGTTGTTCTAGTGTCTCGTAGAATTGCATGGCTCTTTATGATTGTTAAATATTTTTATTTACATGAAGTGTGTGTATTTTTTAATATATATCTTTCAACTATGAAAAAGAATAGGTAATTGTAGTCAAGTACCTATCCCATTAAATTGTCTGTGTAAGAGGATATAGTTTCAAATTTTGATACCTGAAAATCAATGTCCCCACAAAAGTAGGGTTTCAGTAGACATGATATTTGAAGGTCGGAGATATCTAAGAGGCATTCTGTGATGTAATTACACTCTCCTGCTGCACATGTAATGTTGGGGATAAGGTGGTCACGCTGATTGTAAGGGATCAAGGGTAGAGGGGTTAAAGCATGTTTGGCTCATCACATGGAACACCCTGGTACAACTCTCTACATCTGTACAATGTGTGAAGCTGACTTTTGGTCACTTTAGCAGTGATATGGCTTGAATACTGCCAGACACTATTATTTACAGGCCACCATCAGATAGCTGGAATATTGCTGGGTGCAGCATTAACAACAAACTCTGGATAGTGTTTAATGTTTCCTAGAAATACTTGCACACCTATTAATGTAGTTGTGAGCTGGTTCCTTTGCTGTTGATATTTCCATGGAAACAAGTGGATAGTGTCTGTTTCTTGAGTTTATCACAAGACCATTAAGTATTTCATTATGAAACCTTGAGTAAAACTTGGAGATATCAAATAGAGGGAAAAGAAGGGTTTTACTTTGACAGTGTGTGTGTATACCTTAATCCTCAATATTTTCCCTTGCTGATGCTTTCATTCCTTTATTCAGAGTAACATGTCAATTTTCAGTCATTTGTTTTGTTTCTTATTTCTTTATTTTATCCAGTTACCCTGTTTGTTTGATTTGACTTCAATTAACGTAAACATAACTTTTTGGTCTAAAACATTTTCAAATTAATGAAATAAAATGGGACCAATAATAACTGTAATTGTTTTCACAGAACATTAACCTTTCCTGTAGACATATCTAAGTATGTAGATGTAGTATTGCAAAACTTGCCATGCTTGGCTTTCACCTTCTGATAATAAGAGTGTTTGAGTTTACTAACTTCTGTGCTCTAATATTTATAAGGAAAAAAGTTGCAGATAGAGAGTGATACTGTTATCAACAGAATTAGTGCCCCTCCAAGGATAACACCCACATGCCCCACAACGTGCATCCCCCTAGACCCGCTTTTCTCATTCCTCTTCTTGACTCAACATTTGATGGGTATTTAAATCTTCCTGAAGAAAACCACTATATGTGGTTAACAGTTGGAACTACTGTTACTGCTTTGCAGTGTTGTATTAATCCAGGGGGTGGAAGGGTAGCCTAATGGTTAAAGTGTTCGCTCACCACGCTGAAGACCCGGGTTTGATTCCCCACATCAGTACAATGTGTGCCCAGTTCTAGTATCCCCCGCTGTGATATAGCTGGAATATTGCTAAAAGCGGTGTAAAACCATACTCGCTCACTCATATACATATTAATCCAGTGAATTAAAAACTTGCTTTCTCATGTACCCACTTAAGACAGGGCATTAATTTTGTTGATTGTGGGTTGCTCTTGTATGTGCAGCCATTTTGTTTAGTTTGTTTAGAGGTTGCCAAGAGCATTTGTGTCAGGGATAATTTGTTTGTATTTAAAATCTGTAACATAAAGAATGTGTGATTAATGTGCAGAAACAAAGTAGTTATCTGATACAGTTTGAGAGATAACAACATAATGGCATGATAGATCTACCTATAAATATACAAGCTATGCAATATAAGATTTTAACCATGTGGTTCAGGGCAACACTGTCAATGTGGCTTGTTATTGGGCTGGGCTTGGGAAAACAGATATTGTTTGCATGGTTTTTGTATCATTTGGTTGGTACCCCTTCTGCATGAATGTACTTTAATTGACAAGTATCTTTTTTATTAATATGTACCTATTTAATCATTTACTTAACCCTTGGGGGGATGCCCTTCTTCTATTGTACTAACACTGGTTCATGATGATGTAATTGTGAATTCATCATCTGTGTTGTGTTCATCATAGAACTGAAACATCTAACATTTGTGGTCATCAAATCAAAAGCAGACAGTGGAGTCAGCACCACGCTGTTTCTCAATGAGCTTCCATTTCAGACTTTCCGATCACACAATATTTACAGTTTTGTTCAAATTGCTTGCTTTTATATTGTTTGAAAATCTGAAAATGTTAAGCTAATATGCAAATGAACTGTAAAAACATATTCCATTTTGCAATTATTTGAACATAATTAGTGACTGCACATTGAGATTATAGAGTGTTATGGTATGTATGTGTTTTTGTCAAAATAACCACTTTCCCTACCATGCTTACACTTTTAATGTGTGAAAATTAGAAAGTTACAAAATATAATTTTAATCAAGTCTAAACTTATAACAGTTCTCATAAGTTGCAATCTGTATGGATAATGTTGATGTTTTTCTTTTCAAAACAACAGTAAGAAATTTGACATTTTAACCAGATAATTAATGTTGCCTTGACAATATTGTGGTGTGGATATTTTCCCCTATTTTATTCTTGAAGACTTGCTCAGTACTCCATATTTTAGCATGGATGTTTGATCTTCAGATTTGCTTTCAGTATAGATCTGAATACACATTTTACCAGTGTGATCAATTTCAGGACTTTTCAAATAGTTTTGACAAACATATGACTTCTGCACCCTGGGCAAATAACTGTCATTGAAAAATTACATCCATACATTCATTATTAACTTGATGGATCAATGTCTTGCTTCAGTTACTTTTTTCTGATGACATTTTGTCCTTTATTTTATTGGATATTTCCATTCATGATGGATGCTGTTTAAGAAGTCCTGTTCTCTCACCCCTTGTGTAAGGCTAACACATAGTTGTATGAGTGCTGGCATATCTACATTGCACTTCACCAAAGTTGTCATTTTATCAAATTTGGATGATCCAGAAGGACATTAATCTGCAACAACTATTAATCACTTAAACCTTATTAAAACCTGTTTCAAATGTCTCCTTGAAAGTTTTATACAAAATATCCTTCAATAAGCTGTTTTGCCAAGAGAGGTTTTTAGTAGAAAATGAGCCTTCAAGAAGTGGTCATCCAAGCTTTTGTATAATGACAGCATTATTTCAGATTAATGTTGCAGTTTAAAGGCAGTTCACATCCACATCATGATGTCAACATGTCACAAAGTAGAATATTCGTGTTGATTATCATTTCCAGAATATTGGACAATCATTCTGAAATTGTGTCAAGCGACCATTTTTCTTGAAGATAATCAGAGTGTTATACAAGTATATACACATTCTAGTCTTGTGGATCAACGTAACATGTTCATTTAACACACAGAGCAGGATATGAGCAAGATTTTACCACATTGTAGTTGTGATGTCATGTATACTCCAAGTCGGATTTAGGTCCATTAGCTGAGGCATACATGTTATTTATCCTGTCCATTAATGCCAAAAGCTGTTGCATGAAATGATGTGATTATCAAATTTGTCAAGATGGTGGTTTGACTATAAGTTGATGAAATATTTAGCGTCAATTTATCAATATTTAGACTTAAATTGTAACAGAAACGTTTCCCTTCATTTGCTTGTTTTTGCTGTCAGTAGTACAAAGAGCAGAATCGACACATAAAAGATTCCAAAGGAAAATCACCCTCTCAGATTCTTACTGAGCATAGTAACTTCTAAAACCATTATATTAACACTCTTCAACAAACCATTTAATGGATGTCTCATTCATGTCATTAATTGATTACTTAGTTTTATGGGAATAAGAACCTTAGTTTTTCAAATCATTGAACATTCCTGATGAAAGTTTTTGGCCATAGACATAATACTATTTAACATGAGTTCAACATATCCTGCTGGAATAAATTTAATTAGTTGTATATAATTTTTTATAGATTTAGCATGTGTCGATTGTGTTCTCCATGTAACTTTATAAGATGATATAACAGAAAACCTGTAAGATCTATTGGCTTTGGGGTTGCATGTCTTCTAGTTACAAGCTTGCTGTAATGAGTTGGTTACCCTCACTCATAACAAATATCTAAAGCACATTGTACTCTGTGGACAACTGCATACTGGATACAGTCCTGGTTAAACCAATGTCTCATTCATCTCTCCCAATTGTGGAATGTATTTCACTATTGTCATACTCAGTTTGAAAATCATGTATTTTCAAAGTCAATCTAAGAAGTTGTTTTTTGAAAGTGTTGTTTGGATTTAAAAAGGTTATTAACTTCTAAGATGATTTCTGGTTGAGTATGACAGTGTTTACTATTGGTTGGCAGGGATTTATCTAGATCTGCTTAGAAGCCGATATTTGGCCCCAAATCTGAAGCAAATGTCATTAAAAAATTCCAATCTGAATGAAACATTTACCAATTTCTCAGATATTTACGAAAATAAGAACTGTAAAAAAATTAATTCAGTTTGGAACAATGTCACATCCCCCCACCCCACCCTGAATTTGCTTGCTAAGGCACTGATTTTGGAATCCTAGATAAATCTCTGTGTATGTTTGTATTGATTTTCATTTCTTCATTCATATAATTCCAAATGTTGTATCATCATGTTGAAGTTCTGTCGAAAATATTCCATGATGTTGTAAATTATGCTTTTATCTGGTTGGATTGTACTTTCCTGTAATATAAGAAACTTATAATGACTAAAGGGATAAAGAACATCGCCTAATTGATGTAATTTTTTCATGAATTGATTTATGCAGGATTGTTTTTATCCCCATCAGTAAGTAGGGTAGGAGAGACTAGTTTTATGTGATAAGAGGATGTGCTATGAGGATACTGATGTTTTCTAACATCGTGGTGATGGTATGAATTTATCTTACAGGCATCTGGCGCAGTCACTGGCAAAGAGGACCCTAGTGAAAAGAATGATGTTAACTCGAATAAGTAAGTCTACTATTGTTTCCTCAGTGTGGTTAGTTGTTCTCCCAGCATGCTTGGAAGTTGATTGCACACTTTGGTACAGTATGAGATGCCCGTTTTTGGTGTTCAGTACTGCGCTTTTTCTGAAACATGCATTGCACACAAACAATTGTTTTTGAGACAGATGACACTTCGACTGTAGAGCTTTTGTGCAGAAAATGTCACATGGACCAGCTCAATGCTTGACCTGACGCAAGGGTGGCCTAGTCTAAGGCGCCGCAATTCACTGTGCAGAGTTGCGTCCCTTGGGCACGCCAGAAACCTATGATTGTGGGTTCGAATCCCAGTTCGCCCCAATTATGTTTCTAGGTTTGTCAGCACCATACCCGTGCTCGTGGGTTTCACCAAAGTGGTAAACGTCTGAGACCTGCATCACTTCGGGCTTTCCTCCCACATTAAGCTAACTCGCTGTGATGTAACTGGAATACTGTTAAAAGCTGTGTTAAATCCAATTCACTCACTCACTCACTCATTACATGCTGTCATGTCATAGCTGTAATAAGTCTGTGACTGCAATATAAAACAACATTCACTCAATTTTCACTTTGTTGTATCAAAACTTAAATGGATCATGACAGATTCTGAACATATTGTCACATGTTAATACAAAATTTGTGTTGTCTGCTGCAGGTCTACTACATCTGCAGAGGATGATCAGAAGGGAAGTATCAGCTTTTCCTTCACGAAGACGGCTCCAGCCAGGATTGAGACGTCAGCAGCATTTGCACCCGAACCAGATGAAGAACAGAAAGAAAACAATGAGAACAATAATGCTGAAGTTGTTCCCAGTAGTAGTGCAAAAACACCTGATTCCAAGAAAGAATTTTCCTTCATGAAGATCCTCAGCAAGGATGACAAAGAACTGGACTGGCCTCAGGATATGATTCAGTACACTAAATGTGAACCATGTTTGAGCTTCAGTTGCAACCCCCTCTATTTTGACTTCAGTCAGTTATTGTTGAAGTCTAAGCCTAAAGCTGTAGATCCCTTACCTGAAGTGAAAGTAGTACCAGAGGAGGTTCAGGACAGTACTAAAGAAGTGAAGGATGCTGAGGTAAAAGTGGAAGATGCTAAACCTGAGACCAAACCTGTTGAAGTTGAGAAAGCAGAGAAAACAGAGAAAACTGACAAAACAGACAAAACTGACAAATCTGACAAAACTGACAAAACTGAAAAAGTGGAGAAAGTTGAAAAAGTGGAGAAAGTTGAGACAGAAAAGGACGACATACCTGACAAACAAGAAGGGAAGAATGACAAAAAGGTATTTGAATTCACGGCTGAACAGGTGAAGAGTGAAAAATCATCAAAGAGAAAGAAACGAAAGCATAAGAAGAAGAAAAAGCATAACAATGAAGCTGATGGAGAGGAAAATGCCAAACCAGCAGATGGAGAGGGTGAGGACAAAGAAAATGTTAAACACAAGAAGAAGAAGAAAAAGAGGAAAAAGCATAAACATAAGACAGCTGATGGTGAGGAAACTGTTGAGAAGAAATCTAAAAAGAAGAAGAAGAAATCTAAAAAGAAACATACTAAAGAGACGGGAGAAAACCATGAGGGTGGTGAAACGGAGCAGGGGCCATCTGATGAAGAAAAGGCATCCAAGAAATCATCACGGAAGAAGTCAAGAAGAAGAAAACGCAAACACAAAACTAGTGAACCTGACCCTGAAGCTGTCAAAGCTGAAGGAGCCACCGTAGAAGGAGCCACCGTAGAAGGTGATGCAGATGTTCCACCCAGAAAGAAGAAGAAGAAAGCTAAGAAAAATAAACTTGTGCTAGAATATAAAGACACTGCGTCATCTGAGTCAGGGGGTGAGAAGACAGATTTGAAGCAGGAATGTAAGGTGTCTGTTGCTAATGAAGGGGAACCTGATAAAACTCCTAAAAAGTCACTTACTCCAAGAAAATCTACAAATAATGTCAACAAGACCTCTGGAGATTTAAAGTCAACTTCTGGACAGAGTGAAATGAAATCCCCGCTGAATAAGGTCTGTGGAAAAGGGACACCACAGAAATCACCGCAGGATGCTAAAAGTGGAAAGAAGATAAAGACTCCTGATGTCCAAGATGCTAAAACTGGATCCTTGAGAAAGAGAAATGCAAGTGAGTCTACAACTGATGACTTGACACCTGCAAAGTTACAGAAATCAGAACTAAAAGAAAAAAGTCAGAAAAGTGAAGACACTTGGAGCAAGATTGAAGGAATCTATGAAAGCAAACCTGCGGATGATACCAGCAAATCTAAATGGGATACCAGTGAAAGTGAAGGTGAAGATATAGAAAAAGATTCCAAGAAAGAGGAGAAAATTCCAAAGTGTCCAAATGGAGGGTGTAATGAAACTGAAAATAAATCTGGAAATTCTAGAAATGAAAGCAGGGACAATGATAAACAAAATGTTTCAAATAAGAGTCGAAGATCTTACAGCTCATCTTCTGACTCTGACCGATACAGTAGTAGGTCAAGAAGTCGATCTAGGGCTAGTCGATCTAGGGCTAGTCGATCTAGGGCTAGTCGATCACGGTCAAGGTCATATTCACGGTCTAGGTCCAGGTCCAGATCTCGATCTTACAGATCACGTTCCCGTTCTTACCACAGTTACAGCGATGATTCCAGGTACAGCAGGTCAAGGTCATCCAGTCGTTCACGGTCTGGAAGAAGCTACACGAGAAGTCATTCTCGCCACAGGTCGAGAAGAAATAGATCATACTCACGGTCCTATAGCCGATCAAGTAGATCAAGTTACTCTAGGTCAAGAAGCTCCTCCAGATCCTACAGTCGATCAAGGTCTTATACACGCTCTAGATCTCGTTCTAGACATAGATCAGGTTCCAGGGGACACTCCTACAGATCATCATTATCATCAAAGCACTCCAAACTAACACCTGCTACTATTTCTACTAAAGATACCAGTACCAAGGAGGAACCTCCAAGTGGAGCTGCTCTGGTTGGAACTCCAGGGGAAGAAAACAAGAAAAGTAATTTAGATATCCCTCTACCTGCAAAGGAAGAAACAGATAAGGAAACAGTACCTGAGAAAAGTGATGCTAAGCAACTTGTTAATATCCCATTGCCTCCACCTGGACAAACTGAGGGACAGTCAGCAACAACACCGAATGCTGGGTCTTCAGGAGATGGAGACACTTCTGTTGCTCCACCTCCACCACCACCTGATGAGCATATGGGAGATTATGGCCCAAACATGGGCCATGACATGATGCATGGTATGAGACATGGTATGCATCCAGATATGGGTATGGGACATGATATGGGCCATTACCCAAATATGCCGCCGCCACCACCACCACATGGATATGGACATGGACCTCCTCCAAGAGGGATGTTTTTCCCTGGCCCACGACCAGGACCAGGACATCGACCAGGACCTGGAATGGGCCATGGTCCAATGGGACCAGGTGGTCCTGGAATGGGAATGGGTCCTGGTCCAATGGGACCCAGGGGTGGTCATGGTATGGGTCATAACATGGGGCCAGGAAGACCAATGGGACCCAGAGGACCAGGACCAAGACCTGGAATGGGTCCACCAGGCCCAGGAATGGGACATCCAGGTCGTGGTGGTCCAGGAATGGGACATCCAGGGCCTGGTATGGGTCCAGGTGGACATGGAATGGGTCCAGGTGGCCCAGGTATGGGACCAGGGCCAGGAATGCGTCCTGGACCACCAGGGTCAAGGATGGGACCCCCAATGAGAGGACCTCCAATGAGGAATCCAGGACAATTTGGACCACCTCTTGGCATGGCCCCACCTGGGATGCGAGGTCCCCCACTTAACAGAGGACCACCACCTGGAATGGGCCACTATCCACCCAGAATGATGGGACCCCCAGATCACATGAAGCCTAGAGGATCACCACCGCCACTTCCACCTCCAAAATCACCATCACCTCAACCTCCACCACCCCCAAAGAAAGAAGAGGAAAAGAAAGAGGAACCCAAACCAATGGAACCCCTTATTCCACCTGAACAAGCTGAGCAGTATCGCAAGCTGCAACAACAAGCAGTGAAACATGCAAAGAGACAACAGCGTAGGCAGAAACAAATGGAAAACGGTGAGCCTGTTGAATCAAGCTCTGATGAAGATGAACAAATGGATACTGAAGAGAGCGCAGCTGCTCTAGCAGCAGCTGAAGCTGCTGCTGAGGAAGCAGCAGCTGTTGAAGAAGCTCAGACCATCTTGCTACCAACTGCACAATCTCCTCTGGTACAACAGCCAACCTTGATTCTACAGCAACCTATTCCCAGTCCAGTTCAGTTTGCTCAGACACCTCAACTAATTCAAGCTCAGCCACAATTCATAGTGCCACATACTGCAGGAGTCCTCAATCAGATGGGCATGCCTATTCAAGCTGGAGCTCCAGTCATTGCCATGCCACACATGGCTGGTGCAACTCCTATGTCAGGCATGCAGGCTTACCCAATACAAACACCAGGAGGTATCCAGCTGGCAACTGGCCAGTCCCTGCACAGTCAGCTGTTAGCATCAACTCAAGGGGGGCTGCACTTCCCAGCAGGTGTGGGTGGTCTTCAGGGTATTCCTGGTCTCCAGACAATACAGAACCTCCAGCAACTTCAAGGCTTACAGGGTTACCAGGGCATGCATGGTGTTCAGGGCATTCAAGGTATTCAAAGTTTGCAGGGCTTGCAGGGCTTGCAGGGCTTACAGGGCTTGCATGGGTTGCAGGGGTTGGTCCCTGGTCTGCAGCATATGTCGCAGCAGGTTTTGATCCCAGCACAGCCACAGGGTCCCGTCATTCTTATACCCCGGATTCCACGTCCAACATTGTGATGAAAGTGACATGTAGAACAGTGGTTATTGCTTCAGTCAAGTTCAAGGTGCTGTGGAAAACATGTAGTGTAGTATGTGCAGATGGTAAACTTTGAAGTGCAATCATAGATCTGTTGTTATTTTTGACAGCTACCAAAACCTATTCTGTGATATGCTTTTGGTGTGATCATAACAGATGTAACAGATAATGTGATTGTGATAGTCAGACCTGTATGGTCATTGTCCACTGGAGAGAAATATGACCACCATGCTAAGTGTTGCTGTGTCTTGAACTGAAACAAAGGCATGTTCACCATGACTAATTACCATGAATAAGGATGGATTCATTTTGTGCCAAAAATGAGTCATGTCATGGTTATGATCAGATTGGACCTGGATTACACATTGTCATGTATGACAAATTATTGTTATTATTATAGATGAGCCCTCCAAGACCATGTAAAGTGTAGCTTATGCCTAAAGAGAACTTCGTCTTTCCTGAATTCCTGTATGTTGATGCCAAGACAATCAGCACAATACGGATACTGTCTGCTGCATAAACTTTTGGATGGACTGCAGTGTGGTAAAGTCACTGTGAATCACATAAAAGATTTGCCTTTTGATGCAGTAACGTTACAGATATGTATGCTGCCTGTTGTTTGGGTTAATCTGCAACTATTACTTGAACTTTATGCATGCAACAAGTTGCTCAGTGCCAAATGGAAAACAAATTTGAAAATCTTTAGCAGCGACAGGATATGATGTTGATGTTCAACACTGAGTATGTAGTGAAAAATGTCTCAAGAAAATCTAGAAACTAGAAAATCAAGGTGTATTTGAGTAGACCCTTAGGCCATAATAAAGTATTAGATTTCCATCCCTGCCCACTTCACTACAAATGCCCAACATAACATCATTTTGTTGTTCCTAAATACCTACAGATGAAGAGAATCACTGTGCATTCCTTTTCTATGCTTGATGGGAAAACATCATATCCATGTCCTACCAAATATCCATGCTTCGTGTGAGTGCATTCAACACCTAATGCAACAGATGCCTTAACAGCTTGTTTAGAAGGAATAATAAAATACTAACTTAAATGGCTCTTCCTGCCTCACACTTATGAAGAATGGGATGAAAATCTAATTACGTATTTGTTGTGGCCTCAAGGAAGATGTACTGATTATTGCATGTGTTGCTTATTAAAATCATGATAAATGTGCTTTTAAATGAAAACAGACAAGGTCTGTTGAGGTTTTACAGTGCTAGAGGTTTGACTTAGATTATCCTGTGTAAATCTTCTCAGTTCGATAGAGAAGTTAAAATCTTCAAAGTGTTTTAGTGACCGAAAGTGGATGTCAAATGTTGTTCATTTGGAAACACTTTGTTCTTTGTACCAGAACCTTTACCTTAATCAGTGTCAGGCCTGGTCTGGTTATGATGTCTCTTAGAGCTAATCAGGAAGTATGTAATCCCCCAGTTCTGTGATGCAGATTAACCTGTAATTCCTGTGGATTGTGATGTTTTTAACATGTGATTGAATATGCATAGATGTTCATATCCAGAATGTCAGTTGAAGGAAAGACACAAATGAAGATTTGGTAAAAGTCCTTTAGAAATGTTGGTAGATGTAGTAATTACTTGTGCTTTTATCAAGCATAAATTTAACACTTTAATGTAAGATGAATATAATAAATTGTGTCTGGACTCAAAAGAAGAAAATGACAATATGCCATATTTCCGTGCTTTTATTCAAGCTTAAGGTTATGTTATTTTCAGTTTTAATTCATTTAAACAGTCTCACACTTGACTCTTTAGTAGAGGTTAAGATTCATTGTAAAATCAGGATTATGATTCATTGTAGTCTTGCTCTTGTATCATGTGTAAATAGAAACAATATCATTTCGAAACAACAATATCATTATGAAACTGAAACAATTGATATGCGAAAGTGAAACATTTCAAGTCATGCACTTCTTAAATTTTGTTTTCAGTACCCTTCATTGTATCAACTACTTCTTGTAGAATAGAAAATGCAAAGATGAATTGTGATGTTTATTTTCTTCTGTTACATCCATATAATTAATAAAAACAAATTTTTGGTACCTTCATTCATGTGTGAAGAAAATAATTATTTTTTTAATTTTAGTTATGTATGATAAATAAGTGCCTTAATGTAATTCATTTTTCAAATTAAACAGTAATATTGGATCAAGTTTCTTAAATAATTCCCACAGAATGTTTTTCATAAGGGATTCACATACCGGTATGCCTAACACAAGTACATTACTAATGATACCAAACAAATTTTATGTCTGGAGTAAAATGGGCGGTCCTTCAACAATCCCAGGTGATTTTATTGTCTCATCATTTGAATAACAATCAACATTTTAATCAAGTCATTAGATGTAGTTATTTATCCAGCATATTCACATACCAATTGATTCATGATGTCATTGTTATTATTTATGATTCCTGAGATTTGTTTTATTTGTGGAAACTGTGGAATATGCCTTCTTTCTTAGTCACAGACATTAATATAATTTTACCTTAGTCACTATGACATTGTCAAAGCTGTTATTCTAGACACCTTATGTAATAGTCATAGATCAGAAATAGTTGTTTGTCTGTGGCCATGATTGTCATGGTATATTCCACTGTTTCGATCTGAGAGAGTTTTGTACCCAGCTAAGTATATGCAAATTGTTGATGATTGTATTATAATCTTTGCTCATCTGTACAGTCAATTGTAGTTTAAATCAGAGGGTTTTTTTTGCTCCTAGGTCAAATGTTGTCCTGTTACTCTGACCAGTCAGAATGGAATGTGTGATGTATGCAGCATTGTAACATAGCTGTTGCCTTCTCAGAAAGTAAAAAAACATCAAGATGTCGGTCAGACTTGTTTTTTTATTTCTGATTTGTGGTCTTTGTGAAATGGTTAACATGTTTCACTATTCAGAACTGTCTACGTAGAGATTGTCAAGTGGTAAAAGAACCCAGAAACAAATGCTAAGTGGGGTAGCCAAGTGATTAAAGCATTGGCTCATCACGCTGAAGGCCCAGGTTCGAGTCCCGGCATCAGTACAATATGTCAAGTTAAAATATTGGTGCCCTATCCACTGCTGGTGTAAGCTGCATAAAACTCAACTTGCTCACACGCTCACTCTCTCTCTCTCTCTCTCTCTCACTCACACACACTCACTCAGAACAAGCCAATGTTAAAACTGTGGAGTACACATGCTTCAATCAAACCATGTTATTTTGTTGGAAGTACCATAGCTCTGAGCATAGTGAATTCTTGCATGAGGAAAATGTATTTCAAACCTCTTGTCTCACTTGGGCAGTGATTTGATTGCCCATTCATTTTGATATTTGAATAATGTCTACATGCAAATACATAACAGAAATTTCATTCAGAATGGTTGACATAATAAGGGAACCATATTTTGTTATCATTTCATGACTAATTACCAGTTTGAATTTAATTTGATTAAATTAATTAAATTCATCTGGAAAAGGTAATAGATCCACATCAGTCCATTTGATGGAGAGTATGGATAAACCTTTGGTTTACTCTTTACAAAGTTCAAATTAATTTTACGAAATGAACTTGAAACATGACATCTTTTGTGTAAAGTGCATTAAGACCAAACAAAAAGTTCATGTGATTTAGCAAAGTTTATGGACATGATACATAATGAAAGTCACTGATAACAATTTCATTCTATTATCAGGACAGCATCTGCTGCGTGTGTGTGTGTGTGTGTGTGTGTGTGTGTATATATATATATATATATATATATATATATATATATATATATATATATATGTAATATGGCATACAAATATTACTATGAATGTAAATACTAAGATATACATACAAAACTAATGTACAACAATGGAGGACTAATAATCCTTTCTAAATATTGATAAGTAAAAGATAAATATATAAAAACAACACTTTTGCTCACCTCGATAGGTTTAAATGGTTCCCAAAGACAGACTTGCATCAAAGGTTGCTATTCGCATTGATATTAAAATATTTGCAGAAATAAAGAGGACTAAAAACTAATACAAAATCTTAATATTTGAACAAAATATGTCTCCACAAGGAGACGCATACATGCCAAGTTCAGCTCCCTCCTGCTGGCAGTGAGTGAGTATGGTTTTACGCCGCTTTTAGCAATATTCCAGCAATATAACGGCAGGGGACACCAGAAATGGGCTTCACACATTGTACCCATGTCGGGTTTCGAACCCAGGTCTTCGGCGTGACGAGTGAAAGCTTTAACCACTAGGCTACCCGACCACCTGCTGGCAGTGTCATGGGAGAGGTTTATGTCCTTTTAGAGAATTAAGAGTATTGTCAAAACAAGGTCAAACTAAACTACTGCAAAAAAATGGATCATTTGTGTTGAAATTAAACAAATTCCTTTACATTTTGGACAAAAATTACTTGGTAATGTCAGTAAATTGAAATTTAATATTCTCATGGCACAACAAAGGCTGTTTTGGCTTCGACCAGACATGGGGTAACTGACACACTAATCAAATTGTCAAAACCACTGGCCTGCTGTCCATGGACAGTTTGGGCCTGTTTGGACTTGTTTCACTATTTTCTCCTATATGTAAAGGTGCATGATGGTGAAACTTTGCCTGGGCCATCCTACCAACGGCCTCCCTCAATGACACTCGAACCATTACTTTTCGTAGTCAAGTTTGGTTTCCATGGTAACCATATGCAATTTTTTTTTTTTTAAATTCACTTTGATGACACCCAACTTTTATGCCGCAAAGGTTTAATCAAGGTACAAAATGGCACAATTTGCAAAACGGAACATGTTATGCCCCACTACTAACTACATGTATAACTATACCTATTCCTAATTTCAATACATATTGCAAAAAGATGGCTGATTATTAGCTATTAATGGGTTTCTAAACATGGGAACAGTTGCATACATGTTTAAGATCTCTTCAGAATTCTGTGAGAAGTGTTTAGCAATGCTAATCATTCGTGCAATGTCTCGGCTTGATAGACTTTGTAGTTTCAGAGGGGATGTTGAAAATGCAGTAACAATAGAAAAACGGGTATTTGAATGTCACAGGTCATAACTGGATCAATAATATGCCAGCCTACATACTTCCACAACATGTATTTCAAATGCCATGTAAATATGTAATGAGGATAATTCTGTCCTATTTCTCTCAATTTCCCAACAGGGTTACAAATACTTTTGCAATCTTGTACCTGTGAAAAAACATCAGTTTACTCGCAACACACACAATTACCCTAACAGGACCCGTGAAGATCCAAGTTAGAATAGGTGGTGGTTTTCAGCAACCCATGCTTGCCATAAAAGGCAACTATGCCTGACGTAAGAGGCGACTAACGGGATTGGGTGGTCAGACTCGCTGACTTAGCTGATGCAGGTCATCGATCCCAATTGCGTGGGTCGATGCTCATGATATTAATCACTGGATTGTCTGGTCCAGACTCGATTATTTACAGACCGTTGTCATATAGCTGGAATATTGCTAAGTGCGGCGTAAAACAACAAACAAACAAACCAACTTTGCCTTTAAGGCTTCAGTAAATCACTCAAATTGAAACTTATAACCGCATAATTGAAAATGTACAGGAACCTTCTCAGTAGAGACTGATGTAAATTTATTTGTGTGTCCGTGGCATCAAATGACTGAAGTGCTAGTAAAATGTCAAGTGCTGTCATCAGCAGCAAATGGAAGTTAGAGCTACCTCCCTTGAACATGGCAGGCTTGATCGTTTGAGAAGTTTGGGGATGGGACAGTTTCTAGAAGGCTGGCTCTACCTTTAGAAGAGCAACCTTTTTTGACCTGATTTGTGTCTTATCTACATGTCAAGTGAAGATTGGATACCTACTTGAAAACACCAAGTTCCTGCCAGCTTCCAACACTATTCTGGATTCAAGAACGGAGACAGTCCAGTTTGAAGACATTCAACAGTGACAAAATACTGAACATTTACACGTGCACTATTATAAATACTAGGGCCTCTTACTACATGCTGCTGCCACTTATTTAACCCATTATATTGGCTTTTTGAGTGTAAACCTAAAACTCTGTGTTTCAATATAATTGACTGATTTATTGATCTTGGGTGATCATTTACTGATTTCACAATTTATCAGTACATACTCATTTCTAGCGTACTAACCTTCATGTTCAATTTGGAAATCACCTTGCACCACTAACCAACCACAAGAACAGACAACGCTCAACATGTCCATCTGAGCCAGATAAACCATTGCATCATATATCTGACAATGATAGTCTAATCAATCAGTGAAATAAGTCCCATATCTCTACAGTGGACGATAAACTGGCATTGTCACTATCAGGAGTGATGGGTTCAGTACGTTCCAGTTCTTAGCTTTCAAAGTTAAACCATAAAAACAGCTTGAATTACATAATAAATTGATTACTTAAGGGTGGTTGTCAAATGCTGTTTATCTCATTGAGAGGTACGAGTTCATATTTGCATTCAAGGCTGTACCACTTGTCAGCCATTGAACTTGAATATAAATAGAATCAAACACAGCATCCCTTATTCTGAGACTATTCATGGGGAAATGTAATGGATGGTACATGCTGATAATGAATGTTGACTGGTGAGATCAAAAAGCCAATTTCTTTTTCTTTTTCTTGGGTTTGTCTTGTTTCTTTGCATCTTCTTGTTCTAACCTCCTCTCTAGAGCCTGTCGCCTCATCAGCTCAGTGTCCTGAAAAACAACATACACTTAGTACAAAATCATTGAGGTGAGGTCAAATGGAGTTTACCGTCGTCATGTTCAAGATAATTGCACTTATATAGCTATGTGTGTCAGTGCAAATATAGCTGCTACTAGTCTACCAGCCCAGACTATTGCCAGTTTTATAGTGCTTGACCAAGATACCAGTTTGACATGGATACTCCACTCAGACACAGCATACTGATGTGATGTCAGTCTAAGATGTTTACTATTCTGGTAAAACCCACAAATACAGGTATGGTGCTGACAAACCAAGAATCATAATTAGGATAGGTAAATAGGATTCTGGCACGTCTAGGGGATGCAACTCTGCACAGTTGTGGTGCCTTAGACGCTCAGGGTGTTGATGGACAGTGATTACAGAGCAGAACTCAAAAACTTTTCAAAATTGAATTGAAACGTTTCAAATAAATACCCTACTATTGGCGTTTGCTGTTAAGATAACTCTTTTAGTTGTAAAAATTTATAATCAGGAATTCCACCACCTCCTTGGTCTAGTGGTAGAGCATCCATCCGGAGAGCGGAAGGTCTTGGGTTCGATCCCCGGCCATGCCATACCAAATGATGGTAAAATGTGGAACTTGTTGTTACCCTGCCTTGTGCTCGGCATTCAGGGGCCAAAACAAGGACTGGTCAGCATGGAGTCAGTATACTGTGTATTCATGTTAAACTGCGGCATGGTATCTCAGAGGACTACCACTACAAAATCAGCATTAGTCCGAACTAGTACAAGCAGCCACACACACGTGCATGCACGTTGCTATTTAAGTGCAATAAAAGGGAAACCCCATTTCACCTAAACTCACCTCACTTATATAAGTGGTAACATTTTAATAATAGTTATGGGAATATATGTTGAGTTGAGATGTGCCAATCATGACATGAAACGAGGGGGGTCTGTCAAGATCAGTACTTTAGAAAAGGGTCAAAATTGCCCTTTGTCCTCAGATTGTTCTTACCTTGGATGGTGTAGACTCAGCACTGCGTGATCCAACAGAGCCTGGACTCTTGGCCGGACTTTTAATGGGACTTTTGACAGGACTCTTTTCAGGGCTTGACCTGACTGGGGAGCTCCCCCTTCCTATAGATGTGGGCACCCTGTTGGCCCAGGATGGCAAGCTGGGACCCACACCAGCATTCAAACTCTCATCATCGTCCAGGCTGTCTGAGATGTCATCTATGTCACAGGGAGAAACAGTGTCAATGTGACAGCCATCTGTATCCACCACGCACCAACCACATTTTACCACCTTCTGATAAACACCCATTTTGACTGGTCAAAAATAGTGCCACAGCTTCATTTAGTCGAGTGGTTTCTGGCGAGATAATGCAATATGGTCAAAGTGGAAAGGTCCAATCAAGGTCAAACTTCTAAATATCGCTAAAAAATACCCAGGAACACAAATGCTCAGAGGCACTATTAACTTCACATGTTCCAAATTTCAATCCACTTTCAAAGAAAATGGCTGGATAATGGCCATAAAGAGCTTTTAACAACGAGGCTGCTGTGGTGGCCACATCGAAAATAAAATTTGCACTTCTTGAACAATTTTAGGTGTCATATTTGGTGGGCACAAGTATGTGAAATTTCAGCTTCATTTGTCCAGTGGTTTCTGAGGAGACCATGTTTATAGTGAAAAGAGAAATACATTTTGAGAGGATGGAGGAGCGTGGTCAAAGTACAAAGGTCAAAGGAAGGTCAAACTTTAAAAAATCGCAAAAAAAGGAACATGTATGTTGAGCCCCACTACTAACTACACATGTACCAGATATCGTTCCTTTATTGGAAAAAAAGATTGATAAATAATGGACACAAATAGCTTTTTTAAATAAGACTGTTGTGGTGGCCATATTGAAAATGAGATTCAACCTTCTTGAACAAATTTGGGTGTCATCATTACAGGAACAAGCATGTTGAGTTTCAGCTTTATTGGTCTTGTGTTTTTTTAATGAGAAGATGTTTATGACAGAGGATGGACAACAGCGACAAACAGGCCACGACATACGTTCACACGACTTTCAGACTTTCAGATTTTTTTGGAGGTAAACAGTATCAGAAATTTTTAATGATTTATATAGGTTGGGCATTATATATCGTTATTAAATTTGCAAAAAGTAAAGCTTCAGGACATTTTGTCCATCAATGTCCCAGAAAATGAATTGATCTGAGATCCTGCACATCAAACTAAAATTTATTCCTGACAAGAATACATATAAAAATAAAAGCAGCCATAGTAAATGGCTACAATAAATATCTTCATAATTAAGCAATTTAGTATTCAACACTTTTAAGAAGAAATTGTATAACAATGACGACACACCTCATAACACAGGAGACTCATAAATGTGAGTAAGTGTGAGCGAGGTTTTCCGCCGCTTTTAGCAATATTTCAGCAATATCACGTCGGGGCACACCAGAAATGGGCTTCACACATTGTACCCATGTCGGGAATCGAACCTGGGTCTTTGGCGTGATGAGCAAATGCTTTAACCACTAGGCTACCCAACCACCCCTCAATGGTCAAGAACATGAACCAGTCAGAAAGCCTGACCTTCAAAAGTGAGATGAGAACAATAAGTCATATTAAACATATTTCATCAGAGACAATGAAAACTAAAAAAAAGTTTTTGTTACCCTTAGTTGGTGACCTTGTGACCCAGGCATGCTTGGTCATAATCTGACGATAGAGGTCCTGACCATCAGTATTGAAGGCAGCAGAACCCAACTTCTTCACTGTGCTGTCAAATCCCTGGAAAGTTGTTTTTAACAGTTTTAAGAATAATAAATAATAAATGGATAGTGTTAATCTTGAAATTAATGCATCTCAAAATTAATATGACTGCTGACCCCTAGCCAAAAATGCGACTCAAAATCAATGGAACTCCCCCTCCCCCATCCCCAGTGGAATGATACATGTCCTTACCTCAATCCAATCAAACAGAAAATAGCACCGCTTATTAGTACTGAGTAGAGCACTTCCGTAATAACAATAAAAAGGTTCTAAAAACAACAACACACAGTTTATTTATTTTGTTTCTGTTGACTGGCATTAAGGAAGTTCAAAGGCAATAGGATAATTGAACCAACAACAGTTCAATGATATAAGTGGTCAATGATGCCTAGTTTGACACAAGTGGGTGGAACTCTTGACCCCAGCAGTGATAACTCACTGGATGCCTATTGTGTAATTCCTATTCTTTAAATGACATTGTTATGTACTTGTTAGAACTGCTGCTCAATAAACTGTGTTTGTATATATATTCAAGTTGGTATTTCCGCTATCAAAAGTGTGCAGTGAAGCTGTCTTATTGTTGATAGCCATTTTGGAGACATAAAAATGCGAAGTTTCATTAATTCGAACAAAGACCACTGACATTTTTCGCATTTAATTCACGCTCGTGCTAATTTTAAGATTTACAGTATTTGGCTTAAAAAACCAATAGTCTTGGTTCGAAGAAATGCCCACATCATCATAAAGTTTATTGCACGTTTCGTTTTTGTTTCCATTTTCATTTTTTTTTGTGAATTGTGTTTAAGTATTAGGATTTGTATATTTTTTTGAAAATGGAAATAAAAACAAAACGTGCGGCAGACTTTATGATGATGCGGGTGGTGCCTGAGAACCAAGACTATTATTTTTTTAGCCTTTGTAATGTTATAAGCGTGTCAGCTTAATGTGGGAAGGAAAGCCTCAAGGGACGCAGGAGTCTGACATCTACCACTTTGGTGAAACCCACCAGCATGGGTCCTAGAAACATAATTGGGGCGAACCAGGATTCAATTCATAGGTTTCTGGTGTGCCCAAGGGATGCAACTCTGCATAGCGAATTGCTCCCTGGAAAGGACATACTGCTCAGTGTCAACACAAGCCTACTTTCACTTACTTGTCCCTAAGGTCACGAAACACTAAAATGTCCAAAAAAAATAATTTCATCATAGTTTAGAAGCAAAGTAAAGGCAACATGCGGGAGACATGCGCGAAGCGGGCAATGATGAAAATATAATAAATTGTTTATTGAAGCCCAATACACAGCAGATCTTCTGTAAGATGATGTACAATGAAACCCTGTGTATCTGGACCCTGTTGGTGTGGACACCCTGTCTACAGGACAATTACTGCTAACAGAAATCATTCCTAGCCATGCAAAACATTGTCTGATGCACTCTGTATTTTTTGGGGCATCCGCTTAAATTTTTTATACGTATAGGAAGCTGGATTACACATCCAATCAGTGAGTTGGGTTGAACAGTATTTCAGTTATATCATGGTGTGTCAGTGTGATGTGGGAGGAAAGCCCCAAGTGACGCTTTCCAATTTGGTCAAACCCACGAGCAGGGCACGGTGCTGACAAGAAACATAATCAGGATGAACTGGGAATAGGAACACACGATCACAGGGTTCTGTCACACCTGAAGCATGAAACTCTGCACAGTGAATTGCGGCATCTTGGACAACTGGGTCAGTGTGGCCGCGGTAATACATAGAAATAACTTACCTTTGACGTCACCATATTGTTCCTGAAAGTAGTTTCGTCAAAAACTGTTGTCTCAATGTGTTCTGCAGAGAAGAAGTTAATAAAACACATCTCAATTCACATTGACCAACATTATAAAGATTCTCACTTGCTGATGGTAAGACACGTAAACTTGGGCTCCATTCACAAAGGGAGTGCTATAACTGTCTTAACTCCCTAGGGTTCCATTCCAAAAAGGAATCTAAGTGCTATAACTGTCTTAACTCCCTAGGGTTCCATTCCAAAAAGGAATCTAAGTGCTATAACTGTCTTAACTCCCTAGGGTTCCATTCCAAAAAGGAATCTAAGTGCTATAACTGTCTTAACTCCCCAGGGCTCCATTCCAAAAAGGAATCTAAGTGCTTTAACTGTCTTAACTCCCTAGGGTTCCATTCCAAAAAGGGATCTAAGTGCTATAACTGTCTTAACTCCCTAGGGTTCCATTCCAAAAAGGGATCTAAGTGCTATAACTGTCTTAACTCCCCAGGGTTCCATTCCAAAAAGGGATCTAAGTGCTATAACTGTCTTAACTCCCCAGGGTTCCATTCCAAAAAGGAATCTAAGTGCTATAACTGTCTTAACTCCCCAGAGTTCCATTTAAAAAAAGAGATCTAAGTGTTAAGGCTGTTTTAACTCCCTAAAGTTCCATTTAAAAAAGTATTCTAACTGTTTTAACTCCCATACCTTTTCAAATATGATCATATGATGATATGTTTTTCATTTAACAAAAAATTAATTTGAAATATTGTTGCCTCTGAGAAACTGAGTTCTCTTATATCTAGAAAAAATGAAAGTTCAACCTTCAATCCATGAATGGCTAAATTTTGTGAATGAAATATTGTCTTCATGATCGAGAAGCAGTGAACAAAGATGAAACTACTAAAGGTTATTATCATTCACACAATGACAGCTTTCACAGCCTTGTTGAGTTTGGAAGCATTAGCATATTCACTATTCAAAAGATATAACAACAATATGTAAATAGATCATACTTCTTGACGTCCTAGCACCCTGAGATTTGTAGTCGTCAATTTCCTTGTCTTTGCTAACCATGATGTTGATGAGTTCTTTTTGGCGCCGTGTCAGTTCTGCAACCATCGCCATCAGAGGGACTGTCGAATGATTGCAGGCCTACAACACATAAACACAAACTACCGTATTAGACGTAATAAGCGCACAGGGCGCTCTCAAAATTAGAAATAGGGGGCTCTTATTAGAATATTATTTTGGTAAAAAAAAACAGAGTTGAAAGATAAATTTTGTGGTTTATGCTGACAGCCTGAAATGTTTATGTACGACAGATATATTTTTCTAGAATTTAATTACCCATAATTAAGGGTGCATATAACACACAAGTGCGTATTGTACGCGAATACACAAGTCTTGTGAACATTGATCAATCGGAAGGGATGCTAAGTGGGATTGTTCACTAGCCAACATATTAGCAAATACCGCCGTGGGCGCTTATTAGAGCAGGGCGCTTATTACGTCGAATACGGTATGTGCCATTGAGTGATCCCAATCTTCTCCAGCTATCCTGAACAAACACAAAACATAAGGAGGCTGTTGCAGGTGACTTATTATTTCCTAAGAGCACAGGCTAACACGTTTGCCCAATAGGTGCTCACTATTTTGGTCATGTGGCATACATTTACATGCTGATAACGTACTGTACAGTATACAGCTGTATAATAGAAGCGTGAAACTCTCATGCTTTGTGAATTGTGTACATTTCAGCAGGACAGGCCTTAATCAACAAACATTTGACTGCACGAGCCGTACAGTTTATATGAAATTGTGCAACCTTCTCCGATTGTAAATGGTGGAACTTGGGTGATCAGCAGTGTTCTGTTCGTGGACCTCGTGTATTTGATCAGCAGTGTACTGTTTCGTGGACCTCATGTATTTTGATCAACAGTGTACTGTTCGTGGACCTCATGTATTTTGATCAGAAGTGTACTGTTCATGGACCTTGTGTATTTTGATCAGCAGTGTACTGTTTCGTGGACCTCATGTATTTTAATCAGCAGTGCACTGTTCGTGGACCTCATGTATTTTGATCAGCAGTGTACTGTTCGTGGACCTCATGTATTTTGATCAGCAGTGTACTGTTCGTGGACCTCATGTATTTTGATCAGCAGTGTACTGTTCGTGGACCTCATGTATTTTGATCAGCAGTGTACTGTTCGTGGACCTCGTGTATTTTGATCAGCAGTGTACTGTTCGTGGACCTCATGTATTTTGATCAGCAGTGTACTGTTCGTGGACCTTGTGTATTTTCCTGTGCTCCAAGACAGATACAGAACTTGTGCCAGTACTCTGTCTATTACCGGGGTACATATTGAACAAGATCATAAATGCTGTAAATACATAGAGGTAGATAATAATAGATATGTCTTTATATCACAAGATATTATAATTTATATGAATATACCATCAATGCAGCGGTAGAAACTAACATAGTCCACTAGTCCTTATAATGATAACATATAGCCATACTCTTAAAAATGGCAAATTTCTACTGGTCCTCATGATACCTATTGGGCCCTTTGGCAAGGACTACAGGACTAGTGCCAATTTCTAACGCTGCAATGTAATCGAATTCAATGTTTGTTCTCATATGACCAGCATAGATGAGCATTTATCCATGCCATCAGTTTTGATGAAACACAATCAACCAAGTCACTGAGCCAGACCACGCGATCCATTTGGTTGCCTTTAAAAGGGGTTGAAACTAACAGTTTTTGGCCACTAGTCCTTATAATGATAACATATAGCAAAACCCTTAAAATGGGCCAATTTCTACTAGTCCTTAGGATACCTTTACTATTGGGCAGTTTGGTAAGGACTACAGGACTAGTGCCAATTTCTAAGGCTGCTTTAATGACCAACATATTTTGCTGGGGACCAATTCTAACCCGGAATACTCAAATGGGTATGTATGTACAATGTGCAAACAATAATTCACAATCTCAATATGAGAGTGAGTGAGTTGGGTTTAACGCCGCTTCCAGTTATATCACGGCGTGTTAGCTTAATGTGGGAGGAAAGCCCGAAGTGATGCAGGTCTCAAATGTTTACCACTTCGGTGAAACCCACGAGCACAGGTATGGTGCTGACAAACCTAGAAACATAATTGTCACGAACCAGGATTCGAACCCACCATCATAGGTTTCTGGCGTGCCCAAGGGACACAACTCTGCACAACGATTTGCGGCACCTTAGACGACTGGGCCACCCGTGCCCCCCAATATGAGAAAGAAGGTAGAAGATATGTGGCAGTGAGTGAAGATTGATGTGAATTTCCCGAAACTTTTATTAAGATTTGTGTGCATTTAATGATTCATCTCATTAATGGACAAATCAGGTACATAAAACGCCATCAGTTTTAGGGCTCTGAGAGGTAGAATGTGAGTTCTATGTGTCTCAAAATCTGACCTGGACTCTTGTACCATATTTCACCTGTTTTGTTTGTTTGTTGTTTAACACCACACTGAACAATATTCCAGCTGTACGACAGCAGTCTGTAAATAATTGAGTCTGGACCAGAGAATCCAGTATTTGGCATCATGAGAATCGATTCACGCAACTTGGATACGATAACATGCATCAACCAAGTCAGTGAGCCTGACCACCCGATCCCGTTTGTCCCCTCTTATGACAAGCATAGTCACCTTTAACTGCAAGCATAGGTTGCTGAAGACCTATTCTAACCCGTATCTTCATGGGTCTATTTCACTATCTGCCACAAAATGAACAGTTTGTCTCTTCCTCTTAGCATCATCTAAGTGAAAATGCATCCAGACACTGTACTGTTTCTGCACGAGTGAAGATGTAAGTTTTCTCCCCTGGTCACCTACTCTGATCTTTGAGGTAGGACTCAAGTTCATTTAACATGTCTAAACATGACCGGTGATGGAGTACTTGTCATGCTTGTGTACCCATCAAAGCCCTCATCAGTTCTTCCCAAGTAGAATCCAGCTACACTGAGTGTGAACAGTATTCCAGTTATATAAAAGATGTACAACATGTGCAAATCCGTAAAATTACTTTTAACATGTTTAAAGCAAGGTGCAATAATTTGTACTCCATATTAGAGTATTTTAAGATTATCAATACTGTACACTAGTGCAGTATCATGTATAAGGAGACATTGCCACTTTTGGATACACATGTTTAAGTTTTATGCCAGTTAATGGACCAATAAAATATATTTATAGGAACTGTGTTGTTTATCCATACTTTACCATCATTTGTTTCTTTATTTCTTGATTTACAGATCATGACTTACAATGTAACTCAGAACACTTGCTAAGATTCACTCTCTGACACTGGACTTACCATGGACTTGTCAGCACTGCTACATACAAAATGCCACAAAAATGGCATACCGGCAAGCTCTGACTTGATGGACAACTTTGCCTTCTCGTCATCACCTTCAGTTTTGAATAAAACTGTCAGGGTTGTACCCTTTGTTGTTTTTTCCAGACTGCCTTTTATATGATCCAAGATTCTAACCACTGGTGCTTCAATACTGGGATTTAGTTTCTGTAAAAGTAATGAAATTATTAATTGTCAGAAGGTATAGCTCAAAAGTATGCATTTATGAGTGAAACCAATGACAGATCCCAACAGAATATGGTTCACAGCTAAAATGGTAATACAATGCGTCAATGGCACCAGTTTACAGGTTTGGCACATCTCCTAATTGGAATTTAAGTTTGTTTCTTTCCGCACTATACACAGTACTTTTGCATGAACTAGTACTGACAAGACCTTTGAAAGTATGTGCCAGCAACATATATTTGAGGAGGTTTCAGAGTAAATATATTTTATCAAGGCCAGGGATATACATAGACTTCCAAATAATTTTTGGAAAAACTTCCTCCCGTATCCACCCTCAAAAGTTGAATATGTATGTATTGCTGTAGTCTGTCATACAAACCTTGAAACAAATACAATACAGCCCATGCAAGTCTATAAAGTTTCACAAGTCTAGATTACTGCAGTATCTGAAAATGAAGAAAGTCTCTGGGCTCCTTCTTTATATATTCTACAACTATAATTTAACAACTGTTTTTTTCTGTAAAATTATTCATTTCAGAGACTAGATGTTAGTCTAGTATTGCCGCTCAATCGTTTCAGGTATATATTTTTTTAGGGGGCATACGGGTGGAAATCTTACCGACTTCGCACAATTTGTGGGTGTGCCGAATGTGTTTTAGCCTGAACAACACTACAGTTGAAAAGTAAATATGGCATTGTTGTATTGCAAATATGTTTTATTTGAGGGGTAATAAAAAGCGAGAGCAGGTTTGCGCCCATTGGGTGCCAGACCAAGGACAATAATCGTTGAATTTGTGATTCGTCTTGTTTTGCACTTTTGAGTTCACCTGTATTCTCTTTTTCAACGCATTTTCTTCCATAATTTCATGCCAGTAAGAAGTCAAATCTGTCAAAAGTACTTCATAGTTGTCAATTGAAAACTTTGTCTTCATGAGATATTTTTCTCCGTCTATTTCCAGGGGCTGCCATGGACATGCTCTTAAATCTGGCTTCCACCTACGTCGCCATTCAAGTTCCGACGCCATTTTCAAACCGGAAGTTTACAGTATTTCTCCCTACTGCGATGCCTACGCGATTATGAGATTAACAAAGTTATAACGCACTGGGGTGGAGCTTTAAACAGCGAAGGGAGAGCACTCTAAACTATGTGACCGCTGATAAAGTGGAATCGTTTGGTTTGTCAGCCTTGACAGAAGACGCTTATTGTAAATTTGCATAATGTAGATAGTTGACCCACTTTTCAGCTGGTTTAAACGCGCAGTCATCGTCATAGCGATAAGCTTTCGCATGTCCCAACGATGGCACAGTCCAAATGCAGATTGATGACCATGTTTGTCTATGGAACATTGCAAAAAGGACAACCCAACCATGCGCTGATGATGAATACAAACAACGGTGAAGCCAAATTTATTGGAAGAGGGCGTACAACGAAGAAGTACCCGTTGGTGATTGCATCCGAATATAACATACCATTCCTGTTGTATAAAGAAGGTCATGGGAAGGTATGTAGTCTCGGTTGTGTAACTGAACAGTACTATGTGACATAGGAAAATGACATGGTTCTAATGCTTGTCGTAAGCGGCGACTAACGGGATCGGTGGTCAGGCTCGCAGACGTGGTTGATGCATGTCATCGATCCCAATTGCGTGGATCGATGCTCATGATGTCAGTCACTGGATTCTCTGGTCCAGACTCGATTATTTACAGACTGCCGTCATATAGCTGAGTGAAGCGTTAAACAACAACAAAAAATATTAAAAAATGATTTTGTAATTATGATTTTCATCCACGTATACGTACATATAATTATTTGTATTGTTTGATCAACTGTTGCGATAGTTGCTACTATATATATATATATATAGCTGGAATATTGCTGGGTGCGGCATAAAACAACAAACCAACCAACCAACTTTTTCAAACAAAAAGGTACTACTTTGGACCTTTGTTTGGGGACTCATAATTTACTATAGGCTGGGGGGTAGTAGTCATAAAACATATTACATTAAATGGGGGGGTGTTTTATTGATAATTTATTTTGATGAAATCTTCTTAATCAGATTTATTGTCGCTGAAGTAAGTAAGAATATATTTCATGAAAAATGAAACAAATGAAAATGATTATATTATTACTGCATAGATTTCTTTTAAGCATTAGACACATTTTTTGGAAGTTATGCACTGAACATTTTTAATAAGTTGTTTTGCTTTGTCGTTTATATTTCTCAAAATGTCATCTCTCAGCATCAATAAATGACTATAATCAAGTGCTCATGTATAAACCTTTAGTGATACTGCCGTTTTTGTGTGTGATGTTAGGATGTCAAACATGTGTCTTCGGGAAGTCTACAGAAATTTCTGTTATTACTTCATCATTAAATACTAGTAAGACAAGTCCTTTCTTCAATCACAAATTCACATGTCTGGGGTAAACTAGCTACAGTGCAAAACTATTGAGGTCCCAAGGGGAATAAGCAGGTATCCAATTATATATACCGTATTTGACGTAAAAGGCGCCCCGCTCTAATAAGCGCCCACCTCGAGATTTGCTAATATATTGGCTAGTGAACAATCCTAATTAGCACCCCTTCCGACCCCTATTAGCATATAATACGCACTTGTGTGATATATGCAACCTTTATTATTGGCAATTAAATTCTAGAAAAATATATCTGTCGTACATAAACATTTCAGGCTGTCAGCATAAACCACGAAATTTATCTTTCAACTCTGTTTTTTTTTCACCACAATAATATTCTAATGAGAGCACCCTGGGCGCTTATTACGTCAAATATGGTAATCATGATAATCCCATATCTCTTTAATATTGTCTCTAAAATATGCTCACTGAATTCTGACCAGATTTCAGACATGGCACTGTGCCATATTAAAAATGCCATTTTGTCTAAATCCAGGGACAATAAATTATATTGAAAACTATCAAGAGAAAGCAATCAATACCCAATGTGAATGATAACATTTGAGTAAATACTCTATGACATAAATCATCTGGAGCCCTGAGTTTAAACATATTTTTTCAACATGTGATAAAACAGTGATAATACAGTTACAGTGTATAGTTTTAGGGATGTGTATGATTTTGTATATGCTTGTCGTGAGAGGCGACTAACAGGATCAGGTGATCAGGCTCGCGGACTTTGTTGATGCATGTCATCGTATCCCAATTGCATGGATCGATGCTCATGATATCAGTCACTGGATTGTCTGATCAAGACTCAATTATTTATGGACCGCAGTCATATAGCATGAATATTGCTGAGTGCAGCGTTAAACAAAAAATGATTTTGTAATTATGAATTTCACTCATGTATGAACATACTAATATTTATATTGTTTGATCAACTGTTGCGACATTTGCTACCAACACAACGTAACAGCAGCTGGTATGAATGTACTCAGTTTGCATGCCACAGGTTGGCATTATGTTATTTGTTCATCAGAACATATTTATATATACAAATTGCATTTCATATTTTGGCATTATATTGTTACTAGTATTGTTCTTCAGAACATTCAGGGTGAAATCTATGAAGTTGATGAACAGATGCTTGCCAAACTGGATGAACTGGAAGATCATCCCAATTTCTATGAACGAGAGCTGACTACCATCGATGTGACGCAGAATGGCAAGGGTGACCAGTTGTCAACCGAAAAAGAGTGCTGGTGTTACTTCTTGAAGAAATACAAGCCCAGGATGTTAGACCTACCCTATCTGGAGAGTTACGACTCTAAGGGAGATCATGGCCTAAAATATGTAGAAAGGTGCGACCGAGTTGATGTCACCCACCGTGCCAAGAATGACGTGTACCAAGAATAAGTCAACACAAAACTAGTCGAGGATATTAAGTTGTACACAATACTAGAGGTGATACGTATCATGATGCATAGGTAATAATATGATACATATCGATGTACACATATTTACGCCAAATTGCATGGAAACTTTTTGACTTCAGATCATATCCTTGCATCAAAACTTACGATGCACTGGTGCACCGATGTATCGTTTCACCCTACACAATACTTTTGAGTACTCTTTCCAATGTTTTATTCCTTAATAAAAAATTACTGTCCTAGTCATGATAATTGTCAAGTAATCATGGTAACAGAACACATTTTTTCGTTTCAATTACTGAGGATAATGTTAATTGTGATTAACTAGTAGTTTGACAGAACAGGCATTGTCTGTGTGCTATATACAAGTCAGGTGTTTATGCTTGTATATATTCAAGAAATAAGTTTATATGTGACCCACCAGGAGAAATGGGAGATTATGGGTGCTAGGATACAATAGTGCTCTGACGTCATAAAGACTCTTTGACATCAACTTACTTCAGTGAAGATCGCCATGTGTGATGTCATGTATCTCTGAAACAAATATGAACTGAAGCTTGTGAATTGTTTGTTTGTGTTTTATTTTTGTTTTCTATCATATAACAAAAAGTCAAAATGTGGTTTTTCACCCATAAGGTCCCTTATCTCATGGTTGGTCACACATATGTTCAAGTTGATTCCTATGTTGAAACACTAGGGGGGGCGGTCGGGTAGCCTAGTGGTTAAAGCGTTCGCTCGTCACGCCGAAGACCCGGGTTCGATTCCCGACATGGGTACAATGTGTGAAGCCCATTTCTGGTGTCCCCCGCCGTGATATTGCTGGAATAATGCTAAAAGCGGCGTAAAATCAAACTTACTCACTCACTCACTGAAACACTAGGTTAACCAAGAAATTGGTACCTACAGAACTAAATTGAGAACCCGTAAATAATCACACAAGATCAATGAATATATAACAAAGTATATTGAAACACATAGGATTAGGTTCACAATCACAATAAAATGAAATGGTTTAAATATGTGGCTGAAGCAAGATATTATAACAGGCCCTATCATATAAATTGGTGCACTCAAAAATGTCCAGAATTTGTCACAGTCGAATCTGTTGAATGAGGCATGTGTTCCCTACTTGATTCCAGGAAACAGTGCAATCTCATTCAAATCAGATCTTAGTTCTCGCTACCGCTAAACAAAGATCTGACGACATCCCATTACGCTTCGAAACATATTTTGACAAATTCTCGATTACAAATATGAAACCTGACCAAAAGAACACTCTGGAATGGCTAATAGATGGTCTAGATTGTATGGATTCAGTCATTAAACCCGTAACTATCGTTCATTCAGAGTTAAAGTTTTCGAGGCTGCATGATCGGAAATCACATTCCGACTGTCACTTTCATAATCTGGTAAGTGATGCTCTGATTGGTCGGATGAAAGGTCGTTCTGACGTGACCCCTGTTGGGATGTCCTCAGATTTTTGTTTAGCGGTAGCGAGAACTGAGGTCTGATTTTAATGAGATTGGGAAACAGTGTTGGAAGCAGGCAATAAGTCAGATAGGTATCCCGTCCACACTGAGCAAACTGATAAGAAGCATGTCTGGTCATAAAGGAGGCCTCAAATCTTCCTCATCTCACTCTTATATAGGTGCAACACGCCTTCTACCTTGAAGTGTTTTGAATTATGTGGTGAATCATCTACCTGAGGCAAGGGAGTTAACTGACTATAAAAGTCAAGTTTCCAGTCTTGCTGAATCTGATTGGTCAATAGGAGGGACATAGAAGGGCCATGACTCATAATAGCCACTGGTGGCACTATGATGGAGCCTGGAAACACCAGCCTTGTTCGGCAAGGGTGGAAAGTGGACTTTTATAGTCAGCTAACTCCATTGCCTTGGGAAGGTGGTTGTGAATCAACAACTGTTCACATTATACCGGGAGGGTAATCGAGTCATCAAGCGCTGGGACAGAGTTTGGACCATAAACAACCGCAACAAGGGGAAGTAACTCCAAACTACTAACTGCTAGGTCACCACCAAATCTCAATATTGTAGTGTACGAGCGCTGCCATCAAGTTGCTGCTACTGAAAACATCAGAAATGATGTAACAGTAGCGACGGCTATTCTCCACTTCAAGAGAAGAAACTTTGAACATAGTGAAAACTATATTTAAACGGGACAGTTTCAAGGATCAAATGGTTTACATAACAGATTTTATTACATTTGTTTTATGAGCATAACATACATATTGCCATTACACATGCATGATTATCAACATTGCATGTATGTGCTGGTCCCATCAACTGACTCTAGAAAGTGCATCTGCAATTACATTGTATTTGTCCCTGATATGTTTGATCTATTGTTAAACAACCACAACTAAGGGAGGTAAATCCAAACAGCTGGCAGTCAGGGTCACCACGAAAGCTGGATATTGTACAAGAGCCTAAATGAAATTGCTGCCTCTTACAATCATCAGGAATAAACTTCCGCTGTCACAAAGCAAATGTTGTACACTTGCCAATCTCAGGAATAAAAAGAACATATATTTGTTTGACAGTCAGACAATGGCACCTTTTGTTTTTAGACTATCATTTTCATTGAGATGGTCTTCAGAGTAGGTCAAGATACGACATGCAACTTGAACACAACAGAATTGGTGTTTGTAGTGTGGGGATGTCCCATGTCACCAGCCTTACCATCTACACTATAACTAAAAAGTAACAATCCTCGATTACCCAGTGTGTTGTATTTCCATTCGAATGTGATAAAAACCCTGGGCCACCATAGCTTTGTTTTGAATTGACATCACCACCTTTATCGTAGTCTCTATTTTTGCACAGAATTTTTTTTTTTTTTTTAATATGCACATATTTATTCAAATAAAAGGGAATTTTACATTCAAAAGTGATACAAATTGTTATCATCTGCACTTTTGGACAAGGGATAAAAAAAAATAACAGATACTAGAAAGAAATGGCGTGTCAGTGGTGCACAGAAATTATCTTGTTTGTGAAAGTTATTGATTTGAAAGATATTTTTCAGTTTTCTGCCTTTCAAATTGGGCTTAAGACGATGCAATGGTTGCCCAGACCCCTATTACCTGACTCTGCCTGGGTACCTGCTGTAGGTCTCAAGAGTTGGGTACAAAATGTCCCATTGGGAATTGTTTGAGACATATAGAGTGGATAATTGAGCATGTATCAGTAACTGTGATTAAATCTTTCGAATTTAACAATTAACAATTTTGTTGACCAGTTTCAGAGTTATTCATAGTCATGATCCAATGCTATTCAGCTGCAGGTATATTAACCTACCTTTGCCAGTTAGTATGCAAATCTTGGTCTAACAGCATGACCAAAAAACCCAAGCCCAAGCTGAAGTTTATTTTTTCTTCATTTCAGTGAGGATTTATCCGACCCTGAGTGTATATGACTGACGTGAAGAAGTGAGATAGAACAACACTACTGTATCCATCTGTGTACAATGACACCCTCTCAAACACTGCCCACCATATACTCACAACAAAAGGAAATGAGACTACTCTGCCCTGGAATCTCCACAATGTCTAATTACCACAGCCTTTGAAAGAGTGAGTGAGTGAGTTGGGTTTAACGCTGCTTTTAACAATATTCCAGTAATATCGCGGCATGTCAGCTTAATGTGGGAGGAAAGCCCGAAGTGATGCAGGTCTCAGACGTTTAACACTTCGGTGAAACCCACGAGCACGGGTATGGTACTGGCAAACCTAGAAACATAATCGGAGCGAACCGGGATTCGAACCCACAATCATAAGTTACTGGCGTGCCCAAGGGACGCAACTCTGCACAGCGAATCGCAGCGCCATAGACGACTGGGCCACCTGTGCCCCTGCCTGTGAAAGAATTGTGGAATTATGTTCATGACTTTAATATGGAGAAGAGCCAAATACATGAATTGGATGATTCTCATCTCCCTCCAGGTGTGACCTGACATGCACAGTGTCACATCTGTGTGTAATCAGTGAACATCAGTGTGGGTGTGCATGAAAGGAACAATGTGACATGCCAATAATGTACAATTCTGGTATTCAGTATGGTGTGCCATGTGAAATAGGTGCACTATATTATGTTGGAATATTCACAGCCTCTTTATCTCGAGTCTCCTATTTCAGTAAACCTACTCCATCTCGGATCTAGGCTTTAGTGTAGGTTTACTGAAATTTGAGCCCCGACCATATTGAGGATGTTATATTCATAAATCAGCATGCATTATCATGAGCAAAGAAAGTTGGACAAAATGCGGATAAGGTTCCTGAGATTATTTCACTTATATATAGACATACATGCACACGTGTGGTGTGTGGTGTGTGGATGCATTGATTAATCTGGACTAATGCTGGTTACAGTCCTCGGAGACAAATACCTTGCTGTATCCCTTAATGTTCAGTGAGAGGCAGGGCAACAACAAGTACCATCTTTTAATGTGTTGGCATGATGACTACTGACCTTCCATTCCCTCTGAGCAGGCACCCTGTCCACTAGAAGCAGTCATGAGCAAAGGTTTTGGTTTGGTTTGTTGTTTAAAGCCACACTCAGCAATATTCCAGCTATATGAAGACAGTTCAGTGATTAATATCATGAGCATCGATCTACGCAATTAAGATTGATGACATGCATCAAGCATGTGTTGCTGAAGACCAAATCTAACCCGTATCTTCACGGGTCTCATGAGCAAAGGATATAGGAGGGAAAGTTGTACTTTGTCCAGGGGAACATTTAGGATCTTTGTTAATAGAATGGTGTATAACATACACACCTGTAAAATGTTAAGCACTTTTTAATACATATTTGTATATTTGTAAGCCATTTGTTTTTAATCATATCTTTTTAAAAGTTTTAATGACTTAGTCTACTTGTTGTTCATGTTGTAACATCCTCATATTGAAATACAGAAACCGAAATTGATAATCTAATAACATGTTTTGTGGCCAGTTCTTTGGGTACCCTTTCTGTTGCACCTCTGCTTTTTTTATTTTGTTCAAAGCTATACCACGGTCGCCCATCAATTATCGAGTCAGGACTAGAAAATGTAGTTATTGGTATTATGAGCAGTGTCATCAGAAAATGATGTCACGCAATCAACCAAGTCACAGAGCCTGACATCTGATCAATTTGGTTGCTTCTTTTTACCAGCATAGGTTGCTGGGGACTAATTTAGCCCGGAATCCCCAGTGTACTTTCAACCATCTCGGGGACCAGTGTTCTAGTACCAACTATCTATCAGGGAATGATGGTATAATACAGTCATAAACCACAGGAGTCCGTATCTAAAAATAGACGCCCTCATGCATATTCATGACCATCTCCACACACGAGCCCTGCATAAACCCAGAGTAATGAGTTGGTCGTGTTTCCAAAACATCATGGTAGTAAGGACATATAGAGAATCTCACCCGAACATCTTTTTATATCTAATATATCTGCATGAGTTGATAAAAGTTTCAAAATCTGAGGCTTTAAATGGTTATCGAGTGTTGATATTTCATACTAAAAGACCCTAGTGTGAGATTCTATGATCATCCAATATAATTCTCCCAACTTTAGTTTGAATGGTGGCACGGGTGGCCCAGTGGCGTCCATTGGGCACGCCAGAAACCTATGATTGTGGGTTCGAATCCAGGTTTGCCCCGATTATGTTTCTAGGTTTGTCAGCACCATACCCGTGCTCGTGGGTTTCACCGAAGTGGTAAACGTCAGAGACCTGCATCACTTTGGGCTGTTCTCCTACATTAAGCTGACACGCCGCAATATAACTGAAATAATGTTAAAAGCGGCATTAAACCTGACTCACTCAGTCTGAACAGTAATAGCTAGTGCCACGAGTGTAAAAAGTACAGCTATTCAGCAGAGAGTTTAGTGTCATCTATGTAACTGATGACATATCCAAGCGATATCTTCTGTGGTGGCCAGTTTTGCATGATAAATGGAAATAAAGCTTAGCTTTTTGCCATGATACCAAACAAAGTTTGAAGACCTGCTGCAGTGTCTCCGAATGGATGCTTTTGTTGCAGAATATGGTGGTAAGTTGCTTCGAGTTTGCTACTTTCATGAGCGAGCGAGAGAGTTCGGTAGTCAGATTGTATATGATGTGTTGGATTTATGTGGGAGGAAGGCCCATACCAAAATCAGGATGAATCTGAGATGCCCCCATGTCATTCGACCCATAAAGATCCAGGTTTGAACTTCAGCACTATGTCATCGAATCCCTATTGCAGAGATCGATGCTCATGATTTCAATCACTGGATGTCTGGTCCAGACTTGATTATTTACAGACTGCCGTCATGTAGCTGGAATATTGCCAAGTGTGGCATTAAACCACAAAGGTGAAGGTTGTTTCATAACACTATTCCAGCTTCATCATGGAAACATGTTAATCCGGAATCCTGACCCAGACAATGGAGTACTTGACTTCCTAAGCTACGATCCATGGTGACAAGGTCATAAGTATTTACATTAATGTCCTCATTAGTCGGTTCTTGCAAGCACCATTTTATTATTCATAACTAACACGTGACAAACACAAAAACATATTTCGGTCTTACAAATGGTGCCACGGCACTGTAGCTCACCTGTTAATTTAGTCACCAGTTCACAAGGTCAACAAAGACATCCATTTACATTGATACTCAACTATTTCCTGCATACACACAAGGCTTACAAACCTAATGAAGAAACAAAAACATGCCGACGTTCAGTTTCTTTAGTCCAGAAATTTCAGCCAAATGTTACTGAGCCAAATATGCATTGTGAAAGGAGTCAAGTGCATGGTCAAAACACAAAGGTCAAAAATTTTGTCAAGCCAAAAAAACAGAACCTATGTGTTGAGTTCAACTTCTAATTAAACAAGTACCAGCTTTCATTACATTTTATACAAACACAAAAGTGCTAAGTGATGGTCATAAATAGGTTTCTAAATATTGTCCAACATCTTGAACATTCCAGAAATTGGGGGTGTCATAGTTTGTGGGAACAAGCATGTTTCAGCTTCAATGGTCAACTGGTTTAGAAGAAACTGATGGACAAACAGGCCATGATTTTAGCTAACCTGACTTCAGTTGAGCATAAAATGAAAAATTGTTTGAGTGAGTTTGGTTTTACACCGCTTTTAGCAATATTCCAGCAATATCACAGCAGGGGAAACCAGAAATAGGCTTCACACACTGTACCCATGTCGGCATTAGAAATCGGGTCTTCGGCGTAACGAGCGAACGCTTTAACCACTAGGCTACCCGACCGCCCTACTGATGTTTGAAACTTGGGGTTTCATGGGATTCCTTCAGTGACTCATTTGAAGTCAAGCATACAGAATCAACACAATAATTACAAAAGAAATACAAGTTCCAAGACGTTTATTGAGGCAACCAGGTACATACCAAAGCACACAAGTAGCAACTGACGTATCTACAATCTACAGTCACCATTTCCTCAGTGTAACCTTGCATCATGTTCTCCAGACAAACAAAGTACATACCACAATGTAAACAAGATGTCAATACTTGCCAACTACATGTATATTTCTGTAAGTAGTCGACATTCAAATTTTAACTCAAGCAAATCTATATTTCAGTAACTGGTATGCTAGAAAGATATATTATCAGCTTCAGAAAGAGTTTCAAACATACAAGGCTTACATGAGAAACAGACATACGTTTAATGTTGCATGAAGTGAAGATCTCAGTAACAGAAGAAAATAAATTGAAACTTTGGATCATTCTCTATGCAGGTGTGAAATGTGCATGCTTGGCTGCAACAATGGCTGTGGTTGACTATACCCCATTTGGGCTGCTGGGTAAAAACATTCAAGATTAGGTTTTCTTGAAGTTTCTACCCAAATTTTAGCATAAAACATGTATGACTCCTTTTAGCAATTTTCCCCATTTGCTGGTCAGACAAACACAAGAACAAACCACAGTTGTGTTGAAGTAGGTCATTTCCAATGACAACTGATTTGCTATCAAAATACAGTGTAGCACAGACTTGAAAACATGGCAACAGCTGCTGAGACCATTTATACAAATGAACAAAACACTATCAATGTGAATAATTATTTGCACATCAGTAAACCCCATCTAATTTGTACATATGAAAGTAAAATAACAAGGGTTATGCAAAGTCCTTTGAAGCTTCCAGAAACATGCTGATGTGCAGCAATAAACTATTCAGATAGAAGGATGATTTCAGCTACAATGTTGACCTACACTATTCTGACTGCTTATGAAATGTTACTGTTCTTGGTTTACTGGACCATTCACATCCTTGTCACTGACCAAGGCATTTTGGTGGCTTTCTGATACACACAGCTTTGTGGCTGCCTGAACTAAAACAGAACACAGCCCTCTCCATCTTCTGTAGTTTGATTAGGTCAGATTTTATTAAGATACCAGTCAAACTAGTTGCATCCATGCAAAAATTTCTTGAGAAGTCTGTCACTGCTCAAACTCAATTTGATGAGAGTTACTTCCCTCGTCAATGCTTAATGTCCTGTTCTCTTGAACTTGCAAATGTGAAGATCCGTCATCAATTCTGAAGTACTCGTCTTGTTCATCATACACAAATCAAGAGATTATACGGACCTAAGCTATGTGTAATCATAAACATCTTTTCTTACATTCAAACACATCAATAGAGACATTCACTAACATCCAGACTTGGGTCACATTACCTAGGTGTTGGCCTGTAGGAGTTTCCCAGACCAAGTGGACCATTCAAGTCCCATTCACGCTGCATTACCCATGGCATGTCACACATGAAGAGGTTCAGATGGCCTTCTGTACCAGGTGTACAGGGCACATGTAGAGCCATATAGGTTTGACTTGAACGGTACTGCACAGCTTGTATCGCAGAAGCATATTCCCCAGCAGGTTGTCAAAATACAATACGGTGTTACAAATTACTGCAAATGTTCCATTCTTTCCAACAGGGTTCTCTTTTTCTTTTTTATATATCTTAAAGGGAACCAAGACTCCGTCTAACTGACACTTCAGAGTCCAGAGTCCCCCTTTAATACCTGTCACTTGAATACTCCAAGGACTGACATCAGTGATGTGTGTGCGATACATTTGCTGAAACTGCTGAATGACAAACAATTTTAAAATGATGTATAAACAAAAATACAACCCCTGTAGTGCTCTTCTTTTAGAGGTAATGTGTTTTGCATGTTGTCTTCCACCTGAGCAAGCAGTTGAACAAAATGTGTTCGCTTACAAATTAAAAATATGCTTTAATCATCAAGTGCTGTTAACAATATTTCAGTCAAATGGTAATGTTAGTTTAATGTTGGAGGAAAGCCCAAAGCAGCACATTCATAAATGTCTGGAATATTGGACACCCGCAAGCTGACAGGTGACAAGCTGAGTGATAAGGAGCATTATCAGGCAAAAGGCTGATACCGGCAGCTAAGGGACACAGCTCTTCACAGAAAGTTTAGTCACTGTAGGGTCACCTGTCCCTTAAGTGGAAGTCAGTACTTTGTAGACAAGAGAAAAATAAAATTCATAGAACAACAGGACTCATCAATATGGAAACTACAGAACCAATGTTACGAAGAAGGATGCAAATAGCCAGAGTCACTTTGTCTAAAGTTAAAAGTATCCTAAGGGAAAGTAGAATTTAGATCTTAGGGAATGTCCCTATATGTTCTCACTATTTGGCCTAATAAACGTTTATGGGTAAGTTACATCTCCTGCCTGGATGTCTCACCCTAACACTGTCCCATCAACCAACATTGGACTATGCAACCGATATAACAAAGTTATACACAAAACACGACAAGACACTGTCGAACATAAGGTTTACTTTACCCAGTTGACTGATTGTCTTTTATACATGCTAGCTATGAGATTACAGTCAGGGATTGCTTTGACATTGGTGGCCTCGAGTCTCCAGGAATAAAAGATAACACGGCAGAAATAAAACAAACATCCAGATTCAAATGCTTTAACTGATCGTTTCAGGTAAAACATTCCCAATGATTCAAAAATATTTGTGATATTTTTTTCATTTTTTATGCATACTAATTAAAATTAAAACACACCAATTGCATCAAAGACAACTTTAGAAAACCGGAAAACATTTTCACATAATTATAATGTGTCTCCAAGCATTAGTAACTACTAAACAAGAATGCTGACTTGACACCATAGGCAGGTCAGTGATGAGAATCAACATTGCCAATTTTCATATATACAAACATCCATGTGATATACTATGAAGAGCTTGAGCAGCTTGGCCCCAATAATATTAATAACCCAGGTTTAACTAACTCTCACAAGCGGGGCTGGTACATAACAGCTTAGCTTAACAATTGCCTTTGTACAATATGTATACGCGGCCCCATTGAACTAGTTACTTGTCATATGGCATTGCCACCTTCATTTGTACACAATAGTCAGCATGCCGATTGGATGCAGGTTATCAGGTGTTTTTTTACAACTCAACATCCTCCATCATGTCTCTGAACCCTTAAATAAATTCAGCAACATTCTCAGTATGTTACACATTCGAGTCAAAATTGACTTTAAAAACCCACTAGTAATTCATTTAGGGCCTCAGTTGAATATGATGCACCCTAAGGTACAATACACAGAAATATAGAAACAATAATTACCAAAACAATTATTTCACTTTCTTAAATTCATATCATTTGCATGCTATAGTCGATTCACTAGGACAGTTGTCGCCTCAGTCCATTGTAACTCCAGCGGCTGCATACGTCGCCCTAACATGTCCGAGGATCCCATCACTGCCAACAGCATGATGGGTGCAAGTCCAACAAGACACACTTTGAAGGAAACTCCTTACATATAACATGTATAACACATCATAATATACCAAGGAATCTAACCAGTTTAGGTCAATAGCTCAAATTCAATAACATATCAAGTAAACACAATTAGGCCATAACATATAAGTTTCAGATGTTCAATCCTATGGTACTCTTACAGGGATCAAAAGCATTACATATATGGTTGTAACCTAGTTTTCATAAAAACAAAATAAAAGATGTCAAGGGAATTAAATAATTACTGAATACCTGAAAACTTATTTATCATGGCCGAAACAATGTCCCTCACTCCATTAAAGGAGTAGAGACCAAGGTCATCACATAGCAACCATGTGAGTAGCACTTTGAAAACAAAACATATCTCATAATATATGTATGTATATATAATATTTATATATAAAACTGTATTTGACAAAAGAGGTGGCCTAGAGTGTTTAGTCTTGGAGTGCTGCAAACTTGTTTTCCAGAGATAGCTGCATTCCCCGTTTACTCCCTGGATGCTCGTAGTTGGCTTCTTGAGCATCCTGGAATCCACTGAAAGAAAATAATTCTTACTGTAACTGTTGATGTATTTCCTGTTTCGCGAATCACAAGGAGTGAGTGAGTGAGTGAGTACGGTTTTACGCCGCTTTTTGCAATATTCCAGCAATATCACGGCGGGGGACATCAGTAATGGGCTTCACACATTGTACCCATGTCGGGAATCGAACCCGGGTCTTCGGCGTGACGAGCGAACGCTTTAACCGCTAGGCTACCTGACCGCCCCCAAATCACAAGGACATGTAACCATGGTACAGATAGAACGACAAAAAGTAACATGCATCTTAAAAGCATCTTTTGTAGCCTCAATATGAATAGTCTTGACACACTTCAGCTCAAGTTGAGAGGTATGGCACATCCCACAGCATATCAGCCTTATGTGGGAGTAAACACCAAAATGACAGACGCTCTAGATGTTTAAGACAAGTGAACAGGCACAGGTATGGTGCTGAGAGACCAAGGATGATAATAGGTCGCATTGAACCCCAGATCATGTGTCATTTAAAAAAAGACTGAGTGAGTAAGTTGGGTTTATGCTGTTTTGAACAGTATTTCAGTTATGTCATCTTTATATGGGAAGAAAGCCCTAAGTGAAGCAGGTCTCAGGCATTTACCACTTTGGTGAATCCCAGAAGCATGTGGATGGTGCTGACAAACCTAGAAACCTAATCAGGGTAAACCGGGATTCAAACCCACAATAAAACGTTTCTGACATGCCCAAGTGATGCAACTTTGGACAGCTAACTGTGGATTGGCAACCTGTGCCCCGAATACTAATACAAAGAGCCACAATTGCATGAAACAAATAACTAAACATAATAAATAAATATTATTGCTTAGACGCTTCAATTAATGACTGAACCAAATAATTCACCACACATACTGTATTGTTCTAAGATGTAGCGGGTTTGTCAGTTCAAGGGAGGTAACTTACTCATTCCTTCCACCTCCAAGAGTTGGGAAATCCACTTCACTCTTGATATTGGGAGCTTCCTTTTTCCGCCTGATAGCTTGTGCACTACTTGCAGAACTTGAGCCCCCACCACCGGAAGACCGTGCACCAGGAGGGACATATTTACCGGTTGTTTTGACAGGAGCCTCTTCTTTAGGCTTCGGTGGCTGAGGAGCAGGCTCGGGTTGGGCCCCGCCTCCTAGCATTGGGGCTGTGCCAGGAGCTACTGCAATAGAACATACACGATGATTCACATGGGGGTTAATGCTATCTTATCTTAGAAGATACTAGACATTACTATTTCTGATTGTTTCTTAACTTCACAATCGGCAATATTCCAGGTAAATGATAGTGGTCTGTGAATAATTGAGCCTGGACCAGACAACCTATCTTCCCAAGGCAAGGGAGTTAGTTAATTGATTATAAAAGTCCAGTTTCCACCCTTTTCGAACTAGACTAGAATTATGGAGTTATATTTTGGCAGGACCAGCAAGTCTATGCTTAGTCCAATCAAAATCGTGTAATGAAACCAACATACAGTTCGTAAACTGCCATGCAGATTTCGGTCAATATTGGATATCGACCCATTGGTCAATAGGAGGGACATAGAAGGGATATAACTCAAAATAGCCACTGGTGGCGCTACAATCCAACCCAGGTATTCCGGCCTAGCTTGGCAAGGTTGTTTCAGACCTTTACAGTCATTTATCTCCCTTGCCTCAGGAAGATGCAGACAACCCAGAGACTGACATCACAAGCAGCGATATATACGCAATTGGGATATGACGACTTGCAGCCTCAAGCATGGGTTACTGAAAAACAAATCAGGATATTGATCCACATTCAGGTCTACTGTTGGAGTCTGACATCCTGGTAATGTTTCACACTGACAACCGAAACAATTACACCATCTTTGATACTTTGACAGGGACACAAGGTACCGGTACAAGTCATTTCTTACTAGTCACCAGCGGTAACATAAAAGAGAACAAAGACATTCTCCATTACTGCTTTACTGGACACTATGTTTGGTCCATCTCTTTTCAGACTTTAACAATGTCATTGTCATTGCTTATTGCTAAAATAACACTTTTTATTTGTTAACAAAGCCTGTCCATAAAGCTAATCAATTATTTGGACTACCAAGGTAGCGAGGGATTCATTGAAATATTATTTGACATGACCTCATCAGATTAAATGGCCTCACTTTCTGTCCAGCATATCCTGTTATCATTGCATGATGGCGCACAACCAACTTGGTCACACACCCAAATCTTGAAAGCTTCAAATACAAGGAACAATAGCACTCAACATTTGCCCAGGACCACATTTTTTTACTAAAGATCTCTTTATGATGTCCTTCAGTAGTTCATGATGCTGCTGACAAACCTCCACTAGGTGTCAGGCATGAAGCCGTGAGGAAGCAACCTACCTTGCGGTTGACCCGATGAGGACACAGCCCATGGTCCAGAGGCTGCACCCTGTCTGTCCTTGGGTTCTCCATCTTCCCCTTCTTCCATCTCCTCGGCCTCCTCACGCTCATCCTCCTCCTCCTTGCTGTTAACAGAGCCAAGGTAATACTGGGCATTGACACAAGGCCATACGGGGGTCACGGCCCTAATCAAGGAGTCAGCCAGGACCTTTCAACAAGTTCCTGATTAGACACCAGTGAAAGTAAGGCAATGGTTTCTTTCTTTGTTGTTTAACGCCGCACTCAGGCAATGAAAGATGCCGGAAGGAAGGGTTGAAGGAAGAAAGGAAAGAAGGGATGAAGGAAGGAAGAAAGGAAGGATGAAGGGTGGTTGGTTTGTTGTTTAACGCCGCACTCAGCAATATTCCAGCTATATGACGGCGGTCTGTAAATAATCGAGTCTGGACCAGACAATCCAGTGATTGATATCATGAGCATCAATCCACTCATTTGGGATCGATGACATGCATCAACCAAGTCAGCAAGCCTGACCACCCGATCCCGTTAGTCGCCTTTTACGGCAAGCATAGTCACCTTTTACGGCAAGCATGGGTTGCTGAAGACCTATTCTACCCCGGAATCTTCACGGGTCGAAGGGATGAAGGGAGGAAGGAAGGAAGGAGGGAAGGAGGGAAGGAAGGAAGGGTTTTTTATGTTCAAATTTGGGATTCTTGATTTCAGAGGTTTTTTAACATTGTATTTTAGCATTGGATAAATGTAAAACTAAGCCGTTAAGCCTTATCTTTATTGGTCCTGTTATTCAAATAGCTACTCTTGATAAATCCTAGATGTCATTGAAGTTTAAGGTGTCTTACAGTAAATTACACCACCATACACTGCTGCATTCCATATTATAGTTATTAAAGTTGCCTGTTGTAAACCAGTGGTCACTATTAGGAGTAATGTTTCAAAACATCAATTCTCAAATAAACCATCATGACCATGGTAACCAAATATGCTGTTAGACAGATAAAAGGAATGTGTATCAGCTGATCGCAAAATTTACCGACAGTTACATTCAGTAAAACATCAGTATACTACCATTCATTAGGTTTTAAATGATTTACAGGGATCGTGATAATACAGGTTTTCAAGTTAAAAAACCCAAATGTAAAGAAACATTGGACATCCAATAAAAATAAAAACCCAAAGGTAAAATGCCAAAAAGTTCTTTGGAGAGATTAGTGAGCCTTAATTAGTATCAACTACAATCAGTAATCAGTCTCATCAATCAGTAGTGCACTAACATTGTCACAGCTTACAGATCCTCAATTGTTTCCGTGGTTTTCGGACATGTGTTGCCAAAATTAATCACCAGACCAACCCTGATCTGAATTATCAATTGTCTTGTTGTCTGCGTACGTTCATTACACATTTCAAGCAATGTAATTTGCTTAAGTTGACATGTCATTTATTGAAAAGGCGCCGATGAGATGACTGGAAGGCAACGCCTGAAACATTCCAGTTTCCAAGGAATATGCCACAATGCTGCAAAACTTGTTCCTTCTATTCATGAAAATCCAAGTTCATATAGTTGACAGTTTAAGTTTCCTAGTTGATAAGAATTTGAGTACCAAACACCCACAAGCTCTAGCACTGAGAACATGGTGGATGTAATGTAGATATAAGAAATATAAGAAAAGTAGGGGAAACCAAAATGGCAGATAAGGTTCTGCGAGTGAACAACTACATATAACAAATTTCAGCAATCCCTTGTAATCACATTACCATGTTTTACTGGCTACAAGTGATGTATATCAAGCTCAGCCATCGATATGTGAAAAATATACTGATGCACAATGAAATCGCATATTCAACTTTACTTCGAAGGACAAGAAAATGACTTGCATGAAAAAGAATGATGAATGCATAATAAAATGACATTGTTCACTACTAGCATCACATGCCTAATGCACAGAACTTAATTTGACTTTTGTGGCCATTTTGTGAAATATTACAAAAACTTGAACGTGCATGTTCACTGTTTCAGTATATTTGAATGGCAACCCTAATACCAAGATGTACTACCATATCCCCTTATCATACACCTTAATGGTTTGGGTTTGGTTTGTTGTTTAACGCTGCACTCTGCAATATTCTAGCTATATGCAATGGTCTGTAAATAATCGAGTCTGAAACCAGACAATCCAGTGATTGACAACACGAGCATCGATCCACGCAGTTGGGACCGATGCCATGCCGTCATACCCGATCCCGTTAGTTGCCTTTTACGACAAGCGTAGTCGCCTTTTACTGCAAGCATGTGTTGCTGAAGAACTATTCCACCCCGGATCTTCACGGGCCCCACCTTAATGGAATGAAACATATAAAATACAGTCTATAAAAATAGGTCAATAACACTAACGTTATCTGTAGATTTTGTATCCTTAAGCCACTGTAATCTTTTTCAGTTTCATCTTGAAAGTCTATCCATTCTTCATCATCCTGCAATGAAAAGGGGATCAACATTAGTATAACAGTATGAGTATTGTCAACAATAGTGTCGAAGAATAATTTGGCATCAGGTCAGGGGGACCCCCAATAATTAATTATAAGGGTCCTTGCTGGCAATATGAGGTGTAGTGAAATGATATGGTGTAATGTACTGTACATTTGGACAATTACTTTAGAGCCTGGAATGAAACAATGATCACGTGGACAGTGGTCATGACTCATGGACAAAAAACACACACCATAACTGCTCTAATACAATAGTAGGTATAATGAATATTATTATGTGTCTTTTGGGATGCAGTACATTTTTTCCTCCTTAGTCTACCTGTGTGCGTACTGGACACACATTTGTGCATCTTGTAAAACCCTGTTGCATGATCATGAATACCGTATTTGACGTAATAAGCGCCCACGGGGATATTTGCTAATATTATTGGCTAGTGAACAATCCCAATTGGCACCCCTTCCGATTGATCAATGTACACAAGACTCATTTTTTCGCACTCGTGTGTTATATGCACCCTTAATCATGGGCAATCTGTCGTACATAAACATTTCAGGCTGTCAGCATAAACCTCGAAATTTATCTTTCAACTGTTTTTTTCACCAAAATAATATTCTAATAAGAGCCCCCTATTTCTAATTTTGAGAACGCCCTGGGTGCTTATTACGTAGAATACGGTAATAATTTTATGTTCTTCAGCATGTTCAGTGAAAACAAATTACCAGTACCCAGAAGCAGTGTTTGAAAGTAAGTCGGTTCCTAGGGTCGACTGCTACAGTATGGAATAAATCGCTTCCTAATATGTTGCATATTTTCAAAGATGTTACCAGTTTTATTCATCATTTGAACACAGGTTGCATATTAACAATATATATATGAAGAAATGACTGGTTGAAATTTAAAATATAGATGACAATTACAGATGGTAAGTTACCAACTGTGTACTCACTAATATCGTCATATCACATTCTGTAACCTCTAAGCCCTCTCCTACCAGCACCAAAATGTATTGACTTGGAAGGTACACTGGTATATGTAATTAGGAATGATTTAATGCTGCTTTCAACAATACTCCTGCACTACCACAGGAGGGGGATCAGCTTTAAGCTTTTGGTATAATGCCGAATGGGATTGAACCCCCTACCTTCGCTCTCCGGGCGGTGTGTTGAAAGTGAAAGTAATATGAGGACTCGGGTATCATCCTTCAAACATGTTAAAAACTAAATGTGTTACAGTTAGCATGGCTATAGATTCATCATGTGTTATCTATGTTATTGGAACCAGCACATTCTCAACACAATCAACACATGCAAAAAGCAAATGTGGTAGTTTGATTCAGCAGTGTTCAGTGAACAGAGGTATTTTGTTAGTTATAATTCCCAAGCAGTTTTAGAAATTAACTTGCAAACACTATGCTATATTGACAATCAAAATATTTAATTTTGCATTGACCCCAATATTTCCAAATTCAATGCTACTTTTATTAACATATACCATGATATACGAAGTAATTTGGTTTGGGTTCCATTTTGCAAACTTGATATCACCTAATCTCATAACCAACGCTGCTTCTTTCTGTTATTTTTTTTTTATCTTAAGTTTCAATGGTTTGCCATATTGTTTTCAGTCATAATCATGATAATCATGTTTGTTACAAATACTTGAAATTCATCATAGTCTTCTGAAGAACAAAACTATATTAAAACAAATCGAGAAAAAAATCATAATGATAATGAGTGATGATGACAATCATAAGAATGTCAGGATGGCAATATTGTTTGCAAATAAACCTGTGACCAACTGTTGTCCCCAAGTTGGGGCATGAAATAACCATATGGAAGGCTGGCCAGCTTGGTTTGCAGGCAACTAAAATAACACTCATCCAAGCAGAATATAATTAAGAACCTCTACTTTTCTCGTCGACCCCTGCGAAGTATTGGAAGAAGTCTGGCTCTTCTCCTTGTCCCTTTTTTTCCTCTCCTTTTTAGGTTTCGATTCATCCGTCTTTTCCAGAACGTCCCCAACAGCGGGTATTATTTTTGCCTTGGATTTCTTTTTACTTTTGTCTTTCTTAGCAAAGAAGTCGTCAAGACTTGCTTCTGCCATCTTTAGTTCTTAGTCTATACACACAAAAATAGGAATATGATGTACTGTTTCTGCCAAAATCGGCGAATAGAATCGGAAAACTGTCGACCATGCGGCCTGCCGACTCCATGCGCAATTCTCACGTGACAGGACCGCAGTTAATGCAGTTCCGGTCTAAATTTCGAAAAAAAATACTTGTTAACTTATGATGTTATTTTGCGCCATTTTTTGTTATAGTATTTATAATAAATCTTGATTTAGCCTGTCTGTATATTTTTCGCAGTCACGAATAATCATATGTTTGTTTTCAAAAGAAACAGACGCCACCTGTAGAGCGCGCGTACAGTGTTTTGGCACATAATCTGAGACTGGGTGTATAACTGTTGAAAAAAAACCATTTAAAAAATAGATGTAGATCTTCATAGAATCTAGATGAACATTTACAATGTTTACCAATGCAAAAAAACCCACAAAAACACATTCAATTTCAAGCAATAAAAAAATGCGTCATATGATATCCTATCGATCTATTCATCTAGCCCTTGCTGAACTTGTAAGATGCTGATAAATTGTTTATGAACAATATTGAAAGCTAAACGCAGGAACTTGTATGTGGTTTTTTTCTTTTATGGTGCCCTCCACTTACGGTTGAAGCAGAAATATACATGAACTTGTAGTCGGTACATTCAGAATTTCACTTTTCGTAAATGTATTGTTAAAAAACAAAACAAAACATAACAAAACTAAGAGCACGATCGTATCATAATATTGCTCCACCTCATATCCGAAGTACAAAAATCATAATAGCCTGGCCACAATAAATTATAATTAAATTTGTCAGAATATGCTTCCTCCATGTTTAAAGTGGGAACCCAACCAATACATTTTTTATATGCAGAAAATATTTTAAAAAACTTTCATATTCTAAGTTAAACGAAAACGTAAAGAAGATTTCGTTGCCCGATTAGTCAATTTACCGACTAAGGACACACGGCAAACAAACTCTCCGATGTCCGTAAACCGTACACGTTTTCATAATATGACGATTTTATGTGTGCTTCAGGAGATTGGTAATGGACACATGCCAGTGCCTGACACAGAAGCAATATCAGTGAGAGAGTGAGTGGGTTGGGTTTATCGCCGCTTTTAAAAGTATTCCAGTTATATCGCGGCGTGTCAGCTTAATGTGGGAGGAAAGCCCGAAGTGATGCAGGTCTCTGACGTTTAATACTTCGGTGAAACCCACGAGCACGGGTATGGTGCTGACAAACCTAGAAACATAATTGGGGCGAACCATGATTCGAACCCACACTCATAGGTTTCTGGCGTGCCCAAGGGACGCAACTCTGCACAGCGAATCGCGGCGCCTTAGACGACTGGGCCACCCGTGCCCCCCAGAAGCAATATCAAGGCAATGGATATAGTGTGTTCATAGCGGGTGTGCAGATAGTTGACAAAAATAGGACATATTTTCAGTTTTCCTGTTGGTATATACCTGCTTTGGAAATTTGTATGATAAAAACAAACACCAAATATAAAATCGACTTTTAACAAAACTAAAAACCTCACGTAATCTGGACAAAATGTCAATTCCGATTTATATCCCGTGTCCATTATGGTATTAATTTTAGTGGTGTTGGGTCGGAACATACACCACAGACTGTGTTGAGCATAGAATGACAAACTGGACTTGTTTGTTTGTTGTTTAACGCCGCACTCAGCAATATTCCAGCTATGACGGCGGTCTGTAAATAATTGAGTCTGGACCAGACATTCCACTGATTGACATCATGAGCATCGAACCACACAATTGGAATACGATGACATGCATCAACCAAGTCAGTGAGTCTGACCACCCGATCCCATTAGTCGCCTCATACGACAAGAAGAGTTGCCTTTTACGGCAAGAATGGGTTGCTGAAGACCTATTCTACCCCGAATCTTCACGGGTCTGATACTTGAAAGCTGGAATAGGGTGATTCTTTACTTGCGCCCAGTGCATGCTTGTCGTAAGAGGCGACCAAATGGATCGGGTGGTTAGGCTCGCCGACTTGGTTGGCGCATGTCCTATTGCGTAGATCGATGCTCATGATTCAATCACTGGATTGTCTTGCCCAGACTCGTTTATTATGAAGTCACAAAGCCAGACCACCTGATCCTCATTTTAGTCAGTCCGCCTCCGTGGTCTAGCGGTAGAGCGTCCGCCAGTAGAGGGGTAGGTCGGAGGTTCGGTGCCCGACCGCGTCATATCAAAAGACGTTAAAAGATGGTACTTGTTGTTATCCTGTCTGGCGCTCGGCGTTTAGGGGCTAAAACAAGGACTGGTCGGCTCGGAGTCAGTATACTGTGTCTGAGTGGGGTAATCATGTTAAACTGCGGCATGGTATCTCACTGGGCTAGCATTATAAATCGGCATCAAACTTCAGATGATCCGTAGGGTACAAATGTAATGTAATGTAAAGCTGTGTTGCAGTCACGAGGAATAAAGATAACATCAAAACAGAAGACCAAATATTAGAGTCAACTTTATTGTTTAATATATTAAGTTGTTTCTATGACAACAGTAACAGGAACAATGATAATAGACAGAAAGAGAAGCGACAGAAAATGACATTTAACCCAGGTTTGTGAAATTTGATTCTGAAAATATTCTGCAGATATAACCTAATAATAAAATCCTTATGAATTTGAAGAAGATATGGTGTCGTTAGAAAGAACATTCATGTAAAAGTTCATATTGGGCCAAATATGCATTTTGTGAGAAGTTAAGAGCACCGTAAAGTGCAAACGTAATAATCAGCGTCACAATTGAAACTATTGCGAAAGGCGAAACTATACATACACCAAATTTCATTACATTTCGAATAAGAATGGCTGAGTAATGGCAACATATTTGTTTCAATATGGCTGCTGTGGAAGACATATTAAAAATAGAAATTAAACTTCTTGAAGAAATTCAGGTTTCATCATTGGCGAGACTTTCAGTCATGGTGATAAGGAAAAAGGATGAATGCATTTTGAATTGAGGCACAGAACGACGTTTTTCTAGCTTATGTTAATACACGAAACGTGGAAAATTATTCCCTTTCACGAAGCTGCTTTTTATGTGTCCATCAGTTTTATCTGTGATATTTGTTCATATTATCACATTGAAGACAAAACAAACTATCTGAGGACAGATGATAAACCATAACTTAGTATAACACACCTGAGTGTAACATACCTTAGCATAAAACACCACAGTGTAACAAACCATAGCGTAACATACCTTAGTATAACACACCTCAGTGTAACATACCTTAGCATAACACATCTCAGTGTAACATACCTTAGTATAACACACCTCAGTGTAACATCCCTTAGTGTAACATATCTTTGTATAACACACCTCAGTGTAACATACCTTAGTATAACACACCTCAGTGTAACATACCTTAGTATAACACATCTCAGTGTAACACACCTCAGTGTAACATACCTTAGCATAACACATCTCAGTGTAACATACCTTAGTATAACACACCTCAGTGTAAGATACCTTAGTGTAACATATCTTTGTATAACACACCTCAGTGTAACATACCTTAGTATAACACACCTCAGTGTAACATACCTTAGTGTAACATATCTTTGTATAACACACCTCAGTGTAACATACCTTAGTATAACACATCTCAGTGTAACATATCTTTGTATAACACACCTCAGTGTAACATACCTTAGTATAACACACCTCAGTGTAACATACCTTAGTATAACACACCTCAGTGTAACATACCTCAGTGTAACATACCTTAGTATAACACACCTCAGTGTAACATACCTTAGCATAACACACCTCAGTGTAACATGCCTCAGTGTAACATACCTTAGCATAACACACCACAGTGTAACATCCCTTAGTATAACACACCTCAGTGTAACATACCTTAGTGTAACATACCTAAGTATAACACACCACAGTGTAACATACCTTAGTATAACACACCTCAGTGTAGCATACCTTAGCATAACACACCACAGTGTAACATACCTCAGTGTAACATACCTTAGCATAACACACCACAGTGTAACACACCTTAGTATAACACACCTCAGCGTAACATATCTTAGTGTAACACACCTTAGTATAACACACCTCAGTGTAACATCCCTTAGTATAACACACCTCAGTGTAACATACCTTAGTGTAACATACCTTAGTATAACACACCTCAGTGTAACATCCCTAGTATAACACACCTCAGTGTAACATACCTGAGTGTAACATACCTTAGTATAACACACCTCAGTGTAACATACCTTAGTGTAACATACCTTAGTGTAACACATCTCAGTGTAACATCCCTTAGTATAACACACCTCAGTGTAACATCCCTTAGTATAACACACCTCAGTGTAACATACCTTAGTATAACACTCCTCAGTGTAACATACCTCAGTGTAACATACCTTAGTATAACACACCTTAGTGTAACATACCTCAGTGTAACAGCATTCAGTATAACATACACCAGTGTGATATCGACGGGCCTCAAACTGACCTTATTTTAACATGTAACCCTAACATTATTTGTTCAGTGAATGACGACGTCTAATAGCATGACAATAATAAAAAAACATATGGTTTCGTTAATATAAAAGCCCCATAATATTTGCAATTATATTGCTCTCTGGGTATCGTTAACTTTTTTGTCTTGGGCAAGTGGGCTTGTGCCAATTATCCCCCGGGGAATATAGGAGCGGAGTTTGTCTGCCCGTCCGTTTCTAAATGGGAACAACTTTTCTAAAAAACTATAGAAGTAAGAGAACTGATATTTTACACACTGGTTATCTTACTGGTCACGATCTTAAATGGCTTCAAAAACTTGTGTCTTAAATTCAATTTTGACAGAGTTATGACCCCTGCTCCATGCTTTTCAACTTCGTGCAAACTGCATGAAACAGGCACAAGTTTTCTCTGAAACTACTGAAGTTACATGAATGAAAGTTTACATGCTTATCTAAGATACTTGTCAAGACTGTGTTCGAAAATTGATGCCGTAAATATTTTTTTCTCTCTGTAACGTCCCTTGCGGCATGTTTTTAGATTTCTATTTTTGTTGTCGGACGTGTCACAAATTAGGAAAATGACAAAAAATGCATGAAAGTGACATTTTTGTCATCTTTTGGCTTAAATTAAGTTCTTTTCCAATTGTGAAGACGTGTCCATTTGATTTCATTAAATTATATCTAAAGCTACCCTGGTGCCTATGTCCTCTTAAGGCTTTATAGAACTTTTTTTTATAGTTAACATTAACTTCCATATTATTCATGAACAAACAAAATTCAAATGTGCCCCGTGGCGGGCGATGAAACGGACCTGTATATAAGTATGTGGCAATAGTGATAACGTGTTTTTGTGTTGATATCCCTGAAAGTATATCGTGGTGTCGCTCTACAATAATCACTTTATATTCTGCAAGTTGAAGTTGATGATAGATGCAGTAAAACATCACGTGACAGACTCATCTTTTGTAGCATTTAAACTACACTGAAATTACAAGCCGCTTCTTGATGAACCGGGCTACCAGAACCTGAGGCCGTTGAGTCCACTCACTCAACACATCGGCGTCCGCGGTTACGTCCTCCGTGGACAGTCTGTCGATGAAGGTCACACACACCACGCTGCCTGTAACACAAACAATAAAGGTCACACACAGAGACCACGCTGCCTGAAACACGAACAATAAAGGTCACACACAGACCACGCTGCCTGAAACACGAACAATATACGTCACACACAGACCACGCTGCCTGTAACACAAACAATATAGGTCACACACAGACCACGCTGCCTGTAACACGAACAATAAAGGTCACACACAGAGACCACGCTGCCTGTAACACAAACAATAAAGGTCACACACAGACCACGCTGCCTGAAACACAAACAATATAGGTCACACACAGACCACGCTGCCTGAAACACGAACAATAAAGGTCACACACAGAGACCACGCTGCCTGTAACACAAACAATAAAGGTCACACACAGACCACGCTGCCTGAAACACAAACAATATAGGTCACACACAGACCACGCTGCCTGAAACACAAACAATATAGGTCACACACAGACCACGCTGCCTGAAACACAAACAATATAGGTCACACACAGACCACGCTGCCTGAAACACAAACAATATAGGTCACACACACAGACCACGCTGCCTGAAACACGAACAATATAGGTCACACACAGACCACGCTGCCTGTAACACAAACAATAAAGGTCACACACACAGACCACGCTGCCTGAAACACGAACAATATAGGTCACACACAGACCACGCTGCCTGTAACACAAACAATAAAGGTCACACACACAGACCACGCTGCCTGTAACACAGACCATGAAGGTCACAGACACACCACGCTGTCTGTAACACAGACCGTGAAGGTCAAACACACACCACGCTGTTTGTAACACAGACCGTGAAGGTCAAACACACACCACGATGTTTGTAACACGGACCAAGAGAAATGACATCATCCCACTGGGTCATCTCACTAGTCACATTTCATTTTATTACAAATGGTTGGTTGGTTGGTTGTTTAATGCTGCACTCAGCAATATTCCAGCTATATGACGGCGGTCTGTAATTAATCGTGTCTGGACCAGACAATCCAGTGATTAATATCATGAGCATCGATCCACGCAATCGGGATCAATGACATGCATCAACCAAGTCAGCCTGACCACCCGATCCCGTAAGTCGCCTCATACGACAAGGAGGGTCGCCACGACGAATACCATTGGTAAAACACGTGAAGATTCCGGGGTAGAATAGCTCTTCAGCAACCTATGCTGGCCGTAAAAGGTGACTACCCTTGTCGTAGAGGCGAATGATGTATGTTATCGTATCCCATTTGCGTTGATCGATGCCCATGATTGATATTCAAACGATGGAAATTGATTTGACTACAAGACCATGACTTACATTTCACGCCAGCCTTATGGCAGAGAGCGAAGAACCCCGCCGACTCCATCTCGATGTTCTTCACGCCTTGTGAGTTGAGATGCTTCACGAACTGGAGCTCGTCCTCCTCGCTGATGTCACACACAGCACCATGTGTCCGCGCCTGACCTAGTGGGAGAACAAGTTTCTTGCTAAAAAAACTAAACTCTTAAAGAAACATAATTGACAGAAAACATTGAAGTGTAACATTAGACAAACACGCAATGCTGGTTTAATACATGGTGCTCAATAGGAACCCTTTATGGTAATGTGTTCCTGTTACACCACGAGACGAGACGACCTGTAGCTTGAAGAAAAAAATAAATACCTTTAGAAAATACCTGAAAGAAAATACATGATCAACCTATTCAGTAAAACAATCAAAATATATATTCTCGGATTCTTCTATTTTTTTCCGAACCATATTTAACAATGGATTCAATACATTGTCGTAAGAGAGGGTTGCCTACTATTGTCATGTGAACGTCGATTACCGTATTAGACGTAATAAGCGCCCAGGGCGCTCTCAAAATTAGAAATAGGGGTCTCTTATTAGAATATTATTTTGGTGGGAAAAAAAACAGATTTGAAATTTAAATTTCGTGGATTATACTGACAACCGGAACTGTTTATATACGACAGATATATTTTCAAGAATGTAATTGCCCATAATTAAGGGTGCATATAACACACGAGTGCGTATTATACACGAAGAGATAAGTCTTTTGTACATTGATCAATCGGAAGGGGTGCTAATTGGGATTGTTCACTTGCCAATATATTAGCAAATATCGCCGTGGGCGCTAATTAGAGCGGGGGCGCTTATTACGTCGAATACGGTAATTCGGTTGGGCAACAATGCAAATGGCCACTGACCTTCAAAGAAATCATCCGTACAGTACGTCTTTCCCAAGATAACCTTGAAAGGGTCTTCGGTTCTTGAACAGGAACTTATCTGGCTGGCCAGTTCCTGGTCCACTATTATAGGTCTGTGGATACCCTTGGCCAACACCACCTAGGAAAAATGATGTGTTTTAATACCACGTGCAGTCATATCGAGGGAATGACCATTACTTTCGTCTGTCAGTGAAACTTCCGAAATATCACGTGTTGTGTTCAATCATGATAATGAAACAGTTGGTCTCAAAAAGGGTTTGTGAAATCAAGCACGACACCACGTGTCAAAAGTAACTTGACCGAACTGAATCTCAACATTGTAACGTCTGGTGTCCTATGTGTGTCAGTGTAGGCTGCAAAATCCAGGGCAAAGCTGATCAGTCCACACATTGTAACCAACCGATACCCATTCATCTTTCAGAGGCAAGGGAGTTAACTGAAATGTATCCGCTCGATCGTAGCGCCACCAGTGGATATTACGAGTTATGTCCAGTGTTTGAAATAATTTAAAAACCCAACAAGACCGTAGGTGACCCATAAAAGTTGCCTGCCGACATTCAGACGTTATAAATACTGAAAAATCGTGATAAATAAGAGACAAATCGCATCGTGATTCAGTTGAAATAATGCAAACAATTACTTGAGAATCTCCAAGCTGTTATAATAAAAATGATTATGTATGCTGGCTAAAAGTTATCTACCAGACAGTCGGGCAGGTGGAGGAAAATTTCCTGCAGCCCGACAGAAAAGTTACCAGTCACGGGCAGGCGGGCAGACAGTTATGTCAGTACACTCAGTACAATACTTTTGTCGTGGGTTTCACCAAGGACATAAACGCCACAATGAGCACCAAATTAGGCTTTCGTCCCATATTAGCTGACATATAGCAGAGACCATATACCGATATATGGTCTCTGCTCGTAGTGTTGTAACTGTAATTCTGTTTAAAGCAGAGTAAAACCATATCACCCACCACAAGTATGGTATGCACTCACTGTTTCGAAGGCGGGCTCCATCTTCCCGTTGACTGCAGCATTACTGACTATCACAGAGCCAGGGGGAACTCCTGTGGAAACACAAGTACCATCTACAAACCATATTCAGGTATGACTGAACCCAAACCACTAGTCAAGTTCATATGTGTTTCTGTAATAAAAAGCTATACATTGCCGAATCTTTATACGTTCTGGACGGCAAAATGTTTCACACTGACGCATTAAAGAAAAATTTACGAGTCAATTAAAGAACCAAAATGGACAATTACAGTAAACTACGGTTATAACGAACTCAAAGGGACTACTAATTTTAGTTCATTATAACCGTAATTCGTTATAAACACATATACAGCATAACTACAGCATATAGTCGGGACTAAAAAGTTATTTAGTTATATCCGTTAGTTCGTTATAAGCGTATTCGTTATAACCGTAGTTTACTGTATTTGCAAAACCTCTGCACAACAGGTTAAACCTACCATGCCCACAAAGCGATCTTAATGCCCCGACTAGCTTCATAAACAAGAACTATATTTGAGTAACCATTGTGCTTAATGTTATTTTTTGAACGACTCCAGGAATGCATTTGTTTGTTGTTTAACGCCGTACTCAGCAAATGTAATACGATGACATGCATAAACCAAGTCACATGCCTCCTAAACCAAGTCACATGTCTCCTTTGCATCGGTTGCCTAAGACCTATTCTAACCTGGATCTGCACGGGTCGCACTTATGTAATCTAATCGCAAATTTAGATTTATAAAAGAATGAGGTAGTAAGAAAACGTAGTTGTTAAAAGCCTGTCAACCTGTATTGCAGCAATATCATAGCGGTCTGTAAATAATCGAGCCTGTGGATCAAGCAAACCAGGTAATTTGGGAAGAATTTAACACATGGCGTGTGAAAAAAACTTGCCGATTCCGCCGCATGTACCGATGCGGATGAAGGTGACGTCTCTACTTCTAGCGTAGAAAAGCATCTTGAGTAGCTCGTGCAGGGCCACTGACATGGACGGCACGCCGATACCATGCTGCAAAGAGTGATGGTACTGTGACGTATCACTGACTGCACCCATTTTTCGTGAACACTTATCTCATTTTCTTACACACAAGCGGTTATTTTTATTTTCGACACTGTCACAGATCACACCCATAGTAAATTATTTACGAACAGAGCAAGGCGCAAAACATCTCTTTAAAAACAGATATGTTACTCTGATTCGTTACAGCTCTCCCAGAACCCCACCCCCATTGAAGATCACGTCAGGCAATCTTTCTAATCAGCGTGAAGGTTTATCAACTCTCGATACGATAAGGAAGTATCTGGAGCAGAACTTGTGATTTCTGTATCTCGAAAACGAACGTAAACGAGCAGAATTTGAATCGGGGATGGAGGTTCTAAAGGAAAGACGTTATAGAAAGCTGCCATCTTCACCATAAAACTACCCAATTTTCGTTATTTGGCGATCACTTTTCGCTCAAAGTTGACAGAAAGTTGACGGAGACAGGTTTCGGATCAGATCAAAAGATACGACTTTAATGAAACTGGAAACAAAATTGTCGTTAGTATTTTATAGCTTTTCAATAATCAGGTTTTCATGAGATTAACATCGAAAGAATGTTCAAAGCCCAACAATTTCACCGATGCACAAAGTGTACAACCGAAAGCGGAAATGTATGGCTAGTTACATACCTTACATGTAATACTTACATTTGCAGAGAGAACGGGGCCAGCCTTGTACAGCACAAATCTGTCACTGTTACCGGCCAGGTTTGGGAGTCTTTCATTCGCCGATACAACACCCAACTCCTTACCTATGTAATGGGCAAAGTTTTCCATTCGACGCGCAGAGCCCCCGACACATACGAACTGAAATATGGAAGTCACGGTATTGCCATGTATAGAGAAACGTCACGGTTCCCTACTCAACTCGTTATCAGTATCGACTGCGGCCATACAAGCAAGTGATTAATATAATGAGCGACGTCGGGTACGACGGCATTCATCCAAGTTACTGAGTCGGAACACCTGACCCAGTGTAGTCAGGGTTCATACTCTTGAAAGATCAACGCACATTGTATGTTCCAAAATGAATTAGTGAATAAGAGTATGGTTTTACGCCGCTTTTCGCAATATTGCAGCATGTACTATCACAGCAGAAATGGTCTTCACACATTGTACCCATATGGAGAATCGAACCCGGGTGTTTGGCGTGACGAGCGAACGTTTTATCTACTAGATTACCCCGCCGTCCGTAATTAATCAGTGACCATGCACTTGTGCGTTTAGAATGTAAACACATACAATATATGATTAGATCTAGAAACAAAACATGTTTACGACAAATTGCAAAGGCTTCAAAATTATGGGAGAAGGAACGTGTTAGAATCTAAACCAATTTTTACAGTAGTTTGTTGGTTGTTTAACGCCGCAATCAGCAATATTCCAGCTATATGACGGCGGTCTGTAAATAATCGAGTCTGGACCAGACAATGCAGTGATTGACATCAGGAACAACTACGCAATCTACGCATTTGGGATACAATGACATGTATCAACCATGAAAGTCACCGAACCTGACCACCCGATCCCATTAGTCGACTCTTTCGAAAAGCATGGGTTACTGAAGACAAACTCGGATCAAGAACACAGTGGTGTTTCCAGAAGTGATATTACGCACCTTGACATCCCCAAATAAGGCAGGTAGATCATGTGACGTTCTAGAGATACCGAAATGGTACAGGTTGTCATCGGTCATTTGTGCCAGGTGCGGGTTGGGTAGCTGCATACCACTGTGGGAGGAGGAACGTGCGATATTATACCAACAATCTTTTCTAACGGTCATACTGTCGCAACTCCCAAACTTGAACACAGACTCCAACTCAAGTCGAAGCATTAATAATGTATCGTAGGCACTTTGGCGGGACACGGCTTTTAGCAGGGTTGGTTGGTTGGTTTGTTGTTTAACGCCGCACTCAGCAATATTCCAGCTATATGACGGCGGTCTGTAAATAATCGAGTCTGGACCAGACAATCCAGTGATTGACATCATGAGCATCGATCCGCGCAATTGGGATCGATGACATGTATCAAACCAAGTCAGCGAGCCTGACCACCCGATCCCGTTAGTCGCCTTTTACGGCAAGCATGGGTTGCTGAAGACCTATTCTACCCCGGAATCTTCACGGGTCGCTTTTTTTGCAGGGAGTTTACATAAGTCTTAGGGGGCACGGGTGGCCCAGTCGTCTAAGGCGCCGCGATTCGCTGTGCAGAGTTGCGTCCCTTGGGCACGCCAGAAACCTATGATTGTGGGTTCGAATCCCGGTTCGCCCCAATTATGTTTCTAGGTTTGTCAGCACCATACCCGTGCTCGTGGGTTTCACCGAAGTGGTAAACGTCTGAGACCTGCATCACTTTGGGCTTTCCTCCCACATTAAGCTGACACGCCGTGATATAACTGGAATAATGTTAAAAGCGGCGTTAAACCCAACTCACTCACTCACTCATAAGTCTTATATATTCCTCGAGTTATGGGCATTAAATGTATCTATCATATAAGTCTCAGTGTCGAAAAAATGTATAATTTCGAGAGAAACAAGCAGCTACATATAAGAGAGCAATAATCCAGCAATATCACGGCGGGGGACACCACATTGTACCCATATGGGGATATGGATATGTCGCTCTGCATTAGGGGATTAAAAGAATGATTGGTTGGCTCGTGGTCAGTAATCTCTGTCTGGGTGGGGCATTCATGGTAGACTGCACCATGGTATCTCAGTGTGCATGCACAATAAAGCGTTATTCTGGACTATAGTCAGCCATACAGACCCTGAAACAATATATCCAGAACAGCCCATGCAAGTCTATAATATTTGTCTAGATTACTGCAGTATCTGAAAGTAAATCTCTTGACCCCTGTCTGTTATATTTTATAACTATAATTTAACAACTGTCTTTTCATGTAATATATATTCATTTCAGAGACTAAATGTTAGTCTATCTGCAGTATTTGGACAAGCATAAGCAGCCATACACACGTGCATTCACGTCGCTGTATAAATGCAATACTTTTGAACGTGACATTGAAACATACTTTCACCTCACCCTAGACTAACACAATTACACAATATCCTTTTTGACTCTAAAAATAAAAAAAATTCCCTATGCTGAACAGAGCTAGCTTGAGCAGCCTAGACTGCGTGCATGTATGCATTTCTAGATTATTTTTTCATAAAATAAATATATTCCACGGTCGTGGTGCAGGACTAACCTCACCCATATGAGTATACATGCATGTATCCTTAATTATGTACAAGCAAGCATTATGACAGACAACGTGGAGTTTAAGGGACTCAAATGAAATTTGTTGGACTGACAATAACCCGGGTCAAGACCCTCTTTCGAGATGCCCCTCTTTACAGAACAACTGTGTTCTTATAAGACACTTACTTTTGGGCATTCCTGTTTTCATTCTCCATGACGAACAGCTAGTGGAAAGAGTACTCCGGAAATAACCGGTCAGGTATTCGGTGTGATGAAGATCTGCTTGAAATTCAGCATGTGCTCTCCCCCAAAACAACGTGCAAATGGTCGTCGTCACAGACCTCCCTTCGTTATAACGAGATGCACGGGATGCACAACTGCACGAAATATCAATTTAATCACACACAGCCGTCTGCAATATTTCCCCCCAGACTAAATGATTTAGAAAATGTTTATACTGAGTTAGCTATTCTCTAAGACTGTACGAGTTAGTTAATGTGAATTCTGCATTTTATATTCAAAATCCAAACTGGCGCTACACCGGGGTAATACAAAAGAGTCGAACGGGTAAACAAAACACACAAGTGGGTCAAATGTTGATAACTTGAACCTTTACTGGCGTCACGTGGAGAGTTGGCTGCAGACAGAGCCCGGGGTTTGACGCAGGCAGAAAGGGCATGCCGATGTCACAAATATCACTTACATAATATATTAATTTCACGTGAAGACAATGATGCCGACGAGGAAGTAGAGACCATGTACACAGATCAGTACATTGTCCCAGTGTAAGATATTGGTCTATTGTCGGTCAATGAACCCTGGTGTCTAAACCATATATTCGCACAGGCAAATCAAGATACAACATCATGGACCAAGTTTGCAAGTTGTACACACACCGGTCGCTGAATGGTCACCCAGCAATAGGCAGGACATGTCCCTTTCCTTGTCGCTGGAGCCGACCTCAACAGGTGGTTGCCATGAACGTCCCAGATGTGTGGCACTGTGTGGTGTCCATGCATGGGATGTCAGCAGTTGGCGTGAAGACATCGTCCATATGGTTCAAGATAAGCCAGTTGTTAAAGAAGTTACTGGTGGAGAATGTGTGAAGCTCTGGTGTTACAAAACGAGTGTCTTTTAACTCGTTAAATAGGTATACAATTTAAACAATGTCGATATCACTTCAAATCATTTAAAACTTTAAAGAATTAACTTAAAAGTTCCTTTCGACAGTTACTTTTCTAAAAATTGTGGTAATGTCTTGGTTTCTATTGACAAAACCTGTTTTTTATACGTTACTTGATATTGCGGCGTTGAACAACAAACAGTGGTAGCTCATGTTGCTGCTCGTTGTGGCAGGCGTTTGGCAAGGGACTGGTCATTTGTTACAAGAGCGGGTGGGTGGTCGTGAGGTCGGTCTAAGCTTAGGTCCGCATGAAATTTTGCTGCTACTGTCTGGTCACTGATGTTCCTGCTACTGTCTGGTCACTGATGTTCCTGTTACTCTCTGGCCACTGTTGTTCCTGCAATTGTCTTACCTGTGATGTTCCTGCCACTGCCTGGCCGTTGATGTTACTGTTACCCTCTGGCCACTGACGTTCCTGCTACTGTCTGGTCACTGATGTTCCTGTTACTCTCTAGCCACTGATGTTACTGTCTGGCCTGTGATGTTCCTGCCACTGTATACCCTGTGATGTTCCTGCTACTGTCCAGCCTGTGATGTTCCTGCCACTGTCTGGCCACTGATGTCCCTGGTACTCTCTGGCCACTGATGTTACTGGTCGGCCTGTGATGTTCCTGCCACTGTATACCCTGTGATGTTCCTGCTACTGTCTAGCCTGTGATTTTCCTGCTACTGTCTGGCCTGTGATGTTCCTGCCACTGTCTGGCCACTGATGTTCCTGCCACTCTCTGGCCACTGATGTTACTGGTCGGCCTGTGATGTTCCTGCCACTGTATACCCTGTGATGTTCCTGCTACTGTCTAGCCTGTGATGTTCCTGCCATTGTCTGGCCTGTGATGTTCCTGCCATTGTCTGGTCACTGATGTTCCTGTTACTCTCTAGCCACTGATGTTACTGTCTGGCCTGTGATGTTCCTGCTACTGTCTGGCCACTGATGTCCCTGTTACTCTCTGACCACTGATGTTACTGGTCGGCCTGTGATGTTCCTGCCACTATATGTGGCCTGTGATGTTCCTGCTACCCTCTGGCCACTGATCATCCTGCTGCTGTACGGCCTGTGATGTTCCTGCCACTGTCTAGCCTATGATGTTCCTGCCACTGTCTGGCCACTGATGTTCTAATCTCTGTCTGGCCCCTGATGTTCCTGCCACTGTATACCCTGTGATGTTCCTGCTACTGTCTAGCCTGTGATGTTCCTGCTACTGTCTGGCCTGTGATGTTCCTGCTACTGTCTGGCCACTGATGTTCCTGCTAGTCTCTGGCCACTGATGTTCCTGTTACTCTGACCACTGATGTTACTGTTCGGCCACTGATGTTCCTGCCACTGACTGGCAACTGATGTTCCTGCCATTGTCTGGCCACTGATGTTTCCGTTACTCTCTGGCTACTGATGTTCCTTATACTGTCTTGCCTGTGATGTTCCTGCCACTGTCTGGCCTGTGATGTTCCTGTTACCCTCTGGCCACTGATCATCCTGCTACTGTCTAGCCTGTGATTTTCCTGCTACTGTCCAGCCTGTGATGTTCCTGCCACTGTCTGGCCACTGATGTCCCTGTTACTCTCTGGCCACTGATGTTACTGTTCGGCCTGTGATGTTCCTGCCTCTGTCTGGCCTGTGATGTTCTTGCCACTACCTGGCCACTGATGTTCCTGCCACTGATGTTTCTGTTACTCTCTGGCTACTGATGTTCCTGCTACTATCCGGCCTATGATGTTCCTGCTACTGTCTGGCCACTGATGTTTCTGCCACTGTCTGGCCTGTGATGTTCCTGCTACTGTCTGGCCACTGATATTCCTGCCGCTGATGTCCCTGCCACTCTCTGGCCACTGATGTTCCTGCCACTGTCTGGCCACTGATGTTCCTGCCACTGTCTAGCCACTGATGTTCCTGTTACTGTCTGGCCTGTGATGTTCCTGTTACCCTCTGGCCACTGATCATCTCGTTACTCCCTGGCCACTGATGTTACTGTTCGGCCTGTGATGTTCCTGCCACTGTCTGATCACTGATGTTCCTGCTACTGTCTGGCCACTGATGTTCCTGTTACCCTCTTGCCACTGATAATCTCGTTACTCTCTGGCCACTGATGTTACTGTTCGGCCTGTGATGTTCCTGCCTCTGTCTGACCTGTGATGTTCTTGCCACTATCTGGCAACTGATGTTCCTGCCTCTGTCTGGCCAATGATGTTTGTGTTACTCTCTGGCTACTGATGTTCCTGATACTGTCTGGCCTGTGATGTTCCTGCTACCCTCTGGCCACTGATCATCCTGCTGCTGTCCAGCCTGTCATGTTCCTGTCAGTCTGGCTACTGATGTTCCTGCTACTGTCTTGCCTGTGATGTTCCTGCCACTGTCTGGTCACTGATGTTCCTGCCACTGTCTGGCCTGTGATGTTCCTGCTACTGTCTGGCCTGTGATGTTCCTGCCACTATCTGGCCACTGATGTTCCTGTTACCCTCTTGCCACTGATGTTTCTGTTATTCTCTGGCTACTGATGTTCCTGATACTGTCTTGCCTGTGATGTTCCTGCCACTGTCTGGTCACTGATGTTCCTGCTACTGTCTGGCCACTGATGTTCCTGTTACCCTCTTGCCACTGATAATCCCGTTACTCTCTGGCCACTGATGTTACTGTTCGGCCTGTGATGTTCCTGCCAATGTCTGACCACTGATGTTCCTGCCACTGTCTGGCCAATGATGTTCCTGCCACTGATGTTTCTGTTACTCTCTGGCTACTGATGTTCCTTATACTGTCTTGCCTGTGATTTTCCTGCCACTGTCTGGCCTGTGATGTTTCTGTTACCCTCTGGCCACTGATCATCCTACTACTGTCCAGCCTGTGATGTTCCTTCCACTGTCTGGCCACTGATGTCCCTGTTCGGCCTGTGATGTTCCTGCCTCTGTCTGGCCTGTGATGTTCTTGCCACTATCTGGCCTGTGATGTTCCTGCCACTGTCTGGCCACTGATGTTCTAATCACTGTCTGGCTACTGATGTTCCTCCACTGTCTACCCCGTGATGTTCCTGCCACTGTCTGGCCTGTGATGTTCCTGCTACTGTCTGGCCACTGATGTTCCTGCTACTCTCTGGTCACTGATAATCCTGTTACTCTCTGGCCACTGATGTTCCTGCTACTGTCTGGTCACTGATGTTCCTGCTATTCTCTGGTCACTGATGTTCCTGTTACTCTCCGGCCACTGATGTTCCTGCTACTGTCTGGTCACTGATGTTCCTGCTACTCTCTGGCCACTGATGTTCCTGTTACTCTCTGACCACGGATTTTCCTGCTACTCTCTGACCATTGATGTTCCTGTTACTCTCTGGCCTGTGATGTTCCTGTTACTCTCTGGCCTGTGATGTTCCTGCTACTGTCTGGTCACTGATGTTCCTGCTACTCTCTGGCCACTGATGTTCCTGTTACTCTCTGACCACGGATTTTCCTGCTACTCTCTGACCATTGATGTTCCTGTTACTCTCTAGCCTATGATGTAAGCCCCCATGAGTAATAAGAGTGACAAGGCAAATACTGGAAACTGATTCACAACGATATGTTTATTTCTTACACAACACTATTATTATTTCTAACAGTATCTAATCCCTGAGTGTTTTTCATAACTATTTCACTTCTGTAGAAATCAGACAAATGTCTCATAAAAGTTGCAAAACTGATTATATGTTGTCATATACATGAAAACCAATATCAGCCCTGTACACAATGAAGTGGGATACACATCTCAAACATTCTAATCATCTGATTTGATTGATGAACTAAATACATTCGGACAGGGTAACTGATTTGGACTTACTGAGCAACTTAGGATCACAAGTGATTTGTTTAATGTCTATCATCCAGATATTCTGTGTCCAACTATACTTTACCGTAAATCATTTTATATGTTTTAATAATTGAACATTTGAAAAACTTAATTACTGTATCATTTACTTGTATTCTATATCATAACTCTTGCTATACAAAATGCATAGAATATTTATTGATTTTTTTGGTACTGTTATTGACAGATGTTCCATTCTGTAATTGAAAGAGAAAAAATATATTGAATGTACTGACAATGTACAAATTCAGTCTCTTTAATATGTCAAAAAAACACATGAGTTACTTTGAAAACAGACAGCATAGAGAATAATAACAAGGGCAAGATTCACTGTAAATAATCTCCAAATATCATTTTCATAATTATACCAGTACATAAGAAGCTGGACTCTCATGAAATATATATATAAAAACATACACACAAGTTTATGCTGTGGAACCTGAATAATCCGTATGGTACCATACTTGGTGAAATGTTGGCATTAACAAACTCCTAAATTAAAGAATCATTATGGGATAATTGGGTGTAACTGAATTCAAAGAATATATACTACTCAAAAGAAGTTGAAGACCACCCAATGCTTTCATATTATTTGAACTTCTTTTGAGTAGTGTACATAATAAGACATAACTATTCATCTGTGAATGTCCTGTGGTTTTACATCTTGCTTGTTCAAGAGGACAAACGAGTGGAAGCTCCTTCAGTACAGAACCAGTGTATGTTGTCCTGCAAACATTCCACCACTCCGCTCTTAATCACTCTTAGTCCAACAACGCAGTCACAGCAATCTGAATGACTGAGCTCATATGCTATGTCATGGCCTGTAGACTTCATTGAATGATTGTTTAGGGGCACAGTTCTCTCAAGTTTTCCTTCAAGCCATTCATACATCATGTATATACAGTATGTACATCTGTGCATCTGATTTACGAGGAGGGAGGCAGGATTTTCATGTATTTACAGATGATTGACAGCATCACTTCATCAGCACCGCCTCCAATGGACAGAAGTCTGAAGTCCCTGAAAACAGTATGACAAAAAATATATGAGGAAAGACTGCTTAAACATTGATTTCTGTTCTGCACAAAGGTATGAATAAGACTCATCAGTCTTGCAGACTAGCACATTGTATGCACAGTTTTTGTGGGGACACCTGGTAGAACATTATCAATGGTGCTCTTTAGACATAATGATCTTCCATTTTCTTGGGTCCAGACCACCTCAGTGGCCTTCTGATAGAGGGTCCGCCTGGCCACGTCATACCAGAAGACTTTAAAAGATGGTTCTTGTCGTTGTCTGGCGCTTGGCATTAAGGGTCTAAAACAAGGACTGGTCGACTCGGAGTCCATAATCGTGTCTGGGGTATTCAAGTTAAGCTGCAGCATGGTATATGTATCTCAGTGGACTAGCACTGTAAAATTGATATTAGTCCGGACTGGTACAAGCAGCCACACACACATGTGCATGCATGTTGCTATATAAGTGCAATAATCTTGGACACGATGATAAACCCAATTTCACCTCACCTTCTAGGGTCAGCTGATCCGTAAACAAATTAAACATTTTAAATAAATGTCAGGCTCAGAAGTTGTAGCTATCAAGTTACGGTGTTGTCTGGTAGACAGAAACATATTGTATGTGTCATTGACATGGTACATAGACACCAGGGATCATAATCAGAGTGAATGTGGGATTCGAACCCAGGAACAGCAGAAACCCAGGATCAGTTGCAGGCTTATTAAAATCAGCTGTTTTACTCTGATTCCATACCTCTCTGCATGAAGATCTGAGGATACCTCCATAGGTGGTCGTGACAGGGGAACTTTCTGATGAGTACTGAGGTTTGTAAATTCTCTGTACATACCAACCAGCACACGTCAGATTTCTGTATCATGGAATCCAACTCTTACATGACGATATGTGGATATTTTATATGCTGTTTCTGATGGAGTTCTGTTAAGTGAGGTGAGGTGAGGTGAAATTGGGTTTAACGTCGCGTCCAAGATTATTGCACTTATATAGCGACGTGCATGTATGTGTATGTGTTTGTGTGGCTGCTTGTACTAGTCTGGACTAATGCCAATTTATAGTGCTAGCTCACTGAGATACCATGCCGCAGTTTAACATGAATACCCCACTCAGACACAGTATACTGACTCCGAGCCGATCAGTCCTTGTTTTAGCCCCTTAATGCCGAGCGCCAGACAGGGTAACAACAAGTACCATCTTTTAACGTCTTTTGGTATTATGGGCGGGGTATCGAACCCCGGACCTTCCGCTGTCCGGATGGACGCTCTACCACTAGACCACAGAAGCAGTCTACTGTTGAGTGATATTTGTGTTATATGTGGGTTTTCATTTGTACAAATCAACATTTCTGAACTGAGGTGGCCAAAAAAATAAAGATGGAAAGTTGACAGTGATTTGCTCAAGAACCCATGCAGTATTTCTTTTACATTGGGCAGTCAAATTTAGCTCAGGGTTGACCTGACTGGACCTTCTATGGGGGTGTTCTCAGGTCTGTATGAAGAGTTAAAAAGATCTGAGATAAGGAGAGGTGAAATTGGGTTTAACGTCACGTTCAAGATTATTGCACTTTTATAGCGACATGCATGAACGTGTGTGTGGCTGCTTGTACTAGTCCGCACTAATGCTGATTTTATAGTGCTAGCTCACTGAGATACCATTGCCCAGTTTAACATGAACACACCACTACGACACAGTATACTGACTCCGAGCCAACCAAACCTTGTTTTAGCCCCTTAATGCCAAGTGCCAGGCAGGGTAACATGAAGTACCATCTTTTAACGTCTTTGGTACGACGTGGCTGGGAATCGAACCCAGACCTTCCGCTCTCCGGGTTGACACACTACCACAAGACCACGGTCAGAGCTTAGGTTAGGTGGGTAATGTGAACTCAATTTGTCCAAATCTCTTTTCTATTATGAGAGTCCATTGTGTTTATCATACACTCACCTGTACAAGCGACTAATGAGCACTTCATCAGTGTAGCCCATCCCTCCCCAGTACTGCAGACAGGAGTCGCACACCTCCCTCGAGAGCCGGCCTGCCTTCAGTTTACACATGGAGGCCAGCTTGGTCACATCATTCCCATCCATGTACAGAGCTGCAACAACAAGGTAGGCAATTCAGCTTCAACATAGTACAAGATCCCAGTATCCCATACCCAGTATCTGCAATAATACTGTGAGTACTGGCTGAGTAAACTAGTCAATATGATAGACAAATATACACCAAATAAATATGTAATTTGTCACATGGAAACCACATATTATCAAGATATAAATCTGTCATGTTATATATTAAGCAGGCCTTCAACATGTTCAAGAGCAGAAATGTACTTTCATGAACCATGTGAGTGAGTGAGTGAGTTGGGTTTTACGCCGCTTTTAACAGTATTCCAGTAATATCGCGGCGTGTCAGCTTAATGTGGGAGGAAAGCCTGAAGTGATGCAGGTCTCAGACGTTTACCACTTCGGTGAAACCCATGAGCACGGGTATGGTGCTGACAAACCTAGAAACATAATCGAACCGGGATTCGAACCCACAATCATCTGGCGTGTCCAAGGGACGCAACTCTGCACAGCGAATCGCGGCGCCTTAGACGACTGGGCCACCCATGCCCCCCAGGAACCATGTGAACCTATACTCAGTGTTATTATTGATAATTAGAGATAAAATGATCAAATCATAAGCTTCCAAGAGCGCAGTTCCGAGGCATCTATGAATTGTATATATATCATGTATATTTGTTATGAAAGTGACACTTGAGTTTATTCTTTTATTTCCTGCATGAACATCCACCATCTCAGATATGAGGTGGGCATGACCAAAATACAATTGTCCGACTGGCAAAAAAATATTTCTAGATCCCTTGAATGAACCATTATATACCCACACTGACTGTTACCTACCATGTATTGCCATGTCTGCCAAACCACTGGGTGGGTTCATGAGTGTGTTTTGGGTAGCTTTAACTATCACCTTCAATCTTGCTCTTTTCATTGTTTTTTATAGTCCTCCATTTTTCAAGTTTAATGAAATCATCGAATCAGCATGACAGGGGCATAAACAACATGTTCTTCAAATGTTAATCACATCGTCAACATACTCAGACCTAGTGACGCTAGTCGGCATGTGTTCATATTTGACTTCCTACATACCTAGGTGACCCTTCAAAAATGAAACCAACTGTATTTGTAAATGATACTACACTGCATAGCCTTTCATAAATAAACATTTGAATTTGAAAATGCTCCCTTCCTTTGTCCTCGATATCCTTATCACAGTACGGTGCAAGGTGAACCGGAAGAGGGGCAAATGGGTTGCAGGGTGCAAGGGTCTAGAAGTTTCTTTGTGTCATATCATGGTTGGAACATCTGAACCCTTTTCCCTCCTGATATCCTTCAGGCATTTAGAAGAGGACTACGTACCAACAGCCCTATACAGCAGAGACCGAAGACTCTCAATCTCAGTCTCCAGCTCGGCAAGGCGGAAGTGGACCACCTGGTTGCTGAGGATCGGCTTCCCGAAGGACTTCCGCTGAGCCGTGTATGCAGCTGTCTCCTGGACGATCTTCTCTAGGGGAGCCAGGACTGAAACAACACCAGCTTCGGGATGTATTTCTTACCTTAATGCCATGATCAGCAAGTTGAATGTTAGGAGGTCAATATACAATCTTGACATGGCTTATTACGTTCAACATCAACTTAGAGCTTTCTTTGTGGTTAATGTCGACTTCCTGTTAGCCATTTCATTGGTCTGTCAAAGGTCACCAAGGTCTTTCTGACGTGACCTGTAATGGGATGTCCTCAGCGAGAACTCATATCTAATTTTAATGAGACTGAGGTAATCTAAAACATGTGATTAATCCTGTCTTGTTTACTTAAAGCATTACTTGTTTATTATTGAGCAAGTTTATCTCTGCAGCCCTTGTAATATGCAGCTGCTAGCCGATTCGTCTCGCATCAAAACACGAGCTGTGTACCACGGAGTATGCTGATCACTGTGTTGGATTAACAAGACTGATTTTGGTAATTTGTTGCAAATTAAGTGTTTCGGAGTCGGAGTGCGAGACTGTCAGATGAACGGGTCTAAGTAGCACTGATTTAATCGGTTCCCATCATTAGTGTCGGATTAACGAGTGTCTGATTAACGAGGCTTGACTGTAAAACAGTGTCAACACCCACCAAGAGCTGCTGCATACAGTCTCTCCTCCTGAAACTGCAACATTTGGTAGGTGAATCCCATCCCCTCCTCTCCAATAATATAGCTGGCTGGAATACGAACGTCTTCAAAAAATATCTGTGCTGTGTCAGAACACTTCATTCCCATCTTTTCAATCTTCTTGGCAACCTGGATACCTGCAAAGGAAGATGACAAAAACAGGTTGGTCTTCAGCACATCCACCATCATCTTCCCATGACAAGATGCAGCTGATACGTTTGGTTCCACATAAAAACATCTTGCCGCAACTTTTCAGGGGCACACAATACGAATGTCTCTTATCTGGGCAGAAACAAGTTCTTCTCACACAAGATAATGATGGTAACAATGCAGAAAAAGAGTTGGGAATGTTATGCACTTATTCCCCACCTTCTTCTAAAAACCTAACGGGATGAGGGTTGTCCAAAAAGATGTACTGGCCCTTAATTTAGAACCAAGTAAGTTTATACATTCAGGTTTCAGAATTTAGTTCAGTGATATTATTTTTCATAAAATCAAAGATGGCTGCTTTGTTGCCATTTTGGATTTGAGTTTGATGACTATTCTATGCTTAAGTCCCCTCATCCCTGGATTACTGGTACCTAGTGAAAGTACACTCAATCCGACAAGTGTAAAATGTGTGATACGATGCAAATGATATTCTGGCCAGATGAGTTCTGAATGACAGCACATTATGCTATATGGAGAATGGTTTGGATCCAGGTGTCTCCTCACCTGGAAGGTCCATGGGTAGACAAATGAGAGACTTGTTCTGGTGGGCCTTCCCTTGCCCCGTGTTAGCTAACAGACACATCCAGTCTGCCTGTGTACCATTAGTTGTCCACATCTTGCCACCATTGATGATGAGATCATCTCCAGTTCGGGATGCTTTTGTGAAGATACCTGATAGACAATATCAAATAAATCTTTTAAAAGATTGTTGAGGGTTAGTTTGCTTGAAGCTTCATTAAGAATTTTCTAGTGACGTTTTACAAGTTGGAGAAATAGTCAAAGTGTTAGGTATGCTGAGACTATCGTATGTGAACCTTGACCTCCTATTATTAACTCACTCGGTCACCTATTTGGATGACTTATTTTTCTATGACCTGGCTTCTGATCCACGCAATAGGGATACGATGACATGCATCAACCATGTCACCAAGCCTGACCAACCCATCCCGTTAGTCGCCTCTTGAAAACCTAGTTGCACCAGACAAAACCAGTTTGCACCCTGGGCCCACTTGCACAAAGCGATCTTAGTGCTAAGATGATCGTAACTCCCATACTTTAACATAGGCTAACAATAGCTGTAGCGCTAAGATCGCTTTGTGAAAGTGGGCCCTGGTTCCACAAAAGGAACTAAACACATAATCTTGCAGTACACAGTTTGATGACAAGCCCAAGAAAGCATGCCAAATAAAGGGGTTAGTGGTGTAGTATTATTGGCAGAGCTTAAAGGTATTGAGAGGGTTCACAAATCATTGTTGGAATGAAAAGTGAGGGTTGGTCAGACACACATTTGAACTTGTATTACAAGCACTTGGTGCATGAATACATAAATATTACGCTGCACTTTTCAATAAAAGGTTGCACTGGTGAATGTGTTATACAGCTCAATCAGGCCATGGAACCATCAAATGGGTTGGACTTTCGATTTCTATGAATGATTTCCAATAACAAATAAGCAGGATCTGGCAGAAAAAATAACTGAAATAACATCTGACATAATAACACGTAATAACACCTGAAATAACCTGACATCTTAACTAACAACACCTACATAATCAGCCAAAATACCCAACAATGATACCTGACATTATAACCAACAATAACATCATACATAGTAACCAACTGTAGCAGGACGCGGAGTCATCCCACAGATGACATCCTTACCTTGTCAGCTTGCTGACGGGGTTAACCTCTTTGGTCATGTGGACAAGGCGTCTGATCTCGGATCAGAAGGTCCCTGGTTCGAATCCCATCACGGGACTCGGAAACTTTATGGTCGCTACATTGGCGCCCAACGTGGGGCTGAGCACGTTCATATTAAATTTGAGCAAAATAAGCCTCAGTACCCTACGATGCGACCCGGGATGTGCCTTCTGTTGACGGGGGAGTATGTAGCAGGGTGTGCAGTCATCCTACAGATGACATCCTTACCTTGTCAGCTTGCTGACGGGGTTAACCCCTTTGGTCATGTGGACAAGGTGTCCGACCTCTGATCAGAAGGTCCGTGGTTAGAATCCCATCACGGGACTCGGGAAAGTTTATGGCCGCTACACAACAATAACTTGATATAATAACCACCAATACCATCTGATACAGCATCTGCACTAAGCCCCCTGTTTACTTACTTGATACATCTGAGCCGGCGCCGACCTCACTGACCCCGAGACAGGCCACCATGTCACCAGCAATGGACGGAGCAAGGAACTCTCCCTTCAGTTTGTCACTTCCAAACCTGAAAGGAAATTATCCACCTTTGATTCGTCAATAAACTTTGTACCCAGTCTATATATTCCACCCAAATTTCTGGCTGCAAATGGATGAATGTGTTTCATGGGATTCAGATATATAAGTGACATCGTTTGAATTATGTTCCAGGTATGTGACAAGCATACTCCTGACCGATCAAGTCTTCCAATACTGCAACAACACACACTTCCAACCCTGCTCGCAAAACTTTCCAGATTTACAGTACAGTATTCAACATAATAAGCGCCCAGGGCGCTCTCAAAGTTAAAATAGGGGGCTCTTATTAGAATATTATTTTGGTGAAAAACAACAGAGTTGAAAGATCGTAAATTTCGGGGTTTATGCTGACAGCTTGAAATGTTTATATACGACAGATATATTTTTTCCAGAATTTAATTTCCCATAATTAAGAATGCATATAACATACGTATTATACACAAATAAAGAAGTCCTGCGTACATTGATCAATTGGGATTATTAACTAGCCAATACATTAGCAAATATCGCTGTGGGCGCTTATTAGAGCGGGGCGCTTATGACGTCGAATACGGTATATCACCAAGTGAGTTAGTGATAGTGTTGCTATACCTTTGCTTTTCGTAAACCCAATCACCTATAAAAGTCCACCCTCTGTATCTCCAGGGCTAGCGTTTCGGAAAACCTAAACCAACCCCTGGACCCATCTCCGTAATTCTTGAAATCTCAAATTACCCGCCCTTGATATGCATTAGCAATTTACTGACCAATCAAATGTCGAGATAAGGTCATAATTTAAGTAGGGAGGGGGGGCTTCTTATATTTTATTTTATCTTAAAGTCATCAAGCTGAAGACTGGACACCTTGGTAAGAACAACAAATGACTGAAATAACAAAGATAATAAATTAACATTGATTTCAACAGAAGCAGTTGGATGTATCTGTGTCAAACCTATTTTCGTTTTTCCAACTTGTACTCCTGCGTTTATGAATTTATCCTCAGTTTACGTTAACTTGTCATGTTCCACTCAAGCGAACTTGTTGAAGATTTCCATAAGAGTCATGGACTCTGGCAAAGGACAGGCATACCAGTATTTAATGGTTTGACCACCCTCTTGTATTTTCAAAATAGTGACCACCATCTTGACAGGCTGGCATATCGCAAACAGGAAATGGCCGTTTGACAGCTGATGTCATAACAGTGCTTTAAGCATTTCACTCAGGCAAATAAAATTAATTTGTCAGGGGGTCTAGTCTTGAGTCAGACGGGGATGATAATCTAATTTATTATGGCTTAAGGAAAAGGGAAGGGTAAGAGAGGTAACTCGTATCACCTGGAAACTGGTGCAGGGACAGGTAACTCGGGTACTGTAAATCGTGAAATTAATGCGTCTCCAAAAGAATGCGGCCACTGGACCCTAGCCAAAAATGCGACTCAATATGAATGCAACATCCCCTCCTCTCAAGCATCAGTGGATTTCTATCTAAAGATGTCCTCAGTCAGGTTTAGAATCCTCACCTTAATCCAACCTTACATTAATCCAATCACACACCAAATAGCACGGCTTATTAGCGCTGAGTAAAGTACTTCTGCAAAAACAATACAATGGCTCGTGTCAGCCTTTGACGCAGTCGCAAAGAACGTCTGTGGCATCTGTCTGGACTTGCAGGTGTGATCAGTGATGACATAAGTGAGTAGAACTCTTGTCTTGACCTCAGCAGTGAAAATTCACAGGACGTAATTAGTGTTTGAATGACATTGTTTATATACCTTATATACAAATGCTGCTCAATAAACAGTGGTGTGGAATACATCAGCGTATGTCTAAGTTGGTATTTTTGCTATCCAAAATGTCTTATTGTTGATATAAATGCGATGTTTAAAAATGTGAGCAAAGACCACACGCACTTTTTGCATTTAATTCACGCTCGCGTTAATTTCAAGATTTACAGTAATCATGTACTCGGGTACTCGGGTCAGATGGGTCAAGAGATGGACCCAGTACCCACAGGGCTACCCGGACCCGTGGTTAGTCATGTGATATATTGCTTAATAACAAAAAGGATCTAGAACTATATGGTTACACTACAAGTTCTACTAATGTTGGCATTTCTTTCTGACTAGGCACCGATTCCTTCTGACTTTAATACGTTTGAATAAAGATAAAACTTCAGTCAACTTCAGTGTATGCATGACCAGATCGTTTATATGTGTATCTAAATACATTTTGTCCAGGGCTACAGTCTAACTATTCCCAACAGGACATTTGGTACCTATCTCTTGAGACCAACAGCAGTTACCTGGGTAGGGTCGGGGAATAGGAGGGTGGGTACCTGGGTAGGGTGGGGGAATGGGAGGGTGGGTACCCGGGTAGGGTCGGGGAATAGGAAGGTGGGTACCTGGGTAGGCTGGGGGAATAGGAGGGTGGGTACCTGGGTAGGGTGGGGGGAATAGGAGGGTGGGTACCTGGGTAGGGTGGGGAAATAGGAAGGTGGGTACCCGGGGAGTAAATATGGACTTGTCTCAGCCCTACTGGAATCCAAAGCCAGTTGTATTGGACATGAAGACATTCTTCCCATCAAAAACTTTCATTTGCATGTCAGTCAGTTATTCAAAGTTGAATTTCTCACAAACTCAATCATAATCAATGGGACTGGCCAACCCAACATTGAGGCTGGTTTGTAACTTGCATTCTGATTGGTACATTAGGCCTTGTAGCGTAGCCAATCAAATTGGCATATGGAAATCAAGGGTGGGTAATTTGGGATTGTGAGAACAACGATGGGTCCAGGGGTTATTTTAGGTTTACGGAAATGCTAGCCCTGGAGGGATAGAGGGGATTGAAGTCTTGAAAGTATAAATGTTTAGTATGCTTCCGAAAGGAAGGGGAGGGAGTGCATAGGAACTACTATACATGTTTTTACAGCTTTCACCAAAGAATCCTCAGGTGTCGTTATGTCTTTCTCTGTCACATTGACATGACCTGGAGTCAGTATAAAGTGACAGATACCTAGCTAGAGCCGGCGTGGCCATGTCAGTCTGTACTCCTATCGCCATAGGAACACCTCCACAGTTAATGTGTCCCAGCTCCTCAGCCACAGCCATGCCATAGGAGTAGTCCAGCCCAAGTCCGCCATACTCTGTAGTAAATAGACAACAGCATAAACATCACAGCCAAATCTCCCATACTCTGTAGTGAATAAACAGCATAAACATCACAGCCACAGAGTCGTCCAGCCCAAGTCTCCCATACTCTGCAGTGAATAGACAACAGCATTAACATCACAGCCATAGGAGTAGTCCAGCCCAAGTCCGCCATACTCTGTAGTGAATAGACAACAGCATAAACATCACAGCCACAGTCGTCCAGCCAAGTCTCCCATACTCTGTAGTGAATAAACAGCATAAACACCACAGCCACAGAGTCGTCCAGCCATGTCTCCCATACTCTGCAGTGAATAGACAACAGCATAAACACCACAGCCACAGAGTCGTCCAGCCATGTCTCCAATACTCTGCAGTGAATAGACAACAGCATAAACACCACAGCCACAGAGTCGTCCAGCCATGTCTCCCACACTCTGCAGTGAATAGAAAACATCATAAACACCACAGCCACAGAGTCATCCAGCCAAGTCTCCCATACTCTGTAGTGAATAGACAACAGCATAAACATCACAGCCGCAGAGTCGTCCAGCCAAGTCTCCCATACTCTGTAGTGAACAGACAACAGCATAAACATCACAGCCAGAGTCGTCCAGCCCAAGTCCGCCATACTCTGCAGTGAACAGACAACAGCATAAACATCACAGCCGCAGAGTCGTCCAGCCCAAGTCCGCCATACTCTGCAGTGAATAGACAACAACATTAACATCACAGCCACAGAGTAGTCCAGCCAAGTCTCCCATACTCTGCAGTGGATAGACAACAGCATAAACATCACAGCCGCAGAGTCGTCCAGCCCAAGTCTCCCATACTCTGCTGTGGACAAACAGCAGCATGGACATCAAGGTGTGGATGGATGAAACTGTTGTTTATAAGTGTGAGTTAAGAAAATATATGTGAAATCGTTACAAGTGTAACAAATGTTATATTTAGGATAACACTTTCTTCGTAAAAAACAGATTCTCATACTTTTTGGTGTTGAGTCACGTCTGGGATTCGACCCACACTGCCAGAGTGAGGCACCTTATCACCAGCACACAAAGCCAGCGATCTAACCCACTCAGCCACTGAGGCTCCATACCATTACAAGTGTAGTCATATTATTACAACTGAGTTGGGTTTATTGTTGCTTTGAACAGTATTTCAGGAAAATAAGAGGGTCATTAATATTTCCCTCCTTCATGAAACACAATTAGATTTGGAACTGTGCTCACAGACTGAGGATCATCAACAAATTTGAACACATGACCGATAATGGAAATGACTCTAGTTGGGCCTTAGCTCCAAACATCAACACGAGTAATCGAAATGATATCACACTGCGTTTACATCACCAGTGTCTGACCTTCCATACCAAGTGACAATATTTGTTGTGACTTTAGCCCATTATAATGAGATAGATCATGATGTAAAAAACATTGTTTACTAAAATAAGTCCCACATAATCATGATAATAACATAACGCTTACAAAATTAATGAACATGATATCAATGAAAGAGCTTTCCTGAAAATCCTGTTGGCTAAAAATCTTCACAATTTTGTAAAGCAGCTATTCCCTCCCGTTGCTCACATTTATTTTCAAGGAAAGTTTTCTGTTATTACATGATTGTATAAACATATTTACTGTAAGAACTTATTTTCAAGGCAAGTTTTCTGTTATTACATGATTGTATAAACATATTTACCGTGTGAATCAATTAATTACTGAATAAAGAGCATTCAAAACATTGATAAATCACATGGGATAGAAACTTATAAAATAATCAATAAATTGGAATCACTTTTGTTCAGAAAGAAAATACAAACTTACATAAGTCATAATACATTACATGAACATGATCCAAACAGCAGGGCCCACTTGCACAAAGCGATCTTAGCGCTAAGATGACCTTAACTCCCATGCTTTAACATAGGCTTACAATAGTCATAGCGCTAAGATTGTTTTGTGCAAGTGGGCCCAGGATTACTAAAAATGAATTGAAAGTCTTGCTGAATCATGTTCATGATGTTAATAAATGGAACAAATAAAAAATAAAGTTTGAAAGATTTATGAAGTAATGTAAATGAAAAAAATGACTCGACTGGGCAAGGTGGCAAAGCCTGGGAAAGCCTGGGAAAGCCTGGGAAAGCCTGGGAAAGCCTAGGAAAGCCAAGGTAAATCCAAGGCTTCCTACCTGTAGGTTTAGTTACACCCAAGTAGCCAGCATTTCCAAGAGTCTTGAACACATCCTTGGCAGGGAACATTTGAGCTTTTTCCCATTCATCAACATAGGGATTGATTTCTTTATCAATTATCTGAAAACAGAAAACAGTCCTCCATCACTCCTTGTGATACATTACTAACTAACTTCACCAGATTAAACTGTCAGCTATTTATTGCTGCCAACATTGTAAAATTAGGTATGCATTGTGATCCAGTTTACATCTAAACAAAATCTACATTTGCACAAATAGATTGCTCTCATTGTCAACACACTGTGTATGTGACTGATTGTGCTCAAGCATGTTAACAAGCTTATCATGTGTCAGAATATTTTTATTCTTAAATGTGACATGAGTTTCGTTAAATAATCACAAACACGACATTCCTGAGAAGAGAGACGGTCAGCGCCTCATCCCCAGGCGTATCTGTGAGTGGGGTGAAAAGCCTTGTGTTTTATTTGAACAGATACATGGTGACATCAAGAAATGTACCAAGACCTTGTTGTCTACTACTTTCTAGGTGAGTAGCGCTAATGTAGTTCAACACAGGGCAGCTAGAATCATCTATCTCTGGGGACCCTGAACAACTCCACGCGTCATGCATGCGCAATCTACCTTTCTTAGGTTTTCTCTCAGTTGCTTGTGTTCAGGTCCAAACAATGCTTCTTGTGGCTCATTTCGTTGTTTGCATTGTCTTGATACTGACAAATTTCGCACAAAGCAATCTCGCTTTGCTCCAACTTGCCTACAAACCGGGTTTAGCAGACGACGAGCCATCTTTCTGATCAAAGTTCATATCCATATTGTCACTTCCGGGTTTAAAGTTTAAACTCCTTGCAATGTCAAAGGCATCGCTTAGCGCGCAATGCTCTGTACGAAGTTACGATATCGAGGATTGCACGGCACTTCAGAAGGATGGTAAGTGTCTACTCCAGTGCCCAATGTTTATCACAATCACAATGTATCTGTATTAGAGATGATAGGCAGGCAATAAATTATTTAAGTTGTACTGCTTTTCTATTTTGTGATACATGCAGGTGGTCGAAATCGTACCACTATACAGCGTGAAGACAAGTTTCTAGTGACTGCAGCAAGACGTCATCATTTCGTGACTGCCACCACACTCAGAAATTACATGCGGAAAGCCAGTGGCGTCAACGTTTCTACCCAGACAGTGCGTAATCGTCTACGTAAGGCTGGTCTCCGGTCACGGATTGCATGGATTCGCATCCCGCTGATCCGACATCACAGGCAAGCACGTTTGGATCGCGCTGAAGGTCACGTCAATTGGTCCAGGACTGGGCTCCAGTACTTTTCACTGATGAACCGAGATGCTGTCTAGACTTCACAGATCGCCGTGCATGAGTGTGGCATAGACAAGGAGAAATATTTCAGGATTCCAATGTTTCCGAACATGACCGCTATGGAGGGGGGACAATAATGATTTGGAGTAGTATCAGTAGAGCTGGAAGAATCGATCTCCATGTCCTACAGCTGGGCACGATGACAGTGATGACATTCTGGATGAGACGTGAGACATGGTGAAATCGGACCTGACTGAATCCTCATGGGCGATAACGCACGGCTTCGTCGTGCCAGTGTCGATGTTGCCTACTTGGAGCAGGAAACTATTGTCCGCACGGAGTGGCCAGCATGGTCACCAGACCTCAACCCTATCGAACACACGTGGAACGAGCTGCAGATCGAACTCTCACGACGCCCTGCCCTTCCGGCAACTCTACAGGAACTCGGCAATGCTCTTACTGAAGAGTGGCCCAATCTCCACTTGTCATCCATCCAGACACTTATTTGAAGCATGCGATGACGGCACCAAGTTGTGATCGCATCACGTGGATCACATACGCGCTGAGAGAGGTTTATTTTACATTATTTTACGTTTCAGTTGTTGTCAGATAGTCTCATTTTGACGGGTGATCTGATTGATCAATGGTTAAAGTTGTTTGTTGTCATTGTGTGGCACATTACAACGGACCATTAAACATGTCTTCACACAATGTTGTCTTTGGCTATTTCAACAGATACACACCATTGACGTATTACCTATAAAGTGGTGATCCTTAGCAAACTTGCAAGTTATACATGTTGATAATATTGTTTACACTGGTATAGAACGTACAACATAACTTAATATCAAACTTACGTTACAGGATGCAAAACTTTAACAAAAGGTAAATGTATAAATGTGTAGAAAGGTATAAGTAAATGCTAAATGAAATAGAGTGTCTTTTTATACTGTACCTTTACCATATTATGAATTAAATGACTGACATATATACAACACTTATATTTATCAACAATGGGCTGAACCACATGGTCTCACGAGCAGTAATTGACCTGGTTACCATTGCCATTACATCCAACGTACAGTATATCAAATATACCGGTAATACAATAAGTGACTGCATACACTAACCTGTCAAACGTTATCAACATTTATTCTGTACACAACTACACACTTGAAACGTTCAAAGTGATGTTATTACAAAATTGCATGAACAATTAACTACCATTGCAAAACCACTTCTCTAAAACCTGAACTATTGTTTCTATATTCGCAGCAAAGAAAGGCTGCTCCCTCTCCTACTGTTACCAGCTGATTGGTTATGCATTTGACATGTGGAACAGTATGTGCATTACTTAACCAATCAAACTGTGCTGACACTTATTAAGTAAGGATAAGATTTATGGATGAACAACTTCTTTATTACAATTAGGAGCGACGTTTCGGTGGAGGTTGCTTGATAACGGTGTTAGAACCTACACCGAAACGTCGCTTTTAACTGTATTAAAGAAGTTGGTCTTCCATAAATCTTATCCCTACTTAATACTCCAACTTCTAAATGCCTTTCAAAGATGAAATGACACTTATTGTTTTGACATTAACTCTTATTTTAACTGTGAGGCTTTCTATGGATTGGGGGTTCATATTGGGTTGTGGGACGTATTCTTTTATCTTGAGAATACTAAAATAATGATTTTGAAATTAAAATCCACCCGAAATATCTTCAAATAACATATATTTTTCAACTTTGTTTAACGCCGCACTCAGCAATATTCCAGCTATATGACGGCGGTCTGTAAATAATCGAGTCTGGACCAGACAATCCAGTGATTGACATCATGAGCATCGATCCACGCAATTTGGATCGATGACATGCATCAACCAAGTCCGCGAGCCTGACCACCCGATCCTGTTAGTCGCCTCTTACGACAAACATAGTCAACTCTTACGGCAAGCATGGGTTGCTGGAGACCTATTCTACCCCGCATCTTCACGGGTCGGAGTATATGGCACAACCACGGATATATTTGTGAATGGATAAGTATTTAGCTGACAAAAGTTCCGCGAGGAAGCGACCAAAACAAGTACAACTGTGTCCCATAATACCCCATGGAAAATAGGTGTAGTCAAGTATGTATTTCATCTTATCAATATAGCTTTTTGTGCCCACCAAATAAATCACAAACACTATATGTGAACCATTATTAACAGATTTATGTAACAACCAAATCAACACGTTGTTGTCATGGTAGGAAACGCGCATTCAAACTGTCATCATATGTGTAAAGTATTTCAGTTAAAAATATATCACGGCTGTCAGCTCGATGATGTGGGAGGAAACTCCGAAGTGATCGTGATGTAGGTCTTACACATTTACCACTTTGGTGAAACCCACAAGAACGGGTGGTGTTTACAAAGCTAGTAGAAATTAAGGGGATTCGAACGTATGATCAATAGATTTCTGTCACGCGTAAGGGACGCAACTCTGCACAGCGAATTAAGGCGCCTTAGACGACTGGGACACTCGTGCCTCCTTGCGGCTTTGTAATTGAACAGAAAATAGTATCTATGTTATCAGGGCGCTTCTATGCACTATCTAGCAACAATGAGGTTAATAACCATGTGATGGTGCACATGTTCAGGGAAAAACGGAAGGTAAGGGGAGGTTGGCTGATAAGACACCTAAAATACACTTCCGGTCAGCATTACATTTCTTACGGGATGAGACACTCGACTTTAAATCTGTGAGTCGCTACTTTTGTAAGAAAGCTATAGGCCCGACCTGTGTACCAACATCATTAAGTCCGGGTTAGAACTGGTCTTCAGCAACCCGTGCTTGTCGTAAGAGGCGACTGTGCTTGTCGTAAGAGGCGACTGTGCTTGTCGTAAGAGGCGACTGTGCTTGTCGTATGAGGCGACTGTGCTTGTCGTAAGAGGTTACTGTGCTTGTCGTAAGAGGCGACTGTGCTTGCCGTAAGAGGCGACTGTGCTTGTCGTAAGAAGCGACTGTGCTTGTCGTAAGAGGCGACTAGGCTTGTAAGAGGCGACTATGCTTGTCGTAAGAGGCGACTGTGCTTGTCGTAAGAAGCGACTGTGCTTGTAAGAGGCGACTATGCTTGTCGTAAGAGGCGACTATGCTTGTCGTAAGAGGGGACAGTGCTTGTCGTAAGAGGCGACTTTGCTTGTCGTAAGAGGCGACTATGCTTGCCGTAAGATGCGACTGTGCTTGTCGTAAGATGCGACTGCGCTTGTCGTAAGAGGCGACTGTGCTTGTCGTAAGAGGCGACTGTGCTTGTAAGAGGCGACTATGCTTGTCGTAAGAGGCGACTGTGCATGTCGTAAGAGGCGACTTTGCTTGTCGTAAGAGCCGACTATACTTGTCGTAAGAGGCGACTATGCTTGTCGTAAGAGGCGACTGTGCTTGTCGTAAGAGGCGACTATGCTTGTCGTAAGAGGCGACTGTGCATGTCGTAAGAGGCGACTATACTTGTCGTAAGAGGTGACTATGCTTGTCGTAAGAGGCGACTGTGCATGTCGTAAGAGGCGACTATACTTGTCGTAAGAGGTGACTGTGCTTGTCGTAAGAAGCGTCTGTGCTTGTCGTAGGAAGCGTCTGTGCTTGTCGTAAGAGGCGACTAACGGGATCGGGTGGTCAGGCTCGCTGACTTGATTGATTCATGTCCAAACTTAAGGGAAAACTTCATTCCTTGACCCTTAAGGCTTTTGTTACAAAACATGGTGACCATAGATACAGTTACATATCTAACTTCAGAGGTTTCGGGGAGTATGTCAATAATGAAAGCAATTGCCATGTGAAGTTTACTGAGAAAACTATGTGAAATGCTGTACTTCCTCATTGATAACATCGTTCGATAACCATCAAGTAGCCAATTCCCTTCCACTGATTTACCCACCTGAACTAGAAATAAAGGAGATCACCGAGTCCCTCCCGTATGGTGTGCCACATATTTTGGCCGCAACTTTTGGCTAAAAGCACAAGGCTGGGTGTTGTGAAACCAGTTTAGTGCACCTTGTGACCTCTCCTCACTGATGCCACATTAATAATACACATGATTCTCACCATGTTGACACCGCGTGTAACCCGGTTAGGTCACATGGCTGATAGGTCATTGGCGCAGTGTTTTGCCAAGGTAACACGAAGAGACTACATGAGCACAACACACTTTTCAATTGTAGATAGCAGAGCGACTTGTGCGTTTGTAGTTGACAGACTGATACACCCCTCTGTGTCGGAAAAAACGGGTAAGCCAAGACAAATTAATTCAACACATTGACTAAGTGCGCAGCTATGTGAGATTGTGCATACACATGATTTCACTTTAACTCAAATTATCATTGAAATATAAACTTTTGTTTTGTTTAACCTGTCAATCTTTCGTGTAAAATTCCAATATGCCACTAGACACGTAGAAAGATTATTAAAGTTTTTCAATGTTAAAGTTATAGAATGTTTATATAAATCATGATTTCTCATTAATTGATCTTCCTTTTGTCAGTAAACAGGAACATTGAATATATTCATGTTATAATGTATATAAGTAAATATCATTATCACGTATGGTGTATGATTTACGATGAGTAAATTTCAGATAAAGTAGAATATTCACTCATGTACACGATTTTTTTAATATTTAATAAAATACGTCGTAAAAATATTCATTCGTATATTTCATTGATTTTCACATAAAAAGTAGTTATTTTTAAGTGTTTAAGGTCAATATTTATTGCAACATATTTGTGAGTATAATGTTATTACATTTGTATGACGTTTCCGTGGAGATTCTAACACGGTTATCAAGCAGGCGCTGTGACGAAGAGGGTGCAAAGCCATACCATGTCATCAGCTATATACTCACGTGCACTTACCTGATAAGGGTGTTAGGGTCTAAACCGAAACATCGATACATTGTCAATAGTTACGAATCCAACATCAAAATGTCATTCAAAGAACATATGACTATATGTAAACATATATTTCTGTGTGTATTTGTTAAATGTATTTCGGTGCGCTGGGGTAGCCTAGTGGTTAAAGCGTTCGCTCGTCACACCGAAGGCCCGGGTTCGATTCCACATGGGTAACAACATATGTGAAGTCATTTCTGGTGTCCCCCGCCGTGATATTGCTGGAATATTGATAAAAAGCGGCGTAAAACCATACTCACTAAATTTATTACAAGTATGACGTATGACTTACTTTTGACACAGGTCCATCATGGCTGATGTAAAGACTCCACTGTTAGCGGACCAGGAAGACCTATCCTACTCATCAATAGGGGAACCATGCACCGTTAACCCTGACAGGAAACACTCGGAATCCTCCATAGACATTAAAACCTCGGCATCCGCCCAGGGAGATGTAACGAAAGACGATGTTAAAGTTAAACTATATAAGAGGCGATGGTATATGTTAGTCATATTTTCTCTAATGTCGGGCACTCAGTCTTTTGTATGGAATACCTGGGCCCCCATATCTAATTCCAGTGAAGTAGCGTTTGGATGGAATGATGCGGTTATCTCCCTTATGGCCAACTGGGGGCCAATCACGTTCTTTATTGGGATGCCTCTGTTCGCATGGATGCTGGATATGAAAGGTGAAAAGAACTTTAGTAGTTGTGCATGTTATTATCTGGCTTGTTTGTTATACATTCTGCTATTAATGTATCCTATACGCAGTGTTCGAAATACGCGCCTGCCCGTTAGCCCGTGGCAAGTAGATCTCGTGTCGGTCTGTAGTTCCAAATGTGTACGGGACCTTATAGCCTGCAGTAAATTCACTGCTGTGGGACGTATGGCAATAAATGTTTACTTTATTTAATCCAAATGGTGTGAATGGCGAGTGCTACCGGTTGGGCAGGAGATCCTTACTATTTTCGCGAACACCTGCTGTCATCACTCATTTTTAGTGGTCCATTCATATAATTTTCACAGCTGTTGTGCACTTTACGCCAAACGGAATCTGTTTCGGCTGATAATCTTGACTATTTTTTCTCTTGCGCTGACAATATATATCAACGTGTCGATTTATTTGTCACAATAAGCTTTTAAGTAAGTGTCTGGAGAGTTTAGTCAGGGTCTGCAGCTTCTAAAATCTGTGGGAGCTGATGGCAGCCTGTCATTTTTCTATTTCAAACACTGTTCTCAGCTACTACTCTCTTACTGAAGCTGAAAACTTTTCTTCACTTTTCTGTTCTGCGATATGACATTTTAATTTAAAAAAATGTTTTCTTTGACAATACAGCAACCATTTGTCTATGGCGTCACGATATGGCTGAAATACTGCCGACGTGACTACAAATTGAAATGCACTGACTGTAAGATGGCACAATTAGCTTTACAGAATTACGTCCCTTTGGCACACCAGGAACCTCTGATCGTGGGTTCGAATCCCAGCTCCTCCCTGGCTATATTTATAGGTTTGTCAGCTCATGGGTTGCACCAAAGTGGTACATCTCTATGACCTGCATCACTTCGGGCTTTACCCTATGCACGTTAACCTCACTGGTGTGATAATAACTAAAACACTGTCCAAAGTGACGTCCACCGAATCTGATAGCTTCGTATATTTTCCTTTCTCTATTTACATGCCTTATTGTCTCAACCCAAGGTGTGGTCTGTTTCAGGTCTCAGGATATCATCCCTCCTGAGCATGTTCATGATAGCAGCCGGCTGCGGGATACGATGCATAACAACCAGCCCCCCATGGGTCACGTGGTCAGTATATCGTTCACCCACATGATCCTAAATAATGTTATCACCCTGTTATCATACATTCTTCTCCTGAGACCCGTGAAGATCAGTGTTTGTCGTAATAAGCGACTATGCTTGTCGTAAGAGGCGACTAACGGGATCGGGTGGTCAGGCTCGCTGACTTGGTTAATGCATGTCATCGATCCCAATTGCGTGGATCGATGCTCATGATATCAATCACTGGATTGTCTTGTCCAGACTTGATTATTTACAGACCGCCGTCATATAACTGGAATACTGCTGAGTGCGGTGTTAAACAACAAACAAATAAAGCATTCTTCGCCTGAGGGGCACGGGTAGCCCAGTAGTTTAAGCCGCGCAATTGTATGTGTACAGCTGCGTCCCTTCTTATGATCGTGGGTTCGAATCCAAGATTGGCCCTGGTAATGCTCCTTGGTTTCTCAGCACCGTGCCGTGCTTGTGGGTTTCTAAGACATGCCGTTCTCCTTTTCATCAAGCAGACACGTCGTGATATAACGAATACCATTACGGCGTTAAACCAAACCAAACTCACTCTAAACGACGTCAGACCTAGCTCATTTTCTCACTCAACTCATTCTTCATTTTTTTAAAGAATGTGCGAAGGACTCCAAATAAATGTTAAGAAAGACATAAACAATTTTATAATTTAAACCCGTACAATGACTGGAGGATTAAGATCGAACACTGTGTATCTAGTAGGGGAAGCACACAAACAGGTACTTTTTATACACTTTTTGCCTCCAGGACAATGCATATTGGTCAGTTTCTGAACGGTCTTGCTGGGCCGGTGGGGACAGGCGGACCTCCCTCCATGTCGGCTACGTGGTTCCCACCCAACGAGAGGACCACAGCCACGGCCTTGGCTACAATCATCAAATTTCTCATGGTAGCTTGCTCCTTCGTCATAGGTAGGTATTGGTCAAAAGAACAGACTTTTCCCAGTGATTAAGCTCAGAATCAGAAGTTTATTGTCGAAACACTCCATTTTGATAATACTGATGCAATGACGCAATGGCGACAAGACTCGTGCAGTGCGCAGTAACATAGAGAGTCTTCAACATTATTCTAGTCGGTCGCTGACTTTGTGAGCTGGTTCGTTTACTCGTACCGAGAATTTAGAAGCGCCGATTAGCATATTAGAAAGTTCACGTGACCCACCCTCCTATGGAGGTATCCTTGGATCTGCATTCAGTGAGGGGCGGTGGGGTGGCCTAGTGGTTGAAGCGTTCGCTCGTCACGCTGTAGACCCGGGTTCGATTCCCCACATGGGTACAATGTGTGAAGCCCATTTCTGGTGTACCCCGCCGTGATATTGAGGGAATATTGCAAAAAGCGACGTAGAGACTCACTCGCTGATTCAGGGAGGTATGAGAGAGAACTATTTGATTTTAATTGGTTTGTGTTGCAGTGTTACTATTGTTTGTGTTTCTTATTCTGCATGTCTTATATCCAGGTCCCCAGCTGGTACCCGAGGTGCATACGAAGAACTGCACACTTGATAACTTTACCATGAGGTATTTACTCAAATATCATGTTATTGCGTAATGTCATCCTTTGCGATGTAATGTAACGTATTGTAAAGCGTTATTGCAGAATTAAGTTGTATCCCGTATAAGACGTAGAATTAAAGGGAATATCGTCTACATGCTATACATGTATGAAATGTGTTTCAAGAGTTAGTAAATTGTCTGAATATGACCTAAAGTGTTGGACAATTTCACAGGAAGTAATTACATGAACTTAACGTTTCATCTATTTTTTCTGAAGTTCGTCCCCCGCATCGCAGTTTGAAGAATTTCACCTTGAACATGGCTGCATGAACGGCACCAACGTCACAGGTCAGAAAAGAACTATCCCCAAATATTTTTTAATAAGAAAAGAAATAATTATAAATGCTTCAATATGCAAAACAGTATTGAAGCATTAAAGATCGATTATATGTATTAATGCAATAGAAATCATACGTAAAAGTAAGACAGAGTTCAGATGTAAATTCAGTTCAAACTGATCATTTACGAGTAACCATTACAAGATGGCTGTTCGAGTGTTCCAGTTAAAATAATAATATATATATATATATAGTTGTTGAACTTTGCAAGATTGTCTGTGTTTCCAGTGCCAACGGTAGCAAAACTGAGAGAAGACATAATGTTCCTCATGTATGTAGGTAAGAAGATTTATTAAATATATTTATCAGTGATTATCAAACTGTCTATCAAGATAATCTTAGTCTTAAGCCTATAACATTTCAGAGTGCGCCTCGTCAGTTATAAAATACTTTATATCATTCATTTCAGTATGAATCTGGTCAGTTATATAAATACTTTACGATCGTGCATTTCAGAGTGTGCAAATACTTTACGATCATGCATTTCGGAGTGTGCAAATACTTTACGATCGTGCATTTCAGAGTGTGCAAATACTTTACGATTATGCATTTCGGAGTGTGCCAATTCTTTACGATCATGCATATCAGAGTGTGCAAATACTTTACGATCGTGCATTTCAGAGTGTGCAAATACTTTACCATCATGCATTTCGGAGTGTGCAAATACTTTACGATCGTGCATTTCAGAGTGTGCAAATACTTTACGATCATGCATTTCGGAGTGTGCAAATACTTTACGATCGTGCATTTCAGAGTGTGCAAATACTTTACGATCATGCATTTCGGAGTGTGCAAATACTTTACGATCATGCATTTCGGAGTGTGCAAATACTTTACGATCATGCATTTCGGAGTGTGCAAATACTTTACGATCGTGCATTTCAGAATGTGGCTGGTCAGTCGGGTTGTTCCTGATAATGTTGCTGTACTTCCCCAACAAACCCCCACATCCCCCTTGTGTGTCGGCCTCGGTTAAGAGAGAGAGCTTCAAGCAGGGCGTCATGGATCTGCTCAGGTATGTCTTTCCATCCTCTCTCTCCGTTCCTTAAAAGATTACAACTAAAAAACATAAATGGAGGAAATTATTTATCTCTGCAACATAAACGAACAAACAACACACACACACACACACACACACACACACACACACACACACACACACACACACATAATCATGATAATCATACAGTTGCTATTTTCCCTTCACCAGGCGGCGGCAGTTCTGGGTTCTGGCTTTGGTGTTCTGCCTGGCCGGTGGGGGCAGCACGGCGTGGACAGGGGTGCTCAAGGTCAACATGAAACCCACGGGCATCAGCCAGGACCAGGCAGGCTGGATCGGCTTCTACACGTTCTTTGCTTCCTGTGCCGCCATGTTGGTAGTTGCAAGGTGCGCTGGTATTCAGTGTTATGAAATTTGTATACATGTATGTAAATATATGCGTCAAAACCTTTCCATAATATTAAGAAATAAGAGTCTATTGTACAATTCCGACTATATCATAAGTACCGTATTCGACGTAATAAGCGCCCAGGGCGCTCTTAAAATTAGAAATTGGGGGCTCTTATTAGAATATTATTTTGTAGAAAAAAAACAGAGTTGAAAGATAAATTTCGTGGTTTATGCTGACAGCCTGAAATGTTTATATACGAGAGATATATTTTTCCAGAATTTAATTGCCCGTAATTAAGGTGGCATTGAAAACATGAGTGCGTAGTATACGCGAATAAATAAGTATTGTGTACATTGATCAATAGGAAAGGGTGCTAATTAGGATTGTTCACGAGCCAATATATTAGCAAATATCTCCGTAGGCGCTTATTACGTAGAATACGGTATGTGTTTATGAACCACTATGAAATAATCACGAGTCGATAACAACTTTTGAGCAAGAGTCGTATGACGCTGTTTGAAATCTTAAAAGAGCATGCTGGGTTGTACCTGTGACACTGCAGACACCAGAGGCGAGATTATTGCTGGACATGCAGGCGAAGTTGACTATTGGAAAGTTGAGGTCATATATGAACTGGATATGGTTTTGTATCTTTGAATCTTTATGTACATATCCAAGTATGAAACACAAAAAGGCGGTTTCGCTGATCTTTTATAATTAAAAAGCAGGGAGGGGGGCACAAATTAACGAATTTATCATTAAGAGTTCAGAAGCATATATTTTCGGTGAAATATGTTTATGGTAGTTGAAAATGTGAAGAGGGTCATTTATGGCGTTGGGGCGGTCGGGTAGCCTAGTGGTTAAAGCGTTAGCTCGTCACGCCGAAGACCCGGGTTCGATTCCCGACATGGGTGCAATGTGTGAAGCCCATTTCTGGTGTCCCCCGCCGTGATATTGCTGGAATATTGCTAAAAGCGGCGTAAAACCATACTCACTCACTCACTCACTCATTTATGGCGTTAGAAGTAAATGACGTCATATGGAACACTAAGCTTGTCAGAATCCTTTGATCGTGGGTTCGAATTCCGATGAGCGCTGATTATGTCGCTAGTTTTGTAAGCACTCTCTGTATATGTTGCAGGCTGGTTGATCTGTTTTCCCGCTATATGAAGTGGTTCATCAGTGGCGTGTACTTCATCGCAGCGGCTTTCTTCGCCTGGTTTGCGGTCATATGTACTGGGGTGCTGCCGGCGACTTTACGTAATGATTTTCTCTTACTCAGACTACATTTGTAGGCTGTCATCTAACCCTGTGATATCTTACTTTACGCATGTTTCTTAGTTGCCGGACCGCCTCCGTGGTATAGTGGTAGAGCGTCTGCCCAGAGAGCGGAAGGTCCGGGGTTAGATCCCCGACCGCGTCATACCAAAAGACGTTAAAAGATGGTACACTTGTTACCCTGTCTGGCGCTCGGCATTAAGGGGCTAAAACAAGGCCTGGTCGGCTCAGAGTCAGTATACTGTGTCTGAGTATTCATGTTAAATGGCGGCATGGTATCTCAGTTGGCTAGCACTATAAAATCGGCATTAGTTCAGGCTGGGACAAGCAGACACACACACACACACACACACACACACACACACACACACGTCGCTATAATAATAATCTTTGACGTGACGTGGAACCCCATTTCACCTCACCTCACCTCTTTAGTTGCAGACTGAATCCCAGTTTAGCATGGTCCTTAGCATGGTCAGGGCACGTCCATAGGATGTCGAGTCACGTGAACCCTTAGCCAACTTTGACCTCCCAATATACGTGAAGGATCCGTGGGTTCTTGGCCAATCAGATGTCAGCTTTTTAAAACGATCGGCTATATTTCTTTTCCTCATTGAATTTCGATCTTAGCATGAGAAAAACCCCGACAGGGCACAAGTACATCATTGATAGTACATCCTTTGGGGCGTGGAGGCCATGCCGCCAAGTAACACCAGGCTGTATAAAATATAGTAGGGTTGATTGATATGTTCTAAGCCTCAGGAATTGTGTAATAGTAAACTACGTTCATAACGAACACGCTTATAACGAACTGACCGATATAACTAACTTATTTTTTGGTCCCGAACAACTGCTGTATATATGCTGTAAATATGCTTATAAGATGGACTACGTATATAACGAACTAAAATTAGTGATCCCTTTGAGTTCGTTATAACAGTAGTTTACTGTAACAGTGAAATCTTTTGTTATGGACATTACATGATGCACAGAGGTATACCACAAAAACTTGCGTCAGTTAATTCGTGACCAACTCGTGTTATTCCGGGACAAGCCGAATAGCGTTACGGAAAGGGGCGAGTGGTGACGAAAGTCTGTAAATTATGCAGGGGTCTGTAACCTTTGGAAAATGGACAAACTTGAGGAACGTGTTCAAGTAATAGCTTGTCCATTTTCCATCTACAGTAAACTACGTTTATAACGAGCACGCTTATAACGAACTGACGGATATAACGAACTTATTTTTAGTCCCGACCATTTGTTTCATAAATGCTGTTTGTTTGCTTATAACGAACTACGGTTATTACGAACTAAATTTAGCGGTCCCCTCGAGTTCGTTATAACCGTAGTCTACTGTATATATATATATATATATATATATATATATATATATATATATATAAAATAAAATCCACTGTACCATTTCCATAATCACATGAAAACGGGTGGCCCAGTCGTCTAAGGCGCCGCGATTCGCTGTGCAGAGTTGCGTCCCTTGGGAGCGCCAGAAAAAATGATTGTGGGTTCGAATCTCGGTTCGCCCCGATTATGTTTCTAGGTTTGTCAGCACCATACCCGTGCTCGTGGGTTTCACCGAAGTGGTAAACGTCTTAGACCTGTATCACTTCGGGCTTTCCTCCCACATTAAGCTGACACGCCACGATATAACTGGAATACTGTTAAAAGCGGCGTTAAACCCAACTCACTCACTCATTCACTCTGGCCTGTAAAAGGGGCACAACACCGCACAACGAGTTTTTGCGACGGCATGGCCGCCATTGCCTCATGTACTAAAACACGCCGTGGACAAACAAATACCCTGAATACCAACTTTGTAAAAGGGACGTTATACATTTGATCGCTGGACGCTGGGTTAGAACGGACCTTCAATGCAATATGCCTACTGTATTTCTAGCCGTGTTGTACGTGAGCGTGATGACGGGACAGACTGCACTCACAACGGCTATACCAATCGTCTATGAGATGGGCTGCGAACTCACCTACCCTATCGGGGAGGGCACCGCCAATATTGCCATGACGCTAATGAACAACGTGGGAGCTCTGATCTTTTTGCTGGTGCTGATGATCCCAAATATTGGTGAGTAGGTACACCTTGGGCCACATGTTTTACTTCTATCGATATTTGATTAACGCTTTGGTCGTTTGGGCCATTGCACAGTGTGTGAGTGAGTATTGTTTTACGCAGTTTTAGCAATATTCGAGCATTATCACGGCGGGGGACACCAGAAATGGGCTTCACACATTGCACCCATGTCGGGAATCGAACCCGGGTCTCCGGCGTGACGACCGAACGCTTTAACCACTAGGCTACCCGACCGCCCCTTGCACAAACAATGTGTAAGTGGAATATTCTATGATACTTCGTATCTATTGTTTGAATAGCATTTTGAAGCTGAGAAGATTTTTTATATCAACTGTCGTTATTATGTTTTCTTGTTGGAGCGTAGAGTAGATATGAATTAAATTTTGTGTGTTTAGACTCTGGAGCAGTTTAGTACTGACACTTTGGTATCCCACATGTTACTTTGTAGTGTAGGGTTATTATATCTGAGATACATTATTTCCTGTTTCAGGGACAGTGTGGATGAACTGGGCGCTGGTTGGAGCTATTGGACTTTCTATACCAATGGTGTTAATGATCCGTGAAACCCATCCCAGGCTGGATATTGATGAAACAAAAGTCGTCGAGAAAGACTAACACTTAAATGATGATACGATCAAAAGAATGCCTGGATATGCAAGATATTGTGGAAATAGAACCACAACGTGTGTGAATGTGAATGTGAAATCGGCCCCCACTTTCACTCAAGTACAAGAAGAGCGTGAAGTGTGAATAATAATAATACTAACGATATTATTAATAATGAAGTTTTTAACATGTGTCCATTTAAACATTTTCGTCCATGTAACAAATGTTATATTTGAGATAACACTTTCTCAGTAAAGTACAGATTCTAGTACTTATGGGGGTTGAGTCTCACCGGGATTCGAACCCACACTGCCAGAGTGAGGCACCCTAATCGCCAGCACACAAAGTCAGCGTTCTAACCCACTGAGCCACGGATGCTTCCACTAAATGAATGTCCGACAACTGGTAGTCTAGATCACGTACTTTGTGTACCCCTCTGACAGGTGTACATTGACACGGCTCCAATGGCAAGCCAATTTCATCCACGTTAAACATGGCGATGTTACTTTCTGATTCGTTTATATTTGTAAATGAAAACAGCCTACAGTTCAACGGCCGTCAAACGTCACAAGACCATTGGCTATTTGTTGTGCACGTGACATGCTATACGTCATCACTCGGACGTTTATGTATTGTGTAATAGCACGTGGATATGGTGATAGGAGGTGAAATGTATAAATGAACTTTAGCTGGGAAAGTTTTGTGCAATGCCATTTATATCACTTCATATGTTTTAATTTTTATAGCTTAATTTTATTGAGCGTATTGACATATCATCATGTGTATATATTTCATACTATATTTAAATAATGTGTATACGGAATTGTGTAAACAAAATGTAATATTGTTATGATATATGAATAAAATATAAAGAAGATTTTTCTGGTTCTGTTATTATTTTTCAAGGAAAGATGTTGAAGTAACAATTATACCATTGTATTGGTGATGATATGAGGGGTTGGTGAAAATGTGAGTGTATCCGACTCCACCGGTGGCCCCCGTCACAAACACATGCAGTGGCAAGTCACTTACTCACGTGAGAAAGTGCAGACACGATTGTACCTCAAGTGTTGTGAAATGTGGTCACCAAAAGGGTTTTTCATATCCAATACATTTTTGTTGATACATGTATTTAGCAACATTGTAAAGATAAAATACCAAAATCAATAATATCAACACCGCTGAAGGAGTGTTTCTAAGAATTAAAGTCTTTATATATGTTTTTCAATATAAAAAAACAAGGTGTGATTAAGGACATTATTAGTCCATGAAATTGACACAATTCAAAGTTTGACAAGCATAATTTCTTCAATTAATTCGACTCGCCAAAAAAAAGACACAATTATGACGAAACTAAATGAAATAGGTAGATAATAAGTCTTGGAAAAAAACTTACTATTGGCAACCCATGGTGACCTTCTCCTCAAATAGCTGCACTTTCCTAGACTTCACATTGTTAATAAAACTATTTTTATTCAAAAGACCTCTTAAACTGGCCCCTTTCACACATGTTAATCATGCTACAAAATTTGATATTGTTTACAGCTGAAAACGTGAATACATGAAAAATAAAAATGCCATATTAAATTGTCTCCAAATTCTGAAGTTGTGCAGTGTTAGTAAGCCACAAAGGGAACGTGAAAAAACACAAAGCTAAAAAAAAACAAGAACACATACACGCTAACATCCCAACTTGAGATCGCAGTTAACAGTTCATCAATTTATCAATTCCTGTTTTGGTTTCAAATTAGAACTGTTCACTCATACACATGTTACAGATAAAATGGTTGGTCTAGATCTGTTTTCTATCCCCAGCTGCGATCTACACCACCGTCATAGCAGGAAGAATGTCGATGAGTTCGTCTTTACCCGTCATCTTCGAGTTTGGGTGCGAACTCACCTACCCCATCGGTGAGGGTACAACGAACGGCACCATGACGTTGATGAACAATATTGGGGCTTTCATATACCTTCTGATCCTCATGATTCCGGGCATAGGTAAGTAGCTTGTTTCTGTGAGGAGCTCACATACCATTGTCACCCTTACATCATTCCTACTGAGGGGCGGTTGGGTAGCCCAGTGGTTAAAGCGTTCGCTCGTCACGCCGAAAACCCTGGTTCGATTCCAGACACGTACAATGTGTTAAGCCCATTTCTGGTGTCCCCCGCCGTGATATTGCTGGAATATTGCTAAAAGCGGTGTAAAATCAAACTCACTCACTCACTCATTCGACCGCGGAGGTGAGTAGCCCAGTGGTTAAAGCGTTCGCTCGTCATGCCGAAGACCTGGGTTCGATTTCCCAGATGGGTACAATGTCTGAAACCCATTTCTGGTGTCCCCCGCCGTTATATTGCTGGAATATTGCTAAAAGCGGCGTAAAATCAAACTCACTCACTCACTCACTCATTCTACCGCGGAGGTGAGTAGCCTAGTGGTTAAAGCGTTCGCTCGTCATGACGAAGACCTGGGTTCGATTTCCCAGATGGGTACAATGTGTGAAACCCATTTCTGGTGTCCCCCGCCGTTATATTGCTGGGATATTGCTAAAAACGGCGTAAAACCATACTCATTCGACCGCCTCCGTCGTCTAATGGAAAGAGCGTCGTCCCGGAGACGTATACACGGAGCTACGTTCTGTAGATATCACAGTCACAATGTCATTTTCTCTTACGTCAAATGATTGTTTTATGCGAGGTATGGTTTGCAGGTACAGTATGGATGAACTGGTCTCTTGTCGGTGCCCTAGTCCTCTCCATACCGTTGTTGTTGACGATACAAGAGACGCATTACAGACTGGATGTGGACGAAACCAAACCAGAGCTCACGGACTGATCTGTACCAGTAGACTGCCTGGACGTATGGAAGAGTTGTTGATATGTGGAACACATGCTTGCCTCCTCTAGTTACTCATGCATTTGTCATACAGCGGGGAAAGGATAACGAGAGATAAGCTGATACAGCGTCTGTTGGCTTAATGCACGGTCGGGTAGCCTAGTGGTTAAAGCGTTCGCTCGTCACGCCGAAGACCCGGGTTCGATTCCCGACATGGGTACAATGTGTGAAGCCCTTTTCTGGTGTCCCCCGCCGTGATATTGCTGTAATATTGCTAAAAGCGGCGTAAAACCATACTCACTCACTCACTAATGCACTAAACTCTGGGATTATCCACAAATTCAGTGAAATGCAACTAGGTATGCAACAAATGTGTATCAGCAAAATATTTCTTTCTAACGCCATGACTATATCACGTGAACGTCATTGCACGAACACCTTGTATCATCACTCTCTGACAGTGATTCCAAAACACGTGCTTATGATATAGTCGGAATCGTACAACGGCGTTTTGTTGAGATTTCTTATGATTATGGAAATGTCAGTTCTTATTTTTTTGAAGGTTATTTTACACAACTTCTTGCACTAGTCTCCGAAGCAGACATGCCACCACTGGAGGTTAATCACCAGGACACGAAAGACCAATGTACCAGTGCCAATGTCTAATTCAATGACGGAAAACTGCACTTATTTCATAGATTTACAAATGCTGCGTGTGAATTTAATCTGTTTTGTGTTGTTAACGATGTATTTTACATGTGTTACTGTATTTACCATACATTTTTGTGAATTGAAACAAATAAAGAGAAGTTAATCCACGTTTTAATGTGTTTTAATTACTAGTAGAATTAAGCAATTTGTCAAATAAATTTATGTCACTTTCAGACAATATGTATTGTGTTTGATCTTGGTAGGTAGGTGCGAACCCTGCACAACTCACGTGTTACAGTTTATCCCTTTCTAGCTGCTGGGTAAACGGGAATGGGTACAATGCCATACTGTGTTATGGCGTGCAACAGATGAGGCGTTTAAATATTGAGAATATAAAACACCCATCACGATTTACTGTACATATATTTGACTTGGCTACGCGTTCATCTAATCAGTACTGTACATCTACACTTTTTATGTATTTAATTTTTATGTATAGTTTTAATATGTTGCTCTTGTACCACCGTTCGTGGTGTTGAGAAAAAAATGTTTCGGAATCGGAACAATGTGCCAAACAGAACGGTGTTGGCAACAACACATGTACCACATGGCTATTGGGTGTTCTTCATGGCAAGGGTTGCATGAACATGCTTAGCTTAGGTTCTCCTAACCCCTGTCAGTGTTCTTACAAAATAAGGTACGAGGATGTACCCCAAACAGCTTGAAACAATAATATATATAAATATAAAAATTAAAAATGTTTGATTTAAAAAAATCATCACGGCTTAACGGCTTATTAAAATAAATGCGGAAAAACCGTTTCAATATTCATATCTATGACAAGAGTTAATTGTACAATTCCGGCTATATCATGAGCATGTATTATGAACCACTATCAAATGGTGATGATACCCGGGTTTCGCGAAAAGGTGAGCGTGTCCTGCCTCTACGCTGGCACACGTCATAAACTCATGCAAAGGCGATTCAATTATTCACCTAAAAAAACACGAGGACTCACGGCACATGACATGAGTTATCTGAGGGTTTCCAACGGGTATGACACTGGCCATTGAATATATTTTTTATAGAAAATTTACTTTAAAAAAATGATGATAGAAGTATCGCCGCCTGCTCATCGCGTCACCAGAATAGATTCCCCAGTCTTAGGTCATCACAATAGTTGCGTTAAAATAATTAGGTCAACACGAATAGATTATTTCTTCTTCAGAGAGAGGATACTTATGATTAAACAACTAATATTGATATTTTTAACAATATCTTTACAAGTTAGGTAGATACGTGTTCATGATCAGAAAATGTCGAAAACAAATCTCGATTAAATTTCGAACAAGAAGGGATCAGTAGCGGTCTAAATTCTGACAGCCTACGAAACTAGTGCTCTGGAATGTCGATGGCTGATTCTATAAATAGTCCTGATAACGTTATCGTAACGGGACTAGATCAAGGTTGAACTGGAAAATCATGTCGGTGGCTATACATATACCCTGCATTTATTGACCTCATAAATAGTCATGATGTAAAAGCTGTGCAAAAAACAACAGCAACAACAACAAAACGAAAACTGTCAGTGAAAGATAACAATGTAAAAGCGTCTCACTTGTCAATGGTAATGATAATATATTTGGTTGTGGGGGAGGATATTTTCCTTGGTCTACGTACCCCCAGAAGGTTAAAAATAAACCTAAAAGGAAATGTATATTTAATTAGAAGGGTCACTGAACGACATTTTATCACTCACCTTTGTTACTTTAGCTGGTTACACGTAACCTGTCGGGTTGTTGTATACCCGATATCTGATGAAACTGACTTACATGTTGATGATTTTAAAAATTAATTAACCCAGATAGTTTACTAAATTTACTTAATTTACCATTACTCCGTGCCAATCAGGATAACAACCGTGTCAAAAATTACATAAATAATCTGATATAATATCAATAGGCAAAATAATAATTATGTATTCATATATAATGGCCGAAAGGACTTTTTAAGAAACTATGTGAAACTTGTTATTTCCCTCTTGTTTAAGTTATTTTTGTTGCAGACTTGTCATGTTTGGATGCTCATTGCCCTTGTAAAAGACCCCCAGTTAGTGTGGAATCACCCAAGGAAGATAACATACATTTATACATCACAGCCTTTACCTTGTTAGCTAAAGAGTACGTCTTATACAGGAAACATTTAAATGTATGTATCAGCTACAGCTAATAAGCAACATAATAAACAACAAAAAACGATTAACAAAACAAATATATATCAAAACATAAAATAAAAATGCGCAAATCATTAAGAACTGGCCACATATGTTCTATGTATTAATCTGGAAATATTGTACTAAACGGGTGGTTAACAGAAAGTCTAACTTAAAGATTGGATTTCGCCCCCAAATACAAATGTTATAAAACTTTAGTTGGATGAAAGAGTCACCGAAACACTGCAAACGTAAGATCCAAAACACAACTATGATACCCGCATCAAATACATCACCATCGAATAACAATGTCTCGTTTGATTCATTTTTAACCACCATCAAACATGGGTGTATACTTTCTATTGCCCGACAGTATAAACAAGAGTAGTCGTTCTTTAACTATCATTACATTAACTTAGGGAAAAACTGTTCTTTATTACTCTACACAGGGGGTGGTGCAAACCTAATTTCTAAACTATTGTTTATGTATATTTATCCAATGTAATTTTATATTTTGTTCTCTGAGCAAATACATGATGGCGTATGAGGGCTTTGAAGATGAAATACCGATTTTCACAGAAACAATGCTTTGTATTAATACAAAAAAAGTCTCTGATACATTCCTTGTTTTGACTTGTTCCATATATTCATTGTTTTTTTCCCCCAGATGAACAATTGACTTGCCGTTGCATGTGTTTGTGACGGGTGTCAGCGTTGGGGCAGGATATGCCGACCTTTTCGCGAACACCTGGTATCATCACTATTTGATAGTGTTTCATAAACACATGCTCGTGGAATAGTCGGAATCGTACAATGGACTTTCAAGAGATTTCTATTGAATAGAGAAAGGACTTTGCCGCTTATATTTTTCTACAAAAGGGCCTGTGTGTCTCATGCCTGTCTTGGGAGTCGACTAAAAATCGCGTGGCCATGCGCTTCGACCACTATACCGATGGCGTGGATCGTTGTTCAAACTTTGCTCGATTCTCTGTCCCAGGTGCGATTGCGGACATGCCGCCGCGATACAGCTGGAATATTGCCGATGTAGAATTCATTAGCTCAACCACCCATACAGCAAGGGCGAGAAGTCAGTGCAAAGAGGCGACAGCTGTACATAATGGTATAGTGATACTAACATGACTTGGCATATATACTATGAAGAACCCTACACAGAAACGTTGACCATTGTATTGTTTTTTTAACAATACGTTTCCTCAGAGATATTGCGAACCGACAAATATATTATTTGAAGTACTGTAAGCCTTTATTTGAGAAAGCAAACAAACAGATGTAATGCATGATCAGAAATATACGACGACTTAAGACGTACTTAATCTCTGTAGTTCAATACAGTGTTAGGGGTCCATACCTCGCCATCTAATGTTTATCTTGTAGCTGTGCGATAACCGGAATCCTACCTCTGGAGGCTCGTGTAATCTGTGTACCTACAAACCTGGATGTGTGCACGCACTTGTAACATGTCAGTGATAACACGCTTAACTTAACTACTGCCATGTAGTGGCTATAATAAACACAATAGATACAGGCTACTCTAAAGGTGGGTGTCCTTAGGCGCTTTTTTCTCTTTGAGTGATTTGAGCCTAGTCTGACATCACTCTGGGGTGATTTGAGCCTCGTCTGACATCACTCTGGGGTGATTTGAGCCTAGTCTGAGATCACTCTGGGGGTGATCTGAACCTAGTCTGACATCACTCATGGGTGATTTGAGCCTCGTCTGACATCACTTTGGGTTGATTTGAGCCTAGTCTGAGATCACTCTGGGGGTGATCTGAACCTAGTCTGACATCACTCTGGGGTGATTTGAGCCGTCTGACATCACTCTGGGGTGATTTGACCCTAGTCTGACATCACTCTGGGGTGATCTGAGCCTAGTCTGAGATCCCTCTGGGGGTGATTTGAGCCAAGACTGAGATCACTCTGGGGTGATTTGAGCCTTGTCTGACATCACTCTGGGGTGATTTGAGCCTAGTCAGAGATCACTCTGGGGTGATTATAGCCTTGTCTGAGATCACTCTGGGGTGATTATAGCCTTGTCTGAGATCACTCTGGGGTGATTATAGCCTTGTCTGAGATCACTCACGGGTGATTATAGCCTTGTCTGAGATCACTCTGGGGTGATTATAGCCTTGTCTGAGATCACTCTGGGGTGATTTGAGCCTAGTCTGAGATCACGCTGTGGTGTTTTGAGCCTAGTCTGAGATCACTCTGGGGTGATTTGAGCCTAGTCTGAGATCACTCTGGGGTGTTTTGAGCCTAGTCTGAGATCACGCTGTGGTGTTTTGAGCCTAGTCTGAGATCACTCTGGGGTGATTTGAGCCTAGTCTGAGATCACTCTGGGGTGATTTGAGCCTAGTCTGAGATCACTCTGGGGTGATTTGAGCCTAGTCTGAGATCACTCTGGGGTGATTTGAGCCTAGTCTGAAATCACTCTGGGGTGATTTGAGCCTAGTCTGAGATCACTCTGGGGTGATTTGAGCCTAGTCTGAGATCACTCTGGGGTGATTTGAGCCTAGTCTGAGATCACTCTGGGGCGATTTGAGCCTAGTCTGAGATCACTCTGGGGTGATTTGAGCCTAGTCTGAGATCACTCTGGGGTGATTTGAGCCTAGTCTGAGATCCCTCCCCTCTAGTAGGTCCAACACACTAACTCCAGGCTCATATCACTCTCCGTTGGCCCCAAATCAATCCCTTACTTTCTACAGTATCACACGTCTACTGTTCTGGCATACAGTTCTGGTCCTTTCAGATCTTCACGTAACCTTCGTCACGTGACAGGACCCTGCGATACCACACATTAACCTACATGCATAGTCACATAACACAGCATATGAATGCACCTAATTACAACACTTCTCCCTTGGCAGGTTTAAGCATTATTTCTGCATTTAGACAACGAATATTCTCTTTTCAACGTACAGCATTTTGGCACCGTGTTGATTGCCTCGCTGATTTCAACTACAGTAAACTACGGTTATAACGAACTCCAAGGGACCACTAATTTTAGTTCGTAATAACCGTAGTTCGTTATAAGCATATATACATAATTTATACAACAAATGGTCGGGACTAAAAATAAGTTCGTTATATCGGTCAGTCCGTTATAAGCGTGTTCGTTATAAACGTACTTTACTGTACATTTCCGTTGTTCGGGTAAAATCAATGCCCGGGAGACATTACATACCGGATGTAAAACATTTGGTTCAGGAATTAGCAATGTAGGTGATACACTTTGGCCATTGACACACAATTCTGTACACTGTCTTGAATGGAATATTTTAAACTTCAGCATAGATTGATTCATACATTCTTGATTCAATCTTGAAACATTGTGTCCGATATTTCGTGTTATGTCTTTCCTTCAAATTCTTTTACTGGCCCTTTAATTGTAAGGCCTATTGTTGACAGGTACAAGAAATTTTATGGACCTTTACACCCAACACAAGTTCATTTCATATTCTGTTTACATCCACGTGTTTGTCCATGCACTGACTAAAACCCGGATGATTAACCAGGACAAACCAAAGAAAGTAGAGAAATTAAATGAAGCACTCGTAAAAGAACTAAAGTGCCATCCTCACAAGCGGTAGCCTACAAGCAATAACCATCATTACAAGATACCAATTATGTTTCTGGGTATTCACGAACAGACATTATGTATCCTTTGTTAACCAAGCCTCCTTTATGTTGTCATTCTCAGGTTAACCATGGGAGATAGTGACACAGCACCACTACTTTATGAACAACATAAGCAACAAACCTTTTCCTCTTCTACAAACACACCGGAAGGTGACACCTCAATACAGTACGGCTCGTTATCTGACACACAAGGAATATCTTCTGACGGAACAACAGACATCACTGTGCCAAATGAACAGGGTATTTCAAATGAAAAGGAAAGACTCTACAAGAGCAGATGGTACATTGTCGTGTTGTTTGCACTGCTTGCTGCTGTTCAGATGTCAGTCTGGAACACTTGGGGCCCTATCTCCCACACTGCTGAAGCAGTGTTTGGTTGGAATGATGCCGACATATCATTACTTGCAAACTGGGGCCCCATCACTTTCATGCTCGGGATGCCTGTTTTCGCCTGGATGATGGACGCAAAAGGTGAGAATACACGTCCACTTGGAATGATGTAGCAATCTGGCACCCTATTACATTTTGCTTGGTATGTATATAAACGACCAGGCAAAAGAAAGTTTACACAGTGGATTTGACCAAAACATTACAAACGTTATTCAAACGTTAATAGGTTGGATGAAAACGTGAGGACCAAACACTATTGTTTCGTTTTAGCCACTATCAAACATACATGCATATGTGGACTGTGTTTTGCCAGGCAGTTTAGTTATCTAGATGATAAAAACATATTCTTACGTCGTTAATAACATGCTGTAGGGGTTCGAATCCCGGTTCGCCCCAGTTATGTTTCTAGGTTTGTCAGCACCATACCCGTACTTGTGGGTTTCACCGAAGTGGTAAACGTCTGAGACCTGCATCACTTCGGGCTTTCCTCCAACATTAAGCTGACACGCCGTGATATAACTGAAATACTGTTAAAAGCGGCGTTAAAAACAACTCAGTCACTCACTCACTACATGCTGTAGGCATAATTATTCATCGTCGTCTCCCTCCCTTCATCATGCCCACAATGCCTTTGCTCGATGGTGTATTAGCCGACGCATCATGATACAACTGCAATGTCATCAGAGCAGCGTTAAGCTTGTTTGTTTGTTTGTTGTTTAACGCCGCACTCAGCAATATTCCAGCTATATGACGGCGGTCTGTGAAATAATCGAGTCTGGACCAGACAATCCAGTGATTGACATCATGAGCATCGATCCACGCAATTTGGATCGATGACATGTATCAACCAAGTCAGCGAGCCTGACCACCGATCCCGTTAGTCGCCTTTTACGACAAGCATAGTCGCCTTTTACAGCAAGTATGGGTTGCTGAAGACCTATTCTACCCCGGAATCTTCACGGGTCCAACCCAGCTAAGCAACTCTCTATGTGAGGAGATGCTTTACATGTTGAAGTTGTATACAGGGTACGACATATATTAACTTAAACTGAATACTCAGGTCTCCTCCTCCTCCTCCTCCTCCTCCTCGTCCTCGTCCTCGTCCTCGTCCTCCTCCTCGTCCTCGGTCCTCTGCATTGGCGTATCAGGACTAAAGCGTGATTTTGTTCAGATTACATAGGTTTCATTACGAAATGCCACTCGGTTTAACTCAATTCAATAAAACCCTGATCTATTTAGTCGAAACAAGTGGAAGCTAATGAATTGTATTTTCAGCTGAATAATGCATTACTATCGAAATATGATAACATCAACACGTCTTAGCAACTGTCACAAGGAATATCTCTCTCTTCTGTGTAGGTCTGCGAGTGTGTATGGTCATCACTGTGCTGTGTTTGGGATTAGGTTGTGGGATCAGATTAATCCCTACTCAACAGCCGTCCATGCTGCATCGATGGTGAGTTTTTTTTATAAGTAACTTCTTGCCAAATGTTGTTGCATATGGTGAGTGTGGCAGCTATCCACTCTACACTAAATATTGTGTCATATTTATTAAATATTGATTAGGCGTTATAGTTATGTCCACACATAGACATCCGCTTCAATGTTATCGAAGGCTATGAGATCATTGTAATAGAAAATACTTAATTGGACATCTTGTATTAGACATTTGCAGTTTAGTTACGGCTTCCGGCATGTTTGGTTATCCCAGGGAGTTGAGGAAGCATTAATCCTGAAACAACGTATTTTTGATTGTGCATTCACTTTTCATAGATAAACGATAATCTTTTATTCAACCATGAAATCAGAACTTAAATTTGAATCGTATGTCCAAAATATTAATGTAATTTGGTCTTTCCGTATATTCTGACAATTTCAACGATTATCTGCACCTTTTCCCCCAAAACCGATTGTTATATCTATCCTACTTTTGGATGCGATCGTTCGGCCATTGCGTTTATCTACGTTGCTTAGCCACATCTTTGGGGACCAACTCACTTGATATAATCCTCTCACAAATATAATCGTCCAGTTTTTACGTCACCAAGTTGTGAGAGTATGTTCGAATCTTCAGACATGACGCCATGATAGAAAAATGTTTCATCTTGAAAAATATACAACTTTTCGCTTCTGATTGTTCTTTGCGATTAATCGCATAGCTGTCTTTATTTTAAATTATGACCTATATTTGACAATTGCTCTTTGGACCATGGTCTTAAATTCTTTTTTAAACATTAATTTTCTGACACTTTGTAAACATCATCGCAAAAAATGACGCTGAAATTTCGCATATCTGTTCCCACTGAAAATCTATATCATTGCTTTTACTTGGCCATTTTTGTAGAAAATGTAACGAACGTTGATATTTGTTTAATGTGTGCACGTGTTACGTTTTTCAGTTCAATATATTATGAATAACATTTTTACCTTGTTTTGACCATGCTCTTTAATTCTCTGAAAATGAATATTTAGCTCTATCAAATCAATCTCCTTTGAAATGAGGGACTGAACTTTGGCATGTGGGTTCTGCTTATGATGACATAACGTTTTGTTTAAATTATTCAGTTAAACAGTTTAGTATTTCTGCAGAAACTATCTGAATACCAGTGATGACAGCTACTTTGTACAGTAACTCTTCTTCACATTATTATTGTTAACTGTATATCCAGGTGATTTACACTGTTAATTTGTTTCAGGTTGATCAACTTTGGGCAGATTCTTAACGGTATCGGGGGGCCTGTCTGTACGAGTGCAATGGCCCCGCTATCTTCACAGTGGTTCCCTCCAAACGAAAGGACAACAGCGACAGCCATTCCGTTGATAATCAAATTCCTGGCTCTTGCTGGATCTTATATCATTGGTAGATCTATATTTGGGTTATAGACATATTTATGTTTAGTAGTTCTATTACCCAGTTGGGTAGCCCCGTGGTTAACGTGTTCGACTGTCACATTCAAAACCCTGTTTCGATCCAAATGAGGCCGAATATTGAGCTTTAATGAGTGTTTTGTTGGATAAACATGAAATGTTCACATTGTTTTTTCATTGATTTAGTTCAATTTTCAACAACAAAAGTCATACCTGGATATGAGTAGACAGAAAACATTTTGTAAATATTTTTAGTACCAGGTTAGGTATGATATAGTTGCGAATTTCCCCTATTTTTCGCTGATATGTAGATCTAGTCAAGTGTAATGTTTTGATGGTTGTATGGTCCAGATTATTTACAAACCTCCATCATGTAGCTATTGCTGAGTGCGGCGTTCAAAAACAACAAACAGTATTGTGAATATTCAAAATGAACATATTTCTTCATTTTCAGGTCCAATTTTGGTACCAGATGTATCTAATCTGAATCAAAATCATTCAGACATCAATAGCACCATGTTTAGGTATATATCTTTTCACTATTGTTTAGAAATAAATCACCGAATTTTCACCAAAGGGTGTTCTATTTCATCAAGCATGACACAGATACTGGGAATACATAATACATACGACAAATGCACACCATAATATATGATATTTACCTAAGCCCAATGATGCTTGAATATGGAAAAGAAAGATATTTCTCCAGTGGTATGATGCATAGCCAATATTTCATCATTTCATCTTAAAGTCACTTAAAGAAAAACTTTGTTTATAATCGTTGCAATGTGAATGTGTCGCATTTTATTTATTTTGCCTTGTTTTTTGAACAGCTTTGAAGATTATGCTTTCATTGGTGAAAGTGCAAATCACAGCAATATTTCAGGTTGGCAGACCATTCTTCTTTTTATTATTATATTGTAACATTTAAAATTTGTTACATTTATCAATTTTGAATGTTCAACCAATTCTAAACCTTGACTGATTTTGATCTGATGTTCCTAATTGTTAAGGAACGCACTTACCACTTATGTGGTACATAAGAACATCATTAGAAATTGAGCGAGAGATTCAGAAAATGACTGGTAAAGTTTATGCTGTACAATGTCAATGAACTTTAATGTGTTTTCAGATTTGCAGGCTTTACTGAGTATGTGCTGCCCGGCGTCAGCCAAATGTTTCAAACGTCACAATTTCCTGGAATCTGAGAACACATACTATTAATCTCCAAATATCAGGTTTATCCCTGTCTTAAGTTAATTTCTACATATAAATTATGCATTTATGTTGCATTTGTACACTGACTGCTTACAGGGAATACCGCGGAGGAGCTGAAAAAAGATATTTACTTCTACCTCGAACTTCGTAAGTATACATTAGAATGGAAGTACCGTATGGTTAGCAAAAGTTATGTTTAAGCCATGCCCAGAAAATCCCGCCTTGATTTAGACTGCACACGGTGTACCTATGTCGCGATGATTTTGCCAGAGACGTTGTAAAGCATCACTTTTATGGTTCATATGTAAGAAAACATTATATAAATTCCCCCGGAAACATGTAGAGCTGATTGATTCACTAACTCCCAACCTCGATTATCCAGTGTATCAATCCTTCTATTTGTAAATTACGCGATATTCATTTGCTAACATCTTCGTTTCGAGCCCGAACTGAATGCACGACTTTAAAAACAACCCCTGGTCAAATTACTTTTATGAGCGATGGAGGCTGTGACTTCCGACATGTTGGCGAATGTGTCGAAGATATTTATCAAAATACAATGACGATATTATATACTGATTAGTAGAGGGTGGCTTAAAATGTGACAAGCAATACGTGGTATATTTTACTAAAACCATGGTCATCCACTGTGGGTGTATTTTTATTGTCCTTAATACCTTATCTAGCCCCCTCCCGAGGCTATGTTTTAAAAGGTCCAACCTTTGAGCAGTGAGTGTTGTGTTGTGGCAGAGGCTGGAGCGGCAGGTGTACTCCTGGTCCTCATACTGCTGTACTTCCCCAGCAAGCCCCCGACGCCGCCATGTCGCTCAGCTGCCCTGAAGAGGGAGGACTTCTTACCTGGACTGAAGCTACTCGCTGTGTGAGTGACGGCAACTTTACCTGTCTGTCCTAGATTATAGTAAATGACGGCAACCCTTACCTCTCTGTCCTAGATTATAGTGAATGACGGCAACTTAACCTCTCTGTCCTAGATTATAGTGAGTGACGCAACCCTTACCTCTATATCCTAGATTATAGTGAATGACGGCAACTTAACCTCTCTGTCCTAGATTATAGTGGGTGACGGAACCCTTACCTCTACATCTTAGATTATAGTGAATGACGGCAACTTAACCTCTCTGTCCTAAATTATAGTGGGTGACGGAACCCTTACCTCTATATCTTAGATTATAGCGAATGACGGCAACTTAACCTCTCTGTCCTAGATTATAGTGGGTGACGGAACCCTTACCTCTATATCTTAGATTATAGTGAATGACGGCAACTTAACCTCTCTGTCCTAGATTATAGTGGGTGACGGAACCCTTACCTCTATATCTTAGATTATAGTGAATGACGGCAACTTAACCTCTCTGTCCTAGATTATAGTGAATGACGGCAACTTAACCTCTCTGTCCTAGATTATAGTGGGTGACGGCAACCCTTACCTCACTGTCCTAAATTATAGTGGGTGACGGAACCCTTACCTCTATATCCTAGATTATAGTGAATGACGGCAACTTAACCTCTCTGTCCTAAATTATAGTGGGTGACGGAACCCTTCCCTCTGTATCTTAGATTATAGTGGGTGACGGAACCCTTCCCTCTATATCTTAGATTATAGTGGGTGACGGCAACCCTTACCTCACTGTCCTAGATTATAGTGGGTGAAGGCAACCCTTACCTCCATGGTTTTCATTATGATGAAATAAGGAGCGGGGAGGGAGGGAGTAGAGGGATCCGACACCACTGAGCCACCAGTAACGAGGTATATAAACGTGCATAATAAAAACTTTCTTGAAGTTTCAAAGGAATTGTTTTGTGATGTATTGAGATTTAAGATATGTGTTCTAGTTATCCTGATACATATAAACTCATTCGACTGTACCTTTATACTTTTGTCTGATTGTCTGAATCCCAAAATCTGATTATTTGAAGTTGTCTATAAATGTTTGTCCATTTCAATTTAAAATAATTTTGGATAAATGTGAAGAAAATATGACTTTGTATGTGACTACGTATCAACGTTTAGTGATCTATATTCCTAGAAATGGCAACTTCTGGATCTTGGCCCTGGTATCCTTTCTAGTTGGCGGGTTTAGCAGCGCGTGGATGTCAGTGCTCAGCCTCAATCTGAAAACAGTGGATGTGAGTCAGAAGGAGGCTGGCTGGATCGGCTTCTACAGCTTCCTGCTCGTGGGTACGGGGATGCTGATCCTAGCAAGGTAGAAACTTTTCCACAGTTCAGTCATGGTAGCAAACATATTACCTTGTCGGTTAGTTAACTTCGAATACCTTTGACATAGTTAATGTGACTGGTTTGATATGTGATGAACAACAGATCGCTAGGCTAGCTGAGTCATAAAATGGCATCAAATGTTAAATAACACATTTATACCTTTTGTTTTGTCTGTAAACGTGAATACGTTTCAAAAATCATTAAAACACTATTTTGATGTCAAACTTAAGTTTGTTTCATAAAAAATAACATAGGAAGCCTAGAAATATTCTTCAAGGTGAAGGCAGTTCAGACATGGTAGTAAAAAACATGTTACCGTTTGCACCATAGAACAACAATATATCATGTTTGAAACATTATGTTCTATTGATAAAAATGATACATCATTTGTTTGTTTCATATAATATAATAAAGAGTTTCATATAATGTTGAAACACCAAACACGCAAATGCATTAATTCTACACGAGACTAGTACTGTATTATGATGTCTATTGATTTCTTCAGATTGTCCGACTACTTTGCGCGTGGTATGAAGTGGTACATCTCTGGTTTGTACTTGATCTCATCCTCGATGTATTTATGGTTCGCCCTCATGTGCATCAAGGTGGCGCCGTTTTCTATGGGTATGTTGTCAACCCTATTCTCAGGGAAGCATACAACTTTCACGAAGTGCATCATGCGCATCTTTGCACTGTCGTACCCCAATACAAACGTTCTCATATAACTTAATTCTATCAAATACAATTTAGGATTTACACTTCATGAAAGTAATGACAATTTATTCTTAAGGAGGTTGCAACTAAAATTCATTTCAGGCGTCATTTAAAAAAAATATATGTTATATAGCAGAAAATCATTACTTTAGATGGTTTTGTGTTACGATGTGGAGATATTGGCCTCGGTTATTCTATAAGCTACTCTCCCTGGTGATAGGGTGAAAAGTGTTAATATCAGAATTAAAAAAAGGGCACACGCAAAAAGCAGTATTTGTTTTGTCTATTAAGTGAAGGCATGCCAATAAAGGTACATTAATATTTTACATATTGCATCCTATTCAGAAAAATCATGTTGTCATCTATTCGTGACAACCACATCTACAAAAGCCGACAAAATGCATCGAAACAGTTTTAAGTCTTTTGTTACAAATAACATGAACATAAATCTTAATGAAACAACCTTTCACACGGTCACACCCAACAGGACAGTTAAAAAGTTGACACAAGGGAGATAACTCTTCACGGTCTCTCATTGAGAGCATCTTACGTATTGCTGCTTATCATTCACTTTAGGGGAGACCTTAGGGGAAACAAACATCTGCCCAAACAACTCAACACGCATACTCAAAACATCTTTGTTATCCTCTTGAAAAACATGCATTTAAACATAGCGATTGGTTATAGAACACAAAGAAAGATAAGAAATGTCAATCAATTGGAATCACTTGGAGATAAGGAAAATAACTGTTTACCGGATGCCCTCAAATATATGAAAAGGGAAGTTTACCAAACAATGTAGAGGAATCTCTTAAGCGCTAAGTAATATCCACAATAATGTTAACATCACAAAAATACACTGAAACCTTGTCCGATAGACCATCTAACATGTGGCAAGATAGTTCGGGATAAACGAAGTTCGAGACAGAGTACCGATGTGAGACCACAGAGCCGAACGTAATAGCGACATAATGAAGTTCAAGTTAACTGTGCTTCATTGTAACGGAGTAGTTCTTCAAAGACTATAGATTTAAGGACAAAGTGCAATTCGAAAAACGGCCCAGTCTGCAGTTGCATATGTTTCCATTTCTCCTATGTCCAGTCAGCCTGTACCTGTCCCTCCTGATCGCCCAGACGCCGCCCACAGCCTGTGCCCCCCTGTTCTATGAGCTGGCGTGTGAGGTGGCGTACCCCGTGGGGGAGGGGACGGCAAGCATCGTACTGACATTCACAACCCAGTTGGCTACCATTGTGTTCCTCTTCATCATGATGATTCCCAATGTTGGTAAGTGTGATATGTCCGATGTATTGCTGTTTATAGTGTTTGTTGGTTTGTTGTTTAACGCCGCACTCAGCAATATTACAGCTGTATGACGGCGGTCTGGAAATAATTGAGACTGGACCACACAATCCAGTGATTGACATCATGAGCCTCGATCCACGAATTTGGGATACGATGACATGCATCAACCGAATTAGCCAGCCTGACCACCGATCCTGTTAGTCGCCTCTTACGACAAGCATGGGTTGTTGAAGACCAATGCTATTCCTAATTATAATGACCAGTGGTCATACACGGGGCGAACAAAAAAACAAGCACATCCTGTCACAGCTATGGGACGCAACTCTGCATAGCAAATTGTGATGCCTTGGACCTTTTTATAATAATCCGACAGAGTAAAATTTGAATTTCACATAGCCATTGTTGGTTTGCTCTTTTAGGCTGGGCACCACGATGTGCTATGCTTTTCTATACTATGAGCTTTCAATGAAGTTTTACACCTTCACACTTACGGTAATGGACGTCGCCGTAAGGCTTGGTGACTTGGTTGACAGCATGGCATCGTACGCCGCCTGCACATAATATTAATCACTTAATTGTCTGGTCCAGACTCGATTGATATGATCGCAAGAGTATCGCTGAGCGTTATTTTATTTACGTGTTACTTAATGTAAATTGTTTCAGTGCTGGTGCTATCGGTAGAGCAGGACATGCTTACCCTTTTGGTGAACACCTGGTGTCATCCATTCACACAATTTTCATCATTATTTTGCCTTTTAAGCACCCTGGCAGATAACCGATATATAACCGTATACCTGATTATTATCTAACCTTGACGTTGAGAAACAAACAAACAAACAAACAAACAAACAAACAATATAGTGGTTCCTGGAAACAAACTACTTGAATGTCTTGAGTGATCAAGAACGTTTCTCTTTCAGGTTCAATGTGGCTCAATTGGGCGCTGCTAGGAGCGGTGGCATCAGGTACAGTGTTAATACTGCTACTTAGAGAGCGACATCAACGACTGGATATTGATGTAGAACAAAGCCTTTCCAATAAAAAGGAACACTGACGAACTTCATCGTTCTGTTCTTGAAGATTGACCAATGGCGCGTCAAACGTTGTCAGACATTGTCATTTTATTAATACCATACGTAGCTTGAATAAATAATAGTATACACAAATAGAACAAACAAGAAATGTTTTTTCGATGGTGATGTATTTGATACGGGTATTACAGTTATGTTTTTTTACCTTAAGTCAGGTTGTTAACGTGTCGATAAAGTTTGTAAGGTGTTGGTCAAATCAAATTTTCAAGTGACTTTCTTTTTGCCCAGCAGTTTATTTTCCCGTGGTTAATTGATTACTAATACTTGTCTTGATAATAAACATAATGATACAGTAAGGCAGACATTACTATTCAGAAGAAACATTTTCACTATGTCTGACACAAACATCATGGCTGTAGAAATACAATGTAAAACTGCAGTGTGTGTGTCGTGGACATGCGGACATGCGGACATGCGGACATGAGTTCTATTTCAAGCCATTGAACATATTTGTACTCTTTGAAATATTGCGTTTTACTTCGTAATATTCCTTTACGTATTCAAACATCTCTTAAAATCACCCTTTGTGATCCTCTGAAGTGACACCCTATTATTCCGGACGGTACTGTTCATATGAATATCGTCCGGTTTAACGAATGTCCGGATTAACAAATCATTGGTAGATAGTAATGTTCTTTTAATTATGTGAACATTCCCAAACGTTATTATTCGGAAGAAAGGGTTCCGGTTTAACCGAGTCCGGTTTGCAAGGTTTCACTGTAAACAGCACGATAATGTTGCCACGGAAAAAAGCCAGCTTTTCAGCCGTCTTTTTCGCCACATTAGACGTCAATTGGACATACTGAAAAAAACTGTAATGCTAACTGATTTAGTATTCTACTTTATACTGAAATTTTACCATCTGATCTACGGATTGTTGACTACATCAGTGCAAAATAAATATTTTATTTGTTGAATACCAGTAATGAAATAACACCTATATAAATTTTTCAATTTTCTGAACTCAGTTTCACAGAAATATAAACCCACCCAGACCATGGCACAGTCCCAAAGAGCATGTTCATAGTCATGCATTGTTTGCTAACATATATGAAGTTTCTAGTGTATCAGAAGCTTCGTTATTAACCCTTTGTTTTATACCATGCACATCACTGTTGCTAACTAAATGCACTGTGATAACGGCTAATACCGGACGTCAATACAACATGACCCAAAGTGCGCTGTGAACATTATCTTCTTGTTTCTGTAACAGTAGGTGTCTGTGCCATGTTTTCATGTATGAAAGGGCCCAGGCCACGTTTATACTGAATTAAAGAAATGATTTATGGAAAATGTAATCGGAATGTGTTTAATGGCGAGAGCATCTTCCGCAATACCCTGTTTATGCTTATAATATAGTGGAGAGAATATGTAGAGTGAGCAGGGACGAAGAAGGATGACGTCTCCATCCTGTACCCCTCAACGAAATTCCACTGGGATCCAGGTACACCAGCATCGTTGACAGAAGTGTGTGGACTTCGGAGGGAGGGGATTATCTAGAAACATAATTACTCCTTCAACGCACTCTACGAGATATATTTAGCCTCAAAACATTTCAGCCTCCCCTAGTGTCATACAGCCACCGTTGATAAACCTGTGTTGCAGAGATTCGTAAAGTCCACATTAACGATGTGTCATGGTATCATCAGCTCTATGATCCAGTGCATTGTATGCCTATTGTATTACAATAATCTCTTTGGCATAGCATCGTTTTGAGAATGATTTGAATGCAAGGACGCTAAAAATAACCATCCAATCAAATTACATTCATTAACAAGAGAGACATTATAGGATACTGATAATTGGGACGGAGGTGATGTGTATATAGAAATTATTCTAAAATACATAGTCAATGCTACATACATGCGGGTTGTAGCCCTCTGCAGTGGTCCATCAGCTGACTCAATCTGCCCTTAAAGCCAGGTGTGATGACGCCGGGGTCAAGGGAAACAAAACATTGACCTGTGAAATATGTGTATTTGTTATGTCTTTATGTACACTCAATGTAGTGGTCTATGGGAGATAACTCCGGACGGCTTAATGTGTTCATGGTATCAAGCTCCTCACAGCGATAGCCCGTTCGCGGAGCTCTCTATTCTTCAAATTGAAATATGATGGCAGTCCCAAAGACATAAACAAAAGTATAAACGTTACTACATATGGGGTTGGAGGGCAAATTTCAAGATTCTTGAAATGGCTGCGCCCACACTGGGGGCAGCGATGTTACCGAGAGTGTAACGAAGGTGTCACGCGCTGGGAAGGAGCTTGTCATGGTATGGTCTACGGGAGATAACTCCGGACAGCTTATGTTATACAATGTACTCTTCAGTTCAGGAGTAAGAAAGGGTCATTTCCAATATGTCTGCCTGCATGTATGTGTGAATAAAAACCCTTGTTCTACCTTTCCTGAATCCATGATACAACAGTATTAGTTTGAGTGGTTGTGGTTACAGCTTACAGTAACAAATATATCTCCCCCAAACAGGTGAGATGAGGTGAAATGGTGTTTAACGTCGCGTTCAAGATCAATGCACTTATATAGCGACGTGCATGCACGTGTATGTGTGTGTGGCTGCTTGTACTAGTCCGGACTGATGCCGATTTACAGTGCTAGCCCACTGAGATACCATGCCGCAGTTTAACATGAATACCCCACTCAGACACAGTATACTGACTCCGAGCCGACCAGTCCTTGTTTTAGCCCCATAATGCCGAGCGCCAAACAGGGTAGCGACAAGTACCATCTTTTAACGTCTGGGGATCGAACCTCGAACCTTCCGCTCTCCGGGCGGACTCTCTACCACTAGACCACGGAGGCGGTCCCCCAAACAGAAATGCATATGTGGAGATTCATTCCGTGAAAGTGGTGATAAATAGCTGAAATGATTCCGTTTGGTCCATATAAGCATGTCCAGCTAAAAAAACATGTAGATTTGTTTCATGCAGCAGCTACACATGAAATTCTTTCCTTCCACGACTTATTTACCTTATTACAAACACATATGCGTTATTACTTTTTTTACATAATATATAAACAGCTGTTACATGCATTTTATCACTACCATATTAATGCCCAGTTTGGATTATTACACAGTGAAAGATAAAACCTGCGGTTAATGGTATTTTCGGACATAAAAACTGATTGAAATGGACAGTCTGCGTTTTGAAACGTTTTTTAAAGGTTATTTGTATTACAAGTCTGCGTTTTAAATATATTCGCATGTATACTGGATATAAAAAGTGTGGTCATGTTAAAAAGGAATGCTCAGGTTTAAAACGTCATTTGCTCTCTAATAAATAGCTGAAATGGCTCTGTTTGGTACAGCAAAGAACGTTTTTACTGTAAAATGTATTTCACTACTTAAGGTAACAATTGGGCAAAACAAATACAAGTTTCTTACATAATACCACTGCACAACTTTACATAAAATTATGATCCTGTCATATTTTTAAGAACCAGCGTGGTAGGATAGATTGAATCGTCTGAAAAAGAACTATTTCTAAGAACATATCATAATTATCATATGTATGGATATCCAATTGACGATTCATCAACAGTCCGTACAATACAGTGGGACCGACCGAAGAGCGCTGATGTTTGTGTTCAATTGACAGACTATTGACAGACTACTGACACTGTTGACAGACTATTGACAGACTACTGATAGACTATTGACAGACTATTGACAGACTATTGACAGACTGTTGACAGACGTTTGACAGACTGTTATTAGGACAAGAAGTATTATGGATAACAACTTATTTAACAGTGCTTCATATTAAGTTAAAAAAAATACATTTATTATGAAATTAAATAATGTTTATGTCAATACATATCACACCCGATATTGTTATTGTTAATTGACCCCTCTTTGAGCGCGTGTAGCTCTGTCTCCTGTTACCAGGTGTGGGTTTTGTCAATGAATTTGTTATGATAAAACATTGATCCGACAAATGACCAAATAGTATGTTCTTATTTCAATAACAAAACATTTACACCTCTTATGTCGTAAGAGGCGACTAACGGTATCGGGTGGTCAGGCTCGCTGACTTGGTTGATGAATGTCATCGATCCCAATTGCGTGGATCGATACTCATGATGTCAATCACTTGATTGTCTGGTCCAGACTCGATTATTTACAGACCGCTGTCATATAGCTGGAATATTGCTGAGTGCGGCGTTAAACACCAAACAAACATCAAACAAGCAAGCTTTATATGAATCACAGTTACTTTTTTTCGTTAGTATACATACCATCCAACTTTATACCTTTAAAGACTCTTATCTCTGATATGTCTAGGTCTGAGATGGTCAGTGGTCATATCTGTATTGTGTGTAGGTTTGGGGTCAAGGGTCAGGCGCATCCCAACCGAACAGCCGCCCATACCAACAAGCGGTGAGTTACAGTTACGCTTGTGTTAGTGATTGATTGATTCAGACTTCCTAAAGGATGTTTGTAATGTACGTAACAAAACAAATGTAAATATTCAAAGTATATAAACTAGGCAAACCTCTCGCTGAGTACATTTGCCCCTTTCATTCTTAAATATAGGTAGACTATCTCCGTGGTCTAGTGGTAGAGCGTCCCATGCCGCATCATACCAAAAGACGTTAAAAGATGGTACTTGTTGTTACCCTGTCTGGCGCTCGGCATTAAGGGGCTAAAACAAGGACTGGTTGGCTCGGAGTCAATATACTATGTCTGAGTGGGGTATTCATGTTAAACTGCGGCATGGTATCTCAGTGGGCTAGCACTATAAATCGGCATCAGTCCGGACTAGTACAAGCAGCCACACACACACGTGCATGCACGTCGCTATATAAGTGCAATAATCTTGGACGCGACGTTAAACCCCATTTTACCTCACCTCAAACACCTTAAATATAGTTGTATGGTTGGAGGCACGGGTGGCCCAGTCGTTTACGGCGCCGCAATTCGCTGTGCAGAGTTGCGTCCCTGTGACACATCAAGAACCTATGATCGAAGGGTTCGAATCCAGAAGGTTTGTCACCATACCCGTGCTCGTACGTAGTACCAAAATGGTTAACATGAAGGGCCTGTACCACTTTAGACTTTCCTCCCTCATTCATCTGACACACACATTTATAACTTATATACGGTTTTAGGCAACTGTACACCCAACTCATAAATTGATATCCAGAATTGTCATTTTGAGTGTAACATTAAACATGAAAGGAGTCGAGTTGTGATGGCTAAACGACAACAAATCTGCATTT